ATCCTTAGGAAAAAGAAAATGTCTGAACCTTTGAGTAAGCTCCATCAAACAAGAATTATAAAATATGCTAAAAACTTTTGGTACCTACCAATATTCTTTAGACAATTACAACTAAGTATGACTTTGTTAGGATTTGTATCTCAGATTCTATCACTATTTAAGTTCTCTTTTCTAAGTCGTATTTTGAATTGTAATTTCTTGTTTGGCAAGTCTTGGTCTTTAAGGAATTTATTGTCTTTGGCTCTAAGGAATTTCTTGTAAGGCAAGTGTTAGCCTCTAAGGAATTGTGTTTAAGAATCAAAAAATAAAGAGAGTTGTACAGAGAAGGTGGAGAAGAAAAAAAAAAACAAATGGAGTGAGTGACTGAGTGAGGAGAGACTAGAGTTGGTGAGGAGTAGAGAGATGGCCCAAAAGAGTGGGTGGGCATTCTCTACAGTTGTATATGCTCTTCTTAATCCATTACAGTGAAATTTTCTTCTCTTTGTGGGTATAGCCCTAGTTTTGGGTGAACCACATAAAGTGTGTTGCGTGTTGTTCGGTTGTTGAGTGATTAGATTTCCATGTTTGTGATGTAATTTGCTTCCAATGTACCAATGGCATTGTAGTCAAATAGTACTTCCTTACCTTCCAAAGTAGAAGTTCGAGGGTTCAAATCCTCAAAGGGGCAAAGTGGGTGTGTGAGTGTGCTTCTTGCCAATGAAAAAATATTACTACCGTTGTGCCGAACAAAGGGAATTCAAGTCCCAACAGTGATATATATATATGTATGTATACACACACGTGTAGATAGAAAGAGAAGAAGAAGCTAATGGTTCATAATCTATCTTTAGAGTCTGCAATTATTAGACAATCTAGTAAATAGAGCAACGATGGTCTTACAAGTTGTTTCGAGGTCTACAAACTCAAGCCATGAACCACCAAAAGCAACTTCGCATTGGTGCGGTGTTCTTCAAACAGTGTAGTTTTTTTCCCTGTAATAGTCCTTCAAAGCTTCCGAGTCAATATCAGCACCGAATACTGCTTCAAATGGCAATCCTGCTATGTGCTCTTTATCTTTAAGTTCACGACAGCATCTCCAAGTTTCCGAGTCTCCTCTTCGATGGTATCTTGTAGTTGTTGCTTAATAACAAGATCCTCGGAGCCTTCGCTTCTTACCTTCACACAATCCTTCAGAACTTGAACACAATCTTCAATTCTCTCTCTTATTTCTTCCAACTATTGCGTAGCTTTGACACTAACACTGAAGCTATACATGGATAGACTCGTATACAAGGAGACCGTCATCATCGTCATGTCCACTTAAGTAGCTAGTATAATGATTCAAATGTGGACACATTTTACCAAAGTCATAAGGCTACATCATTAAAAAAAACAAATATAAGATGACTTGAGGCAATCCGAATCGCCCGAAATCAATCACAGATAATTGAATAGGGATATGAGTGTAATTTATCCTATTAGAAATAATATTTTTGAGAAAAGTCACTTTGTAAATAATTATATCAAATGTTAGCTTATATCCCATCCCATCTTTTGCTGTGAGAGGCCCAGAACTCTCATAAGCAAACAATGGAGGTTATATACTTTAAACTTGAACTTCCAATAGTTTGGACCCATAGTAAGACAAGCTTCAACTTAGTTGAAGCTATGCAAAGTACTAGTTTAGTAAAATTGAGTTGTCAATATCTAATACGTAAAATAACAAAAGATACTAATGTTTAAAGTTGACGTCCTATTATTTTGTTCAGACAAGGGCAACCAAGACCAGGGGAATAATATGTCAAACCAAGTTACGAGAAACTCAAATAAATAAACAAGCTACCACATATACACATAAATACTCTTTTTGGTTGTTGAGACAAAAGTATATTATGGGAAAAGCAAAGAAGCTAATAATTTAATTTTTGCATTTCTCATTGCCCAAGGCTCCAAATATTATTGAGCCTAATATATCAACTTGATATAACTGTTTCTTCAAAACCACGTAAAATGTCCCATTTTAGGAATCTAACTTTTTAAGAAAATAACTTTTAGTACTTTTTTATTATATTGGTAGTGAATGAATTACTAAATCTATCCATAGTGGATCCGCAGGAGTGTGATGGTATGATTTTTATAAGTTAAATGCAAGAAGGTTAAAATGGTAATATTACAAAAATACTTTTCAAATGGGACATTTATTTTGAAACATTCAAAAATGAAAAGACGGACATTTATTTTGGGATGGAGGGAGTATGATAATATGTTATTTCATATTCCACCGACTTCTAAACAACGATAAAGAGTGGGAAAAATAGCCCTTTTTTTCTCCATAGAAAAACAAATTGAAGCAATAGAGGTATAGCTTCTGCAATTAACAATTGAAGCAACACTAGCTCAAGGTCCTCAAATATATTACATATTGGGCCATCTGTCACGTATACCAAATAAATCGTGTATCAAGGGAAGCTTTTTTTTTAGAAGTAAAGATTTATATAAAGGGAAGCTAAATATTGGGAAATCTTATTATTTATCATATTTTCAACACATAAATAGAAAGCATGGTATTTTAAGATTCTAGAGACCATTTAATTCAATATTGCTGCATAAGCTCCTAAAAGTACGTATCTTATAAGATCTAAACAAATTAATATCTTATAATAAGTGTCAACAAATCATGAACTTGTTGAACAAGGCAAAGATTGAAGCCATGCCTGGCTTTATTATGAAGGGAGAATAGTTGGCAATGAAGTTTATACAAAATAAAGTGACAAGTGGCTTTTAAACTCCTGCTAAAAGATGTTTGGGGATTAAGTAATTGTACATTGAGGCAGGTATATATTGATGCAACAATCTTAGTCGTCGTACTATAAGGCGAAGTGGCGTTTGAAAATCCACCAATCCATATATTTAGGAAATCATCGATTAAGGTAGAAAAGCAAAGAAAGTTCCTGCCACATGAGCTGCATATTGAGCCAGTGAGGCCCAAGCAAAACCATGTGTCAAGGCAGCTAATTGCACGGAGGCAATGCTTCAGGTCAAGGCAGGACAATAGTTTAAGGTCTTAACCACAAATCAAGTAACCACTGTGCAACATACAAGCAACTACATCATATGACAAAAGGAACTAACTTGTGGACAGGAAATCCATGTACAAAGGCATCATTAGGGCAACATTGACGTTCATAGTCATACAAAACTGCAAAACCGAAACATGGTAGTTCAAGGTCCACCATATCAGATATCATCAACCATTGATTAAGGCAACATTGGAGGTAAGGAACATGGGAACTTTCAAATTAAGGTTTCATAGGAAAGATGTTTCGAAGAAACATGACAATATGCTCAAGTCATGGCAGAAATTATGGTCACTAGGGCTTTGTTTGGATACACATGAGAGAAAAGAAAAGAAAAGAAAGGATTAGGAGAGAAAAGAAAAGAAAAGAAAGGAAATAATAGTTATAATTTATACTCATGTTTGGATAGATAGGAGAAAAAAGAAATGAAAGCATAATATTCTTGTTTGGATAAAACAGAAGAGAGAAAAGAAAGAAAAGGATAATAATCAAATTATTGTATTACCCTTTTGTCTCTAATGTAAATAAAATAACTTGTTTTCAAAGTTTGAAGTACTTGTAATTTGGAAAGCTTGAATTACCATATCCACAAACAAAAGATCATCATTAGGACTTGACTCCCATTTAATTTAGATTAAGGGACCCAAATCCATATCCACAAATAAAAGATTCAAAATAAAGACAGGTTGAAAATGTAAGCACCACCTTTGCAAGTATTTCTGCAACACATTTTCTCTTTCTTTTCCTTCAAATTTTGTTTCTCTTGGACTTCTGTAATTTTTTTTTTTTTTTTAGAAGACAAATACTCCTCATGATTCAAATAAGAAGACAGGGTGATAAATAAAAAGTGTTCCCATGCACCCTTGTATAATATCTCTAGAAATGGAGATAAAAACTGCTCAAAACTAACTAAAAAAAAAAACCCTCAATGAAAAAAATACTCATTCTCAGCTATAAGTTTAATGGGATTTCACATACTCTTAAACTATGTGAAGACCCTGAGTTTCTTCCCAGTAATCCTCAACAACAACACAGGAACAACCAACCAGTCAACCACCTTCCTTGTTTTCCCTTCAGAATCAATCTTACACAAACCAGCCCACTAAATTAGGTACTGATATCAAGTTGACATTATAATCAGCACAAAGTGCTTTGACAAGTTTAACATAATCTGGCTGGTTGCAATCCTCAGCTAACACACAAAGCTGTGCGGCATGCTTTTCAATCACCTTAGCACCTTCATGGAGCCCTCGTAAAAGCCCCCCATGAGCAAGTGATTTCCTCTTGGATTTCTATATTTTATTAGCTACTCTAACAGGTGCAAATAAGGATACCTAATGGAACCAAATGCCAAGATGTATTGCAACACAAACAAACACAGCTCCCGCTTAATTAACACACTACATATACACTTCTAAGCATGGCATCCAGTAAATCAACCTTATGTCATATGCATATGCTAGCAAAAGAAAAGCTCCATTGGATAAATCATAGAGTTTACATACCAAAAGCTCCATAAGAAAAAATAAATAAATAAATAATAATAATAATAATAATAACTAAACTTAGACATAATAGGAAGTCCTACTAATTGTTCCAAAATATTACCAACTAAAAGACATTGTCAAAAGTCAATATAACCGAAAACATTATCAACGTCAAGAATCATTGGACATCAGTTCCTCCCGGAGTGTCTTGCGAAGCACAAGTGGGCAACCAAGAAATTGTGTCATTCTATCAAGATGGTCATGCTTAGTAAAAAAAAATGAAGGCCTTAACACACTACAACAGTTATGACTTTCACTAGCGCTCAAAAACGTTGGTGAAAGCCTTAAAAAGCGCTGGTAATTCAATTACTAACGCTTTATTAGCGCTTTTGAAAAAGCGCTAGTAAATCCAACGTCATACCATCAAAATTGGCTACTAATAGATAAAGCTAGTAAATGTCAACCAAAAAGCGAAAATATATATTAATACAACCACAAGTTAACCTGCCAATATGAAAATACGATCCAAATTGTCTAGATAAATGTCATACAAAAAGAATTAAGAATTTTTGGCAAATGTAGTACAAGTTTTTCAAAAAGAACCCATCCAAGGCGAAGGAAATTCAAAAAGCATAGCCACAACCCCATCTTCAGCTTCAACTTCAACAAGTCTTCTTGCCCATTTGATTTGAATTACCCTACATTTTTTATAAATTCATTAAGCTCACATTATAATAAATGAAAATTTAACATATAAGAAAAATTAAAAGTTCATAACCTTTAACTGAATTGGCATCACGACTAGAAAATGAATTTGGAGATACTCTAGGAAGAGCATTTAAAGAATCAGAACCCTTCAAAATAACAAAACAAAATACATGAAATCTTGGCATAAGTAAACATATATTTAGTAAAGAGTAAAACTAATAAAAAATATACCTGTCCACTACAATTTTGTTGTTGCATCTGCATTAGCATAGCCACCTATTGTTGTAAATTTTCCAACTTGTCGTCATAGTTGGATGGTAAATTTTCCAACTTCCTGTCATAGTCGGCTTGCATTTTTGAAATGGTCTCCTGCAACTCTACACGTGCAGCACGTACCTCCTCATCAGATTTTTTGGCATTATTAATCAGTTCAGCTTTACTAGGAGAGGACCCCCAAACATCGCTTGGTGTAGGCCCGAAGCCAAGCATCCGCACACGACCAGTTCTCTCTTCTCCCCTCACAACGGAGAACAAATCATTGGAACTGCCAATAGGCGAGTCAAAGTAACTTTTTTGAAGTTCTTTTATGCTTTCCTTCAAAAAAAAAAAAAAAGAATAAATAATGAATGTATAGAAAATAAATTAAATAGAATGCTTCGTGTCCAACATTTGGGTGGTATATCTGACTTTTAGAATGGAGGGAGATTCTAGAGTAATGTGAAAGAGCAGCGGTGAAAAATGGACTCAATTTTTTAAATTTCTAGTCCAAATGCAAGAAATTGATATTTCCCAGCTATATAAAAGGTTAAAGTCCAAAGTTAATTACTCCATTTTTACAAGACCAAGGATTTGGGCAACAGAAATCTAGCTACTTGTCCAACCGTTAACATCATGAATAGTCGGAAAGAGTCCAAGTTCCTATCATTTTATGAAATTGAGACATGAAAGAGAATTTCCATAGCTAAATTCTCAATTAAATTTGAACACTAAGTTTAAATGAGAAAAGAAAATATGCTCAAATACTAATTAGCCCAATAAACACCCCATAAAAGAAAAGGAAAACGAAAAACAGTTGCAGCCACGAGTATCAATAGGTGACACAAACAAAAACAGGTACAACAGTTAAGAGCTCTGTAGGACATTAGTTTTACAAAGTATTTGATTATGGCTAATGCTTGTTTTTCTTTTTCTTTTTTTTTCTTTTTTTTTTTGGTAAGGGATTATGGCTATTACTTGCTACAAGTAGAAAATCAGAAAACAATTGACTTCGCATGAAACCAACTGATTTAGACACAATACATTCATAGACATTTGAAAGAATCAGCATGCCCAAGACCAGCAACTGGTCCAGCAACTATTTGATCACATTCTTAACAGATAACGAATTGGTCAAGTTGAAACCTTTGGCGGACACATTTATAAGTTTAGAAGATCTTCTCTAGTTGATCAACATTTTCTAGTCCTTTAGTGTTGCCCAATTCTCCCATTACTAATTCATTGCACTCACAAAAAACTAGTCAATACTATAAATTTGTGTAAAGGAGGTTATTGTGGGGTGGCATCTCTGTTAGGCATGATGTTGATAGCTTGGCAAATCTCAGTTACAAAATATTTAGCAGTATAGGAACAAATTGTCATAAATACATTGGAGGCTATGAAGGATTAAAGATGAATAGTTAATTTAAGGAGCTTCGTTGAGAGAGTTTATAGAAAGATGAGAATAGTACGGTGATCAAACCTTAGGCTTCTCAGTTAGTGAAAGCTTGTTGCACGATGTGCAATACAGGCTGGGGCTAGAAACCTACTTTCAAAGGTTAATGGCTGTTTATGCCCTATGAAATTAAAAAAACATGATCTAATTTTGTTTGGAAAGCAGTTGTTAGAAGAATTACTTCCGTCTATTACTTATGGTACAACTTTTTAATGTACTTTTCAGAAAAAGAAAAAAGAAACAGAAAAAAACATGTTTCTTGGTTGTATGACTTGTATTTTGGCCTTATAAACCTAGCAAATGTTATCACTGTATGGTGTAACATGGGGATGACCAGCTCTTTTGTGGAGGTTCAGTCAGTATGGTGGTGCATGAAAACATGTATGTGCTATGTATTACTGTTACAAATTTAATGCAACATCACTTTATTACAAATTTAATACAGTAAAGTTTTCAAGAGGCAGTAAGAGTTCTTGACCATTGTTTTTGTCGAGACACATCAGGCATCACTGTAAATTGCTGGTGAGTGGTCATTGATCGAATTTAATGAATAACCTTTGATCTTTTAGTTCATTTATGATGTGGTGGTTATCAATGAAATTTGATAGCTCAATTGGTATTAGCATGCAGGTTAAAGCTCAAGCCTGTCATGAGATAAAATTCAAGCCAGCACTTGGAATGATGATCGCTCAGCATTTCTTGTCCCAGCATAATGGACCTTTTAAAATCATATCAAATACAAAAGAAACTAATTCTTCATTTTGCTTTCTTGTATGAGAAAAAATAAGAAGTGTGAAGTGAGAGACAGCTTCTTTTTTTTTTTTTTTTTTTTTAAAGTTCACTGAAATTGCAAAAACAAAAAAATCAATATTATCAGTCAATGGATCTAAAATTAAAACCCAAAACCTGCAACACATAAACGAATATTGGTGAAGTTAAAACACATAAACTACAACACATAAAATTAAAACCCAAAAATTAGAACAGAAAATTACCAACTTTAGCAGATCGGAAATGACCAGTGTGTATAGAAACAGTTTGTAGAGAGAGAGTTTTAGAGAGAGACCAGTGTGTAGAGAGAGAGTTTTATGAAATCAAAGAAATGCAGGGAGGATTGAGAGAGAGGTAAAGACTGGTGTATGGCTATTCGGAAATTTCACTGGTATCTTTAGTTTCTTTTGGTGTTCTATCAGATATGTTAATTTTTTAATTTTATTTTTCTCTTGGGATGTTGGTTGGAATACCATCCTTATCAAAGTTTGTATTCTATGTCAGGGAAAGGGAAAGCATACTTGAAGTCCTTTCACATTCCAATTACAATTTTTTTAAATAAAAAATAACATTATTGTGTTTTAAAAAAAGAGTATTACTAAACCGAACCAATTCATACAGTCTGAATTGGTTCAGATTCGATTAGGGCATGTTTACTAACAGGAATGATTCCTGATTTCTACTGTCAATTCCTAAAATTGAAAATCAAAAGTCAAAATCGTGTTTAATAAAATACTTTCACTTTTTTGTTTTAAGAAAGTACTTTCTAATTTTGTGAAGAGAAGAGAAAGTGAGAAATTCTCAATTTCTCTATTTTCTACACTATTGGTAGAAATCACTTTCTCTACTGTAGCACTGTTTATCAAAAATATATATATATGTGTGTGTGTGTGTATATATATGTATATATATATATATATATATATATATTCTAACTAATCATCTGTATCACCCATTTCCTCCACCCACCTCCTCCCCACTATGGTCATTGCCACTGCCACCATCGCCATTACCGACAACCACCACCACCATCGCCATTACCGACAACCACCACCATCATCGCCTCTCTCTCCTCTGTCTCTCTCTCTCTACAAACACTCCTGATAAAAAGAAATAAGTTAAAGGAATTGATTAAGAGCGGGTAAGTCACAAATGACCAGAATCTTGAACTTGCAAGCTCCCCAGAATTTTGGCGCAGGGCACGACGGGGCCGACATGGGATTCACGGTGAGGGGTGATGATGAGTGAGGGTTTCGCGGTGGTGGAGGTGTTGAAGCGGGGGTTTTTTATGTAAGATTGAAGGGCTGTAGAGAGTGTTGGCGGAAATTGGGTCTAATGGTGAGTTCTTGGAGAGGTATTGACGGTGTAGATTGAATCTGATAAAGCACAAGAAAAGAATTGAAGAAAGGGAAGGGTTCTTCATTGTTTGGTATTTGGTTTTGGTGGTGAAACAATTGGTGGTGTGTATTAAATACAATTGGTGAAGTTGGTGGCAATGCCCTTTGATTTCACAAAAGAAATGATCTGGGTCTTGTGATGCCCTTTGATTTCAAGGGCTTCCCACGGAGCTATATCTATATATATATATATATATATACACACATATAGATAGTATATAACATTGATTGTTAATTTAGAAAACAAAATCAAAATTATAATTATTGAACTTGCTTTTTAATTTCTTGCTTTGAAAATATTGAAAGCGAGATAAATTAATAAACATAATTCTACTTTATATTTCAGATTCATGAATGAAAATTATGATTTTACTTTTTAAGGAAGCAAATATAAGAAAGTAAAAGCGTTAGTAAACAAGCCTTAATGATTCAAAAGTTTTATGTGAACCGTCAATAATTTAAGTTTTTTAACATTAATTTAATTGTAAATTAAAATCACAATACTAATATATTTGTTGTAAATGCATTTTATATGATTATAGATTTCAATCAACAAGAAGCCTCCACATACAATGATCCCATACTCCCATGCTTTTCAACAAATACAAGAAAGTAAATTACCTCCACACGGGCCGCTGAACAATGAAATTAAAATGCCTCCACACGGGCCGATGATTTAAAAATTGATGACCCCCTAATACACCGCAAAGAGTTTAAAATTTGGTCACTTCAAGGCATGTGACCCCTTTTTTGCAAAATGGAAGCATGAAAACTTACAATCATCTCCGAAGCAGCAGCATCAGTAGCATTGCCATCTTTATTTATATGTGTGCGAATGAATAAATTTGCACGGGAAAGTTGAATACCTTCGTTTTCCTCAATCTATAAAAGAAACATAGGCATTGTGATATATATTATTTACCACTAACATTTATAATCATTCAACGACATAAGAATTTAAATAATTTATATTGCCAAAACTTCAACTAACCTCGGCAGAAACATGCGCAAAGCTTTTTGTCGCTGTAGTATGCATCATTGTCTGCTTCCCACGACGTTCTTTGTTTTTTTCGCTGACCTCCTATAAAAAGTGAGAAAAAGTAAACGTTCTTTGAGTAAAGAACATTCCACCTAAAATAATGACTGAAAGCAGGTAAACTATAAATTCAACTCATTGACTTTAAACAAAATTGGTAGATGGAGGATTACCTACGCCATAGGCGTACCCCAATGCCTAACCAAAATTCCCAATGCTCCTTTTCAACATCAGGTGGTGGGTTTGCCAATCTTTCTACATCTGTATCTCTAACCGAGTAGCATTCACTTTTTAATTCACACTTGTACCCCCTCCATTTTTTTCCGATGGAGGATAATGTCCACTGTTTTGACATGATTCCCACATCATACTTTCCTTGAAAATGTGATAATTGCTGCATGTTAATCCACTTTTTTCATAAAAATTATTTTAATGTCATTGAAGGGTTTTACCTTTACAATGTTCCACATATCCTCTTTAAGCCGTTTAGGCATCTCCCACCAAGTTTTGTAGCACAAAGGAGCTAATTTACCATTCCAGGCAAGTGTTCCCAAATAATTAGTATATGTACCACTTCCATGGCCAATCGGTTGTCCATACTTATTAACCCTAAACAATAATTAACAATTGTAGATGCTTAGTACAAAAATAAAGATAGAAATTCTTTTTTCTCCTTCATAGTGAATATAGTCTAATTATGTAAACTATATAAGATGATCTCTATATATATGTACCTTAATGGTAATAAGGTTGTCGCGTTTACAACATTCTTGCATCGTGTCGGGCCCCATCTCTTCTTTAGCGGTGGTTGGGATGATTTTTGAAGTTGAAGCTTCAGTATTTTGTTCACTCACTTTTTCCACTTCACTAACCGTTCGTTTCATTGTCAGCTTATTATTTATCCTTCCTGGAAAAGCAAACAAAAAAGTGAGAATTCATTTAAGAGAATTTTAATACGCATCTTACTTGGCCTTCCTTGGTTTTATGACCTAGGTGTATTTAATACGGTGTAAAGACTAACACACATTATCATGTTCAATAATGAGAAAATTGTCTTTGAGCGACAAAGACAAAGAATGTTGATTGAAATAAAAATGGTACAAAATAGAATATACAACTGAAGGTCGGTCATCAAATCCTGTTGTAAGTGATGAGCTATCAGATTATCAAGGATGCATCAAAACTAGTTGATGAGAAAAACACCTTCACTTCCCTTATTCTATAAAATAGGCTGCAATTAAATATGAGAAGAGACCGGTGTACTGCAATGAGAGTAAGATCAAGGAAGCAAAGGGCCTAGTTGGTTCAGATATCTTAAAACAGTTATGAAGAACTTTGAAATTAAAATAAAAGATTGTTTTTTAAAATTTAAAATAAAATAAAATAAATAAAAATAAATAAATAAATAAAACTTTCTTTAACTCAATTTTCATAACATTTTTCATAAAATTTGAGGGCAGGGCTTGGCAAAATGATAAGGTTGCTCCATTTGTGACCTGGATGTCAGGTTTTCTTTTTAAGGTTGCTTCTATTGAAGGCATCAAGTAAAAAGAAATAAATGAAAACGACATTTCTATCAACATTAACACACATGGGAAGAACAGTTTCTTTATCAAAGTAGCTTATATTAAATCAAAGTATCAGCTTTAGAAGTTGGGAATGGAAACATAGGATTCATGTCACCGACCCCAAGTAACTGGGAAAAAAGGCTTCTTTGTCACAGTATCAGCTTTACAAGTTCATTCTCAAACTGACAACCTAAACAAGGCAAGACCAATAGAGTTATGCGAATGTCCTGGTTCATTAGTGCAAGAACCATTAAAGATTAAAAAGACAAAAGAACAAAATATTTTTTAAAATAATTAACCAAATACTGGCATAAAAAAAAAGATTACTATTGCTTGGATGCAATCCAACTCTAAGAAACCAATTCCAAATAAATAAATAAAAACACACACACACAATCATCAGTGTTCACACAAACACCCACTATTGCTCCTAAGCAGACTTGAATCATCAACCTTCCACCTGGGAGGAGGAAATACCACTCAAACCAAACGTTCTGTAGCACAGTAATACCAATTTCATCAAAAGATAACATACTTATTCTTTAATGGAGTTGAAATGTAGAGTACATAATACATATGGGTGTTCCAAGTTAGACTAATTACTCCTTAATTTTGACATGTGTATAAATAAGCTAGCTTTTTTTTTTCTGACAGATGAATGAGCAAAGTTTGCAAAATTTTTTTTTTCTCAAAAAGGTCAGATTCAACTTGCCTGGTTTATTAAAGAAAGATTTGTTTATAATTCCAATATAAGTCTCCAATTCTACTTCAATTGGTGATTATGAACATGGGTCACCGACAAATACTGACCCAATTTAGCATGAACAACTTCACATCCAAGAGTAAGTTCAAAAACAGAAATACATATAAATCAAAGAGAGAGAGACAGAGAAAGGACGAAGAAAATGAGGAATATAAGTTTAGATGGTAGAGAGAGAAAGAGAGAAGCAACAAGCGATGTTTGCTCTCCCACTCACGCTGGCGGAGGTTACGTTGCGTCATGGGCTAAAGGAGAGACCGATGGAAGGAGAGAAAAAAGTGATTAAAATTCTGGTATTGGAACGCTAACTAATGGAAGGAGAGAGAGCTGTGATGACCGGTGATGGAAGGAGAGAGAGAGTTGTGATGGAAGGAGAGAGAGCGGCTGAAGGAGAGAGCGTTAGGGCTACTGCAAAATGAAATGGGAAAGTGGAGATTACAGTGTTAATTGCCCAAAAAACGACGTAGTTTTAGGGCCCAAATATTCTATATATATAAATCAGCGGAGGGAAAAAATGGAGGGAAGGGAAAAAGTTGAGGGAATGAAAGGGCCATTACCAGCGCTGTTTTAAAGAGCGCTGGTACTATGACACCTATACCAGCGCTCTTAGAAAGAGCGCTGGTAATGTTACACCTATACTAGCGTTCTTTTAAAGAACGCTGGTAAAAACCTAATATGTTGTAGTACCAGCGCTCTTAGAAAGAGCGCTGGTAATGTTACACCTATACCAGCGCTCTTAGAAAGAACACTAGTAAAAACCTAATATGTTGTAGTGACAATTGCATGCCCCTCTAGTCCAATTTCCGTCAAAATCTTAAAGATTTGTTCTTCATATTTTCCCTTTAGGTTGCACTTCTCGTAAAGATTGTTGAATGTTTTATGAAGATCATTTCCCTCTTTAAGAGCTCCAGCCACACCTTTCACTATTTCAATTATTTCATTTTCTCCATCAACAGTTGAATAATTTTTTTTTTCTTTTTCCTTTTGAAGAAGTGGAATGGGAAGGTGCACTTGAAGGTGCTTCAGGAGACATCATATTCATATTTTCAAACTCATGATCCATAAAACATGTATTATCCAAACTTACTTCATTCCGTGACAGCATGTGATCAATACCATCAATGGTCTCTATCAGATCATCATTAGGACTTGACTCCCATTCATTACTCTTCAGTTTTCCTTTTGTTGCCCAATCATTAATCCTCTCATTAGCAGTTGCTGCATTAGACCCAGTTGCCCTATCCTTGGCAAATAAATACAACATAATTGGAAATTGGAGTAGTCTTCCATTTCTCAGCTGCTGGATTTGACCGTTGGCGAAACATAAAAAAAAATACATTATCATTATTTCAAGCTGAATTAAAGGCATAATAAATGTATCTCTTAAAAGTATAAATAAATTAATAAATAAATAATCTCAATTAAAAAACTAACCTCAATTAAAGAAGCCCAAACTTCAAGTTCAGCATTCCACATTTTTGTTACTTCACTCCAAGCAAACCCACTCAAACCAGTTTTGAATAAGTCAAAACACTCGTTAAATATTTTCTTGATTGTTTTCAATCGATTCTTCACTTTATCTTTGTTGATATCGATACCTAGTCTTTGTTTCAATTCGTGAACAATCTCAATATAAGCTTTTGTTGTAAATGTGCCATCAATCATATTCCTTTTCACAAATTGATTATACGCATCTGCAAAAATATCATCCATTTGTGCAGTCCAAACACATCTATCCTTCCTCAACCCACCACTTATGTTTGATTGATTACTCATTCTTATATCTACATAAAAACAACAAGTACAATATAAAGAAATGAACAAAAAGATAAATCATTCAATTAAATATTACCAAAAACTGTACGCAAGGTAGGAGTTTATAACAAGCTATAATTAGCATTCTACATCTCTAAATCAAGCACTCTTAACATAAAAGAAGTTACAGAAAAATTAAACAAAAGCAAATAAGTTTTAAGTTATTTCAACCAAATAAACATTTCAAGTATCACACATGATTAGTTACATAGTCATGCCACATATGGGAAGCTATTGAATCTCTCAAGTATTCCCCCAAACTATGATCTTCACTTCTCTCCATTAGACCACGCTCTTCATTTGGAGTTTCATTTAAGAGCTCCCGGTCTTGACAAAAAAATCTCACATTAACCAAACAGCTTATAGTCATGTTGTACCAAATATTGACAAAGTGCATTCAAATTAAGTTGTATAACCACTCCAACATAGTACCAGTAGTACGAGAAAACGGCGTCTTCATACCCATGCAATGACGACTAGCCATTAAACTTTATATATATATAACGTAATAAATTTTTACTACTTGGTAAAACATAAAAGACAACCAACTCTATAAAAAATCAATTTTCTTCCAAAAACAAGGACAAATAGATGAACTTTTAGCCATTTTTAAAGCTCTACTACTTCCAAATAAAAAGGTTGGAAGAAAAAAAAGCAAATACTTGTGCTAACAAATTAAAACCTTCTTTCTATGGAAAAAATAGCCAATGAACAGAACTTAAATTCTATATGCCTGTAAGTGATGCAAGCTTTAACTTCTTCACAATCACTTTCCTCCCATTTCTTGTTCACAACATCATCGTTCATATTAGCTCATTGAGAAAGCACCAAAAACAGAGATATGAATTGTATATGAAGAAGGGGCCATCAAATGTCATTCATTACACCAATGGAAATTGTACAGTATTTCCAAAATAACTGAATTCAATAATTAAATCTAAATAAAGTAAGTGATTGTCCACTTTAAGTTAGTTTCAAAGTCCAATTTGGATTTCACTCGAAAGAACAAGTTCCATGTAAAATAGAGTTAAATTTTAAGTGAAAGATTCCCTTTATCACTTAACAATGAACAATTAAAATTCAAATAAGTATTAAAGAGGTTATCAATTAACAATTAGCCCTTCTAACATTAATATTTAAAAAGGAAATAAACAGGAGGACAAAAAGGAAAATAGGTTTAGGATTGTTAAGAGAATAGAGAGCGCCAAAAAGGAAATAAAATTAGACAAGATTTACTAGGTAAAAAAAAAAGAAAAAAAAGTTCAAATCCCGGTAGGAGCACTCCCAAAGAATCTTCTATTACATGTCTGGTTCATGTGAACGGGAGGACAGCATTTACCCAGCAGTAGGCTATGGGGTGCTCCAAGGGTCCCAATACCACCAGCATCAAAAAAATATAATCCATTTTATCCCTACTAAAAATTAGTTTCTTTCCTAGTAATCATATGTATTAAAGACCTTCTCATAGTAAGAGACTCATTTTAAAGAAAAAAATTAAAAGGCTTTTCAATTAAGGTAGAAAACCTAATGACATGTTACAATGTCGAAATGATTGTCCTATCTATTCAATAAAATTAAATTAAAAACAAAAAACAAAACAAAATCTGAGCCAACAAAATATGATAATTTTCCCTATACATCATGAAAACAAGTTATAAAATTATCAATTAATAAAATAAAACATCTCATAAAAAAAAAAATTTTAATAAAGTAGAATATTGTCACGAACATACTTATAATTTTCCGAGGTTACTCATTCCAAAGAGTTATTTCCTTGCAGGAAGTAAACCTATATTAAGGAGACAAATTTCAAACGCGTTAGAAACTTTGGGAATATATGGAAACTGGACTTTAATAACAATCAAAAATATGAAAATAAGAACAGAAAGTAGAAGAATATGAAGCCAATAAACTTGAATCTGAGTTTGAAATGATTAAAGAAAGCTTGCAAAATCTGAAATGAATAACATATTCAATCAGGAATCTACTAAAAAGAAGAATAAGAAGATTTGCAGAATCAGGGATGTACTAAAACGAAGAATAAGAAGATTTAGAGACAAAAAAAAATACTATATTTATCGGAAAAGAAAAAAGAAGAAACCTGGTGATTGAGGAGGCATGCCTCTGTGAGGCTCAGAATCGCCAAAACCCTAACCCTAACTGATACTAGTGAAGTGAGAATGAGTTATTTCTTAGGCCTTTCCTACAGGATACATATCGTGTCAAAAAGGTAATAAGGTCAAAAAGTTACAAACCTGTGCCACGTGCATCGGCCACTCAACACGCACAGCAGTCAATAGAGAGAAATAGACGACTTGGGAAGAGATTACCCGGAAATTTTTAAAACGCCAATTACTTTAACGAAGGGCTCTCCCTTGTGCATTACTTCGGTAACAGAAGTGACAAAACGTCTCATTGCTACTGTAAATATGATCAAATTAAATGACAAAATACATTTATAATTGATAAATGAGATAATTGCACTTGCAAAATAAATATTGGTGTGTGATTTTATTATGTTGCTTAATTTTCTTTGATCTCTCATGTTTTGAAAATGTAGGAGATAGTAAATTTCTACGCCACATAAAGATTTCAATTATATGGCGGTGGCAAATAGCGCAAATGATGGAATCAGATCAAGAATAATACCATGAATAGGAGTCTAGCAATACTCAATTTCATTTTCTTAAATTATAGATCAATATTAATAGATGAAATTGGAGGGTAGCGCGAAGTGTATTATCTACGTGCTTCTCCCGAATTTCACATATAAATATGTTGATTAATTTTCCCCAATTTCACATATAAATATGTTGATTAATCTTTAAAACCCTAACTTCGCATAATTTTATACAAGATTTAGTATTTTTCTGCCAAGATCAAGAATATTTCTGCAAAACTCGTAAGAATTGTATAAGCTTGGAATTTGAAGAGACGATGAAGAGTTCTCTGCAACTCTTTCATGTAGCATCGTTGTTCTTGTGAACCCATCATCGACTAGTTTCAGAAAATAAATTGGGGCAAAATCGTCTATACAATTTTTTACTTAAAATGAGGTTTGGCTTCCCGAAAAGTGAATTTAGGAAGGAAGTTTTCTATGCTTCTTTGGAACGGGCTTTGAGTGGCTTCCACTTTCTTGAAAGTCCGTTTCAAATATTTCGCCAAACACCCAAATTTTTCACAAATAGGCTTTTGAGCTTGGAAGCCCTTTTGAACCCCAAACCAAGCTAACCCAAACAGGGGCTAACAATTAAAATTTTAAAATAATGTATTTAAAAAATTAAAATTACTTAAATTTTTAATAATATAAAGTGGGAAAAAATAAAAAAAAATTAATTAATTCTTTAATTTTACACCAATATTGTGGTGGAGTCATGAAATTCCGAATATAAGTTTACATATTACTAGGAATACCGAAACTATAATTTGCACTATATACGGAGATTAATAGTTATTTATTTATTTTTTATAAAAGTAGGAACGTAGGATTACACCAAATTTCAACCTAAAAACCGTTATCTATGATAATCTTGATGAAACACTTCTTAGGAAAATTTGCAATCTAAATGTATATATATATATTTTGTTGTTGGGTAATTTTGTTGTTGCCTTGTTGGGTAATTTTTAAGAAATTTTAAATATTTTGTTGTTGGGTAATTTTCAAGAAATTTTAACAATGATATGAGCGTAAATGCATGGTGTCAAAAGGTTTTTAAAATTTACAAAACTAAGACTAGAATATAAATTTATTAATGCCATAAGAGATCATAATATATTGATAACAATTCAAGATTACGGTATTAAGCAAGGTAATTATTGTAGATACTTAAGATCAATTATACAGTAATACGGAGAGATTGATGGTGATGATGTAAGGAGTAAAAACAAAATGGATTAATCTTGTTAAAGTTTTATGTGATAAACAAATACCACGAGAACAAGAAAGAGAGACTTAAGTAGTATGAAAAAAAGTAAGTTGGTTTATACCAAAGGAAAAAGATGGTTTATACCAAAGGAAAAAGATGGAGAGGTTTGACAAAAACTAATTTGAAATGAAATAATGAAAAATGATTTAAAAAAATTAGAGTAAATTGAAATTTTGGAATGCATGTGGTTGACTTTGTTTGTATATGATAAAGAAAATTATGATGATGAATACATGAATATGTGCACAAAATATATATATATTTCTAGATGGTAATCAGGTATCCTTTCCAAGAAATTATTTGCAAACATGAATACATTCTTAAAACACGTCATGAAACTTTGTGCACTTGTTTTTATTATTTATTTTTATTACACTGGCTAAATTTAAACAACTCATCAAATATTTTACAAAATTGATAAATTTTTGGTTGCAAATAAAACTACGTGCTTTGTCATTATTAATTTAATACTGTAAACTGAAACTAACTAAAAAATTAGAGGTGATGAATTTTAAAAAGAAAATAACATTAAAAGCTTTAGTGAAAAAAAAAAAAAAAAAAAAAAAAAAAAAAAAAAAACCCATGATAATTAGATTCTGAACTTAGTTGAAAAGTTTTGATAAAACAAAAGTAAGATGATGATTCTTATAAAGAATTTCATAACTTATTTACTATGAGTGGCAAAATGGGTTATAACCTACCAATTTGTTCATATTATAAATATGGATGAAATATTTAAAAATATGGACCAAAATAGGTGATTCATATTCAACCAATTTTTATAGAAGGTTAAATGGGTTGAATATGGGTCACATATTTTGACTCATATTTGATCCATTATAAGAAATTCAGTTTCACAACTTTTATTTGACTCAAATTCACCTTTTTATTTCTAAAAATTTCTCACACGATTCCATATTCTCTCTCTCCCACCATCTCTCTCTAAAAGTCTCTCTACATCATAGACTCCCCGTGTATGTAATAATACGGCTCGAAAGTAACCTGTATTTACATCTGTATCATTTACAAGTATTCCATAAAAAGCTTAACAGATGATTTTATATAGTATGTATATATATATATATATATATATATACATATATAATATCTTACCTTCATGCATGTCTAGTCACAAAATAAAATAATTTAAATTTAAAAAAATTTCAAAATAAATTAGAGGATTTACAATTATCTATACATATTTTTACAAGCTTTTTTATTCATCTAAAATCAAAAACTATAATCATTGTTATATATATGTGTGTGTGTGTGTGTGTGTGTGTGGTGTGGTGTCCACTATTTATGAAAATTTGAAAAAAAATGGAATTAGTAGCGTGGCCCACTATTGAGAGAAATTGGTAAGAAGGTTTGAATTATGTGTATAGGTTCATTGTATTTATAATGTTGTAGGTGTGAATATATTAAATACATATAAGCAAGTTGTTTTCTTTAACTTGTTTTGTAAGCTTGGCTTATGACTATATTTATATATATATGGGTATTGGTGTGTATCCGAGATGTATAAAAAAAGCAAAGGAAATAAAGAAACCTTCTCTTTCTACATTCTGTCATCTCTCTCCAAGTTCTTGGTTTTGATATTTTTGTTTATGTTAATTAATATTTAGTATATAACAATAATGAGATTATCCAAAATAATAATAAAAAATTCTTAGAGTTGGTGAGTTATGACGGGTTGACCCGGTTCATTTTCACACAACACATATTCAACCCATTACAAATGGGTTAAATATGGATCATAACCTATATTCAACCCGCTCATATTTAACCCTGATCCAACCTAGGCCAGCCCTTTTGCCACCCCTATTATTTACTTTAAAATTACATAGTAGATCTAGCTAGTACTTAAATATTCTCTATTTACACTAATGTTATATTTAGAAGCATCCAGTCAACACCTTATATTTAGAATTAGAAATTCAAAGGTTATACTGTACTAAAATTCCTTTATAAATTTAGAACTAAAAAAAATTTAGTTCAAACTTTATCCTGTACTAAAATTCTTCCATTCCAAAATCCAATTTGAAAAAAAAAACAATAATAAAAAAAAAATGATATACTATAATACTATCATTTTGCAATTATGTTTAAAAGTACCTCACACTCAATTAGGGAACTCTCAGGTTAAATTTTATAAGGGTTAAGTGCAACAAAAGGTACCTCACACCCATTTCACCCTTTTGTTTCTCATTTTGCCCTTCACCCGTTTATGCATATAAGGCCCTCACCCATGTGTGCAGATAAGGACCCCACTCCTAAACCCAATTCGTCTCTCTCTCTCTCTCTCTCCATGTCTGCTTCTTCCTCTGTTTATTTCTTCATTTATTTCTTTATCCATAACTGCACACTATTTATATTATTAATTGTCTCAAAAAAAAAAAATTCATTCACTCCAAAACATGCCATCATCTTCAAGCTCAAGAAGCCTACCCATATGGGAGGTCAGTAAAAGAATATTATTGCATATTACGGGTGCGCAAACTACATGCAGGACTGGTTCATGTGATTTTTTGAGGGGGAGGATGAAGAATTGCCTGCTTTACTCTCTCTCCTCACTTTATATCTCTTTAACCTCTCTCACCTTAATAACTAATTTATCCTTGGATATCAATTCTCGCAGGACTGCAAGTGGAAGAAAGAAGTTGCTGAAATTTTATTACCCTGCACCATTGATCAATCAGAGTCCTTCCCAACAACCTCCACAACCACATAACAACAATTCTACTCCGTCTTGTCCTACACAATTTTTTTTTAACACTCCTGATCCGTATAATTATAATTTTTATCATACACAATTTGTCTATGAATTATTTGGTCTTCCAGTGTTCAACATGTGGACGGGAATGCCTCTGCCAAAGGATCAGGAGTAGAATTATACTCTGCAAAAATCCAAGAACAGAGTGATCAAATTGATCAATTAATCCAAACCCATGTAATGATCTCTCTCATACTAAAATGGGTCTATCTAATTTTTCAATTTCATAGATGTAATTGTGAACCAAACACCCCTCTTCTCCTCCTTCAACAAAACCTAACAGAAGGCAAGCAACATTTGGAACCGTCGCATACCGGCGAGCATCAACGGAGCAAGGCAATGGCCACACAAGGTGTCGACAACAACAAAGCGACATGATCTAGATGGCAACAAAGACGATGGCGATGGAAACCACAACTGGTCCATCGCAAGCCAGTAAACAAACGGCCAAGGCCTTTCCCACCGACTGTGTAGCACGGAGACAGTGAAGCGACGGCTTCTGGTGGAAAAAATTTAACGGTGGGTTTAGTGTTGTAGATCAAAGTTTTTTTGGGTTAGACCCAGTTGGTGTGGTGGCTTCTGGTGGAGAAAATTTTATGTTGAGTGAATCTTTCTTTGCCCACTTCAAGGTTTTCTCAGGATTCAACAATGAAAAGACTGGTTTGGCCCCAAATTCATTAGCTGAAGGGTGTGGTGATGAAGGAAAAGGAGAATAATGAGATGGGTCAGAGGTTTAGAGAGACGAAGAGGAGAGAGAGTAAAGAGAGAGAGAATAAAACTGATAATATAATAAAAATTATAATAAAAATATAAAATTGATACTAATATAAAAGTTAAAACTGATAATATAATAAAAAAATATAATAAAACTGATAATATAATAAAAATAATAGAATAAAAATGATAATATAATAAAATCTAATAATATAATATAATAAAAAACTGATAATAAAAAAATATAAAAATCTGATAATATATATAAAAAAATATAATAAAACTGATAATATAAAAATATAATAAACTGATAATATAAAAATATATATATATAATCTGATAATATAATAAAAAATATAATAAAACTGATAATATATAAAAAAATATATATATAAAATCTGATAATATAATAAATAATATAATAAAACTGATAAGTATAATAAATATATATATATACAATGGCTTCTTGAGGGTATTATCGTCATTTTACATTGTTTGGATGTATAATTATTAATTTATTCAACTGAAGTGAATGTAAGATCGTCATTTTAAGTCTATAGGGACCTATTTGCACCAAATTGATAGTATACGGAATTTTTTACCACACAGGGACCGATATGCACTATATCGATAGTAAAAGGGGGTTTTTTGCACTTAACTCATTTTATAAATGGTGAACTACATTAAACCTCCTTTTTCTATCTGTGTTTTTTACTAAATCCCCTTTCTATTTTTTTTTTTGCCAAAAAGCCCCCCTCAACTATTTAAGGAGGGTGATTTAACTAACGGAAGTTAATTGAAAGATAACTAAAATATAAATTGACTTAAATACCCATTAAAGTCTATTTGAAAATCTACTTTGTATTTTTTTTATTTTTTATTCTTAAATAACCTAAACGACATCATTCACAGAAATTAATACTTTTATTGTTTTTCTTTTTTGAGCATTTTACTAGACTGACAAGTTCACATTAGTCACATGGAAGGAATTTTTTTTATTTTTTTATAGAAAAAAATGATATTGAAATATATATATATATAAAGAGAGAAAACATGTAGGCATAAATATTAATATAAAAAAAGAAAAAAATTAGGTATTATTTCTCGTAGTGTCCCTTTAATAAATCAATATAAAATGAAAATCAATAAAAACCAAACAAATAAATGTACAATATAATTCTCAAATATATAAATATATATATATATCTAGCAGATAAATTTCAAGAAAAAAACCTACATTTATATTGGTCTGAAGGCTGGATGGAAATGAAAATATAATATAAATAATATTTAATGGTACATATTATATATACCATTATATTATGATACAAATTATATATAATATTATAATGATACGTGTTGTTGCAATGATAGAAGATATGTGGCTAAGGGTGATAATGGAGTAGATATATATGTGAAAATATATTAAAATAGGTACAAAAGATATTTTTGTCTAAAAAATATATGAGAAACTAAATGTCCAAACAGCTCCCTTTCAACTAACTTCCGTTAGTTAAATCAACCCCCTTGAATAGTTGAGAGGGTTTGTTGACAAAAAAATAATAAAAAAAAAGTTTAATGAAAAACACAGATAGAAAAAGGAGATTTAATATAATTTACCCTTTTATAAATATACGAAGAACGGATTTATATACAGTTGCAGACTCGTGGATTAATCATCTCGATCCTGGAAGGCTTCTATTGTTTCCAATTTTTTCAATCCCAAAGATATATGAAGAACAAATTCACTGTAAAGAATTCTTACTTGCTAACTTTTGAAAATCAAGGAGGGGTATGAGGAGTTTTTGCAAAATATGAATAGTTCAATGGGTTTCTGTAATTTACCCTAAAAAAATAAATAAATAAGAATTCCTTTAAGGAAAACAATTAAAATTACGAATGAAATATTATAAATAAAATAATGTAATACTTAACTTCAGAGAGAGCTCTATCCTCCACGTAGATGTAGAAATAAATACTACTTACCATTATGTCACAACCCGAAAATCTCTACGTAGATGTAGAAATAAATACTACTTACCATTCTGTCACAACCCGAAAATCTCCCAGTGTTGAACATGCGATGCCAGACCAAGGTGGTATAAATATAAAAATACTTAAACCTGACATAAAGCTAATGGTTCGGAGACAATTTAATTTACTAGCAGCAAATGGTCTTGCAAGTTTAACGTCCTACAAACGCATTCAAGGAAAAAAAATACGACCAAAAGCAAGAATTGTATTGGTGCGGTGTTCTTCAAACAGTGTAGTTATATTCCTGTAATAGTCCTCCAAAGATTCCCAGCCAACAGCACCACCGACTACTTCTTCAACTGTCAAACCAGCTTCCTTGCTCTTTATCGCAAAGTCCATGAGAGCACCAACTGGGAAAAAACCACTAATTCTCTCTATTATCTCTTCCATAGCTATGACGCAACTACTCAAGCAATGCAACTTTCTGATAGACTCGTATAAAACGAGACAATCATCATCATCAGGTCCAATGAAGTAGCTAATATAATGATTCAAATGTGGACGCATTTCAACCAAGTCATAAGGGCTGCATCGGCACAAGAACAACCTCACCAGATCATAGTGAGACAGGCTTGGGTGTGAAGCTGCACTAGTCGATGCTTCGCCAGGCATAAAATGGATCATAAATAAAGCTGCTAGAGTATATTCCATTGGGACTTCACCAGAACATGGTTCACCAGATGAAGATTCCAACCTTTCTTTTTCTAGCTGTCTTGTCAACAACTGAGAGGAGGTCACCAATACCATCTGCTTACAAAACAACCAAAAAAAAAAGTTTATAAAACTAAGCTAAAGATGACCAAGTGAGGTAGGGGGGAAAAATTGCTTAATAAATGAATGCGTGGTAAATGAAAAGTGAATCCAAGGTTTGTTTACCAAGCAATTCTATACTACCCGTCAATGACAATCACCTTAGGGACCATGACAGACCCGATTGCCAAGGCCAGTAGCTGTCATTATGTTGAACTACATATGAAATCAGTGGATGTCCAGAATGGTTACCTTTGCTAGCAGGTACTGAGCAGCTACATTCCCAGCTTGTGCACATAGTTTTAACAAGCCATTGCTATGCTGGAATAACTTGTATTGACCTGATATCCTCACATTATTGAAACCTATAGCTTTTAAGACATCTGGATCTTCAGAAGCATTCATAAGAGCCTTACAGCTGCAATAGTACGGTTACAGGAAAAGGAAAAAGCTAACATTTTAGTGAAATATCATGGAAACAGTAAAAAGAATTTAAAATAGAACGAGGTTGCATTGCCACAGTACAAGTGGCTAGGATAAAACTCATTCCAAGTTGGATATACATCAATTATTGGCCAAGCTAAATGCATAGACTCCGAAGGCAAATGAACCTAACTGGAGCTTAGATCTGACACAACCAAATCAGTTGAATTTAGGAATCAGTGTTGGACCCGAGTTTGCAACTTATATTCCATGTTGGGTTGACATCAAGCATTTGCCAAGCCGAAGTCTAAGCTGTGGCAGCAACTATTACAATTGGAGCCTAGACCCAACCCAATGAACTCAGCTAAGTCTATACCTCTCATCCTTAAGATCAAACCATTCTGAAGTTCAACTTTCATTTTCATTTTGGTTTCGGACAGGTTCCGTTAATGGCAATGTTTAGAATATAGATATATAAGATATAAATGTAGGCGTTGGCTACTGAGAAAAGTGTCATCATTATCATTGCCTTTTTCCCAAATGAATGGGGTCAGCCACAAGAATTCTCTTTTTTCATTCTATTGTAATATAGAACATATCTCCTCTAATATATATATATATTTTTTTGTGAAATCGTTTTCAATTACTTACATTTTTTTTTTCAGCCTCCCTTTCCCTCACTTTTCACACAAACTAATCTTCCCTGTTTATGATCTATATGTCCAATTATCCATAAGCTTATGTTCTCTTATTTCATTACTAAAAGGCGTTATCCCCAATATCTTCCTCACAACTAGGTTAGTAAAACTATCTTTTCTCGTAGAACTCCTATAATCTACATCATCATCCTCATTTCAGTTACAGTACATGTGTATTTATCATATAGATCAATTATCTAGTTGGGTTGTTTCACAAAACGTATCAATACTCAGCTGACGGAAGGTTGGTAGAGGGCTCAATTGAAAGGCAAAAAAAAGGAAAAAAGTCAAGTCAGGTTCAAGTAATCTCATGTACCAACTACTTCAAAACAGAGATCCGCCTTCAAAAACAGTGTCTTACACAGATTTAGCTCTTGCAACATCAGCTGCCCCATCTGATGATTGTGCGACTAAAGTCAGGATGTACTGCAGCAATTCTACATGCAGATTAGAAATTGTCTTTTCCATTGCCTTCATAGTTTGAGCTGCAAACAAATTAATACATCATCATAGAAACAGGTAATAGATGGTTCGTCAAAGCTTTACCAGGAGAGTCTTTAATCTTTGCAAAAACCTCTAAACAATCCGAAATAATTATTCCAAGTACACCAAACAAATTAGCAATCATATAGCAAAGACGTCTGAAATTGACACATTCCGGTTGGAAAAATGTTGTGAAGAAACCCCCCCTTAAATCACGTTTTCTAAGTGACCAGGTCAAGGCCGAAGCTTATTTTTCAAAAGAAATACCCTAAATGCCCTTAAACCAAATTTTTGCAAGAAAGTGCCAAAGTTGAGTCCAAAGGGTACTCATTTCATGCAATTGTGAGGTTTTGTGCAAAGTGAGCATGCATGCAAACGTAATATGCATATTTGAATGTGTTACAATGGCCTACGGTCCTAAAATATCCCCAATGCAAAATAAGACCTATCAAACCTCAAATTCTCAAAATATTTCCAAATGAAGCGTGAAATAAAAAGAGTAAACTCATAAATTAAAGTTACTTGGCCCTTGACCTCATTACATACATGTCACAATCCCTCTGATCCTGCACAACCCACTAATGTCATGATTTATAAGGTTTATGGTATTAAGTCCACTGATGAGGGCTGATCTTCCCCAAAAGCTCAAATTTACGGGAAGGTTTGGTATCTCGATGTCGGCTCTTCGCCACCTAGGGCTATAGTATGTCTATGACATGGAGGAAATCCATTTATATAAACGAAAAAAACAAAAGATGAAAAAGGAAAAAGGAAAAGCATTTTTTTAGAGGAGCATGCCAGCACGCAATGGTATGGACGGTTTTGTTTAGGGACAATAAAGTCCAGCTAAAGGGAGACATAAATTACCATTAAGGAGACAAACCATATGTCTCCCTTTACATTATGTGTTACAATTTATAGAGAATCCAATCTAGCTAGTCAAAATCAATGTATAACATGCCAAAATTGTTCTGATATTTGGTGCAAAAATGGCATCTAAAACAGAAAGGAGAGTTTGAGATTAGGTACACGTTGTCTCACATGGACAATAAATAAATAAATGATGACTTTTAACACTTTAATATTCAAAAGAGCAATTAATACAATCTAAATAAGATGAAAGATTAAATTAAGACCCCCAAGCAAAGCGATTTCATATCATATCAATAACGTTGAACGAAATCTAGAAAGCACTATAACACATTATATTCTAATAAAATGCTTCTGAGGAGATCTTTTCCAACTAAATAGCCTTAAGATGAAAATGCAATGTGATCATACTAGTTAAGGAAAAAAAAATTTTAATGATGTAAACCAAGTTAACCAACAGAGAAGTATAAATAGTGAAAATTTGTTTTCTAATGCATTTCATAACATCTACTTGACATAAAATATCCAGTCATAATACGTTTTTATTGAAGTAATAATAACTGTATGAAAATACCAAATAAATGAAAATTAGAGACTTAAACAATAAATTACTAAATTAAACAAAAATAGCAAATGTAGTAAACGAACTATAGATATAATTCTGCTACTCTTAGCTGCTTCATTTAAAGTAAAATCACTGTCTTTAACTTGTGCGTGACAAGTTGCAAAAGTAATAAAGAAAATGCTAAGTAAATAACTGCTAAAATCACCAACTAAAAAAATATCATGGAAATTGTTTATAAAATAAAATAGAGAAGTTGAATGGTAGTTACAGCATTTCTGAAGAGATGCGCTTCATAATTATGCAATGGATTAACACAATTACAGTTGCACCATGTATCAAACCCATGCTGCCATGCAGTATATTAGAACAAACATTACAGATCTCAAAAAGCAATCAAGCGTTCTTTGTTTTTTTTATTCAGATAGTTAAGAAAGGAAAAATGATCAACTTTTACTGAAATATTCGCAGGAAGATTCATATCCCCAGCCTGACTGAAATATATACATACACATATATATATATATTCAAAAACCGAAGGGAAAAAAGTAAAAGGCATAAAACCCAAGTACTAGGGATTCAAAATTTATGATTCATTCATTGTTTTATTGTATTATATTAATATTATTATTTATAATAACAGCATGAAAAGCAAGAAATAATTCTCAGTAAGGTGTTTAATAACTCAATTCAGCACTTAATTCTGAACGGATCAAGTGTTTATCCAATTAAGTGTGTTTGATAACACAATTTGAATATCACTGAAAACAGTAAGCGCCACATAAAATGAAGTAAAATCTTAAGTAATAGGAACATCACTAATCACCGAATGCTGAAAATTAAAATATATATATTTTTTAATTACCACTTAAAAACTTCAGCTCTTAGTACTTTCAGCACTTAATTTTCAGTCTAATCAACCAGCACCGAAAGCATGAAATCTTACCAAACTAGAGCGGTAGAAGATAGAAACAATAGTTCCCAATTTTTTGAGTATGCTTACCTGCGATGGAACAGAAAAAAATACACCAAAAACAATCTGTTACAACGAAATCCCTAAAGTGTAGAGTTCTATATATATATTTCCCTAAATAGTATCAGTAGATATTCAAGAAACAGAAAAAGAACGAAAATACATGTTCGTAGAAGCTGGTTTTTTAATTTTTATTAAAAAGACAGACTTCGCCTGATTGCAGTGGCTGGAATGGATAAAAGAGCTATTTGTGCTTTATACTCCAATTTGGTAATGGAAAAAGGCAAGGAAAGAGAATTAGGAAAAAGCAATTTGCTCTCATCTTACTTACCGAAAAGAAAAAAATAAGAGAAATAGCTTTTTTGAGCATCTTTCAAGGAACACGACAAGTCCTTGTAATGAGAGACAAGAAGCACCGCATGCGATGTGAAGGAAGTCAAGAAATGGGAAGCATTAGACATGAAATGTCTCGACTTGCCCCAACCCGTGGAGATATTGTCCGCTTTGCACTCTCCTCTTGCTAGTCATGGTTTTCCCTAAAACGCATCTACACATTTAGAAGTGTCCACACATAAAAGTGTCATCAAACCAAACACCTCAAGCGATGTGGGACGTCACAATCACCCCCTCTTGGGACCTAACGTCCTTGCTTTCCAAAACCTCATGGGTTTGTGCACGCTCCCTCCATTTCCGGCTGAAAATTGGCTCCAATACCATCTATCGCAACCCTCCCCAACCCATGCAAATATTGTCCGCTTTGCACACTCTCCTCTTGGTGATCATGATTTTGCTCGAAACGCGTCTACACAGTTAGGAGTGTCTACACATATAAGTATCATCAAACCTCTCCCCCGGGCAATGTGGACGTCACATGAAAGCTCCACTAATGCAACAGTTAAAGTGCTTTCCCCATTAAACAAAAATCCTAGCAATAGGGAATATATTGGCCTCTGTTACCCGAACTAGCGCTTTTACCCAATTATTCCCGTCAATATGACACAACATGACAAGGAAACAGATATGGGGACATAAGAAGAAAGGAAGGCAAGAAGGTTATTCAGGTATCAAGGTTCTGATCTCTCTACAAAGTTTGCAATACACAATTAAGTATGGTTGAGATGTCTAATTGTTCTTAACAAAAAATGTATCCTATTCCACAAGGCACGTTCTGGATTAGAAGTAGAGATATAAGCTACAATAAGACTATTATAGTAATAGATAAGCCAAGCCCTATTGGACGAAAGCCAATATAATCCCCATGCTAGGTAAGGATGTCAATGGGGCGGGTTCGGGACAGGGAACCCGTCCCACTAATGAAAATCTTTTTCCAAACCCATTTTGGGGCGCCCCACATCGGGGTGGGGGTGTCCCGTTATACATATTTTTTAAGAAAAATAATTCAAACTTGAATAAATTTAAGATAAATTTTATAATTTTTTTATAGTATAGTCGAATATTTAACAATAATAATAACAAAAAAATGTAGTTAAAATATTAAAATTTTATAAGAAATAAAGGGAAAATAAAAACTATAGCTACTAAAATAATATTTATTTATATACTCCCTCCATCCCATATTAGAGGTCCATATATAGAAATTGGAGTTTTTAAGGGGACATGCATTTAATGCATTGTCCCCTTTTAAAATTACCAACTTGTCCCTTCTAATTTAAATATATATAATTACAAAGTTTGAAATTTTTTTAAAAGATAAAGGAAAATGATGGAAATATAGAACTTATTTGCTTGACTTTTCAAAGAGGACAACTAATTTGGGACATAAAAAAAGAGAAAAATGGACTATTAATACAGGACGGAGGGAGTAATAATTACTAATCAGGGCAGGTTCGGGGCTTTGCGGCTTTTAAACTCTTTTCCCAAACCTGTCCCTAACCCGATTAGGAAAATCCCAAACCCGTCCCAATAAGGGTGGGACGGGGCGGGTTAAATTGATATCCCTAATGCTAGGTAGACTTGTAAACAGATTGGATTCAGACCGTTTATGGTCGATCAATCCAGATCCGATAAGAATAGTAGGATATCCGATTCGATCCAATAGTCCGGCAGATTTTTACTTAGTAAATCCATATCCATGTTTTAGTTTATAGGATGTTCGATCCGATAATCCGATCTGATTATAAAACTACACAATTACACAAATCAACAAACAATTATCTCACTATTACTACAAAAAGAAATTAAACACAAAATTATCATGTCCATAGAAAATAGAAGGACAAACAAAAATTATTTTTGTCACTCCAAAAGGAAGAAGAAGATGCGAGGGGAAAAAAGAGGAAAAAAAATACAAAGTAAATCTGTTGTGAAAGGGGATAAAAAATTAAAAAATAAAAACACAAATTAGGGATTGTAACTTGTATCAGAGAATAAGAAAAGGAAGAATATAAAGAAAATAACAGAGAAATTTTACGGAAGGCAAAAAAAAAAAAAAAAAATGAATAACCCAAACTAGGGCTTGTAAAAGAGAAATAGAAAAGGAAGAAGAGAGAAAATAAGAGAGGAGAAAGATTTTACCGACGGCCGATTGAAGATCTCCCTCTTACCACTTCGTTGTTCGAAGATGTCTCTCTTACCGCTTCGCTGCTCGAATATCTCTCTTACCGCTTTGTTGCTCCCAAAGTCTTAAGTTCGGAACTTCTCTTTGATTTTCCCTCTATAAGATTGTGAGAGAATCTAGCAACTTTTAGACTAGTTTAAAGAAGGGAGTGTTGTTAACATGTTTGCTAGTGCCTAGTATAATTATGCAACCAATTAAATTTGATGGTAGATGATTAATGAAAGATAATCTAATGGTAACAATTAATATATAGCGTACACATACTACTTAACATATATAACATACATATATAGTATATTGTAGTGTAATATATATATATATATATATATATATATATATATATATATATATATATATAATATTAATCAGATCGGAAGCACAAATCCATATCCGATTCGTTAAGGCAACAAATTATCGGATTCGGATCATTATCAGGTTATCGAATTTTTGTTAAATCCATATCCGGTTATTCAGATCAGAATCCGATCCATTGACAAATATACATCCAAGTCTAATTGAAAACTCAAATCCATCCTTAGGAAAAAGAAAATGTCTGAACTTTTGAGGAAGTTCTATCAAACAGGAATTATAGCCAATATCTTCACACAATGGCAACAAATTATGACTTTGTGAGATAATTTGCTTTCATGAAGCTTTTGAGGATTGACCAATAATCCTCTATGCTGATATATGTGTGTGTGTGTGTGTGTAGTGTAGAGAGAGAGAGAAGAGGAAGAAGAAAAAGAAGAAACAAAGTGAACAACCACACCAAGCTGAAAACTTGGCATAAGCTAATGGTTCAGACACTATCTTTAGAATCTACAATTATTAGAGAAGCTAGTAAATAGAGCATGGATGGTTTTACAAGTTGTTTCAAGGTTTACAAACTCAAGCCATGAACCTCACATAAACGCATTCAAGGGAAAACATGACCAAAAGCAACCATTGTATTGTGCAATGATTATATTGGTGTGGTGTTCTTCAAATAGTGTAGTTATTTCCCTGTAGTCCTTTAAAGCTTCCAAGTCAATATCAGCACCAAATACTACTTCAAATGGCAAACCTGCTTATGTGCTCTTTATCTTTAGGTCTAAAAGACAGCATCACCAAATTTTCTAGTCTATTCTTCAATGATATCGTGTATTTGTTGCTTCATAACAAGATCCTCAAACCATCACATACTCCGATTGGTTAATTTGAAGTCCATGGCTGATGAGAGAGAGATAAATCGGTGAAGCTTGAGAGGGACAAAATATTTCTAAATAACATGGATATTGGATATAGGAAAAACTTGGGATGATGAGATCAAACTCTCCACAACTACTCTTAATTAACAATTTTAGTTTAACCTTTATTTGTCTTCATATTATAGTCTTGTCAGTCTTATAAATTCATCAAAACAAAAAGGTCGTGTTTTGGAGGTATGGAAACTCAACAATGTTCAACCAAATTTGGCCCTTTAATTGAGAGTGGCAGGTCCACTGCCATAAATCCATGCCTTGTTAAACCTATATAATAAATAATTATTTTTTACTACACAACTATATTTATTCATTCAGAGTGAAACCCTAAATCATAAGTATTGACTCTATCTACATAATTTTAATTTACCAATTTAGTTTTTTTAGTTCATATTTGATGATTACATTTTGTAAAACAAGGGGAATTAAATAGGATAAAAGGGTCCTTATACATGCCATAAAGACCCACATATTAATTCAATATGCTTTATCAATCGTGTCGTGTTACATATTTAATAGGTAGCTCGTGATTGTATAAAGGGTTCTTGAAACTACAAAAACAATAAACTGGTTAGATTCAGATTGACACATATACATAAATGTCCTTGTCTAAAAGCAACACAAACACGTCTGGTTAAAACGAATTGTTACCCTTGTAGTTGTCGGGGAAAAGGGATAAGAAAGGAATACGCCATTACACTATTAAGTATTGGTTGAGTAATTCATAGGGAAAATGATGGGCTAAGCAACAAACATTAATTGACAATAGTTTACCTCGAACTAGGACAAATAGAGAAACTTTGATCAAAACAGATGTAATATCCTTTTAAAGTTGCATCATTAACTAATGAATAAATGCTTCCTTAAATACATAATAAATCTGACACCCTGTATAATAAACCAAAAAAATAAAAAAATTGTAGTAATCTAAAAAAATATATTTGTTGAACTTGATCTTGATAATTGTTATAATCAATTATTTAAATTGATCCCAACGCTAATGATAGCTACAAAAGCATATGAGAACAAAGTTTCTCCCAACTTGATAAACTATATAAAATGAAGAGAACAATATAATCACATGCATAGAATCAGAGAACTATATAACAACTTAAATTTTCATAAGAAATTTAAAAGAGAAAACTATAAAACTGTGCTTGTTAGTTCTACAAGTGGGTAAACAATAAGATAGGAGATGGAGGTGGAAAGGCACATGCCAAAATCTGGGAAATGAGGAGCAAAAATTAGTCTAAAGATATCATGAGCCCTATTATTCTAACTATAGATAGAGTTTAAGGCAAAACATAAGGAATTGAAATCTTCTTATTTTAAATTTTTTAATTGAGGTCAATGCTTGAGACAATGGTAAAGGCCCAGACCAATGAACATGAGGACACGAATTCAAACAGGATGGTCGTCACGTGATGCAAAACAGTGTAAAATATTAGGATTGACTACGGTCTTCCCTTCCTAGTGCCTGTGTAGGTGGAAAAAAAATTGGAAAAGATATTTTCGATAAAAGCCAATTTGTAAATAATTATATCAAATGTTAGGTTTATATCCAGTCTTTTGCTGCCAGAGTCCCCGAACTCTCAGAAGTAGACAATAAAGGTTCTATTCTTAAATTTCCAATAGTTTGGACCCAAAGTAAGAAAAGCTTCAACTTAGTTAATCCTGAGAAAGGTACTAGTTTAGTAAATAAAGACCACCAATGGAATAATGTGTCAAACCAAGTTACGAGAAACTAAAATAAATAAACAAGTTATAAGGAAATAGCATATATACGCATAAATACTCTTTTTGGTTGTTGAGACAATGTGGATTATAGGAAAAGCAAGGAAACTAATAATTTTTTTTTTTTTTTGCGTTCTCATTGCCCAGGGCTCCAAATCATGTTGAGCCTAATATATCTAGTTGATATAATTGCTTCTTCAAAACCACATACGATGACATGTTCTATCACCTTCCACCAACTTCTAAACAATGATAGTGTGTGTGAAAAAATAGCCCCTTTTACTCAGTGGCAAAACAAATGATTTGAAGAATAGTAGCTTAGGTTCCTTCTAGTCCATATGTCTAAGCACTTACTTATCACAAAAGAAAATAAAAAGGGTAATGTATGGTCTTCTCAAACTATATGGCTATGCAAGAAGGTAGTTTACCAATTATCTAACTCTACACAATGCAACATGATAGCTCAAGGTCATACCAAACCTTATGTCAAGACAAGTAACAATTGAAACAACACTAGCTCAAGATCCCATATATATTACATATTGGGCCATCTGTCATGTATATATAGTAAATCGCGTGTATCAAGGGAAGCTACAATTTTTTTTTTTTTTTTTATTCATACGTAAGAAAGCATTAAAGGCGCTCAAGAATGGAAGGCACCAAAAGAATACAAAAGCCGCCCATAGCGACATTATAATTTTAAGCTATCCACAAAATCCAAAAGAACATCCATAGATTTACAATTCCTCCCATTGACCCAAAAAAATAAAGAAGGCAATATATTGTATTTGATAGACCAAATAGGAGACTCCTCCCCCTCAAAGGATCTCCTATTTCTCTCACACCACAAGCCCCACCATAAACAAAGGGGAGTGGCTTTCCAAGCATCTCTGACAATAGAAGCTACATATTCGGTGATCTTATTATTTATGGTCTTTTCAGCACATAAGCAGATCAAGCATGGTATTTTAAGATTCTAGAGACCGTTTAATTCAATATTGCTGCATAAGGTCCTACTAGTACATGTCTTAAAAGATTTAAACAAATTAATATCCCATAAGAAGTGTCAACAAATCATGAAATTGTTGAACAAGGCAAAGATTGCAGCCGTGCCTGCTTTATTATGAAGGAAGAACAGACGGCAATGAAATTTACACCCAAAAAAAAAATGACAGGTGGCTTTTTAACTCCTACTAAAAGATGTTTGGGGATTAAGAAATTGTACATTGGGGCAGATATATATTTACGCAACAATCTTAGTGGCCCTACTATAAGGCTACCTGCTGTTTGAAAATTCAACAATCCATATTAAGGCAACCATCAATTGAGGTAGCAAAACAATGAAAGTTCCTGCCATATGATATGCATATTGAGACAGTGAGCTTAAGGCCCAAGCAAAACCATATGTCAAGGCAGCTAATTGCAATGAGGCGAAGTGTCAGATCAAGACAGCACAAGAGTTTAAAGGTTTAGCCAGAAATTAAGTAACCTAAGTACAAACAACTAGCTCATATGACAAAAGGAACTAACCATATGACAAAAGGAACTAACTTGTGTACGAGAAGGCCATGAACAAAGGCATGCTTGGGGCAATATTGAAGTTCGAAGTCTGCCAAAACTGCAAAAGTAGAACATGGTCCACTATATCAGATATTAATTGACCATCCGTTGAGGTAACATTGGAGAGTAAGGAACATAGGAACTGTCAACTTAAGGTCTTATATGATGATATGCCGAAGAAACATGAGTCACATGACAGGTTGTAGTTATTCATTCCTTGCCTGTTACAAAAGCAGCATTCCAAAGGAATTTCAAACTAGGTTGTATGGCAACAGGAATATAGCTTCTGCATTAAAACCCAAAACTAGTTTAGGACAACGTAAACCGTATATTGAGAAAATATGTATGAAGAGAACATTATAATTTTATGGTCTTACCAAACTTTTATTTAAGGCAACATTGTTGTTCAAGATCTCACAAGACCGAATACCAGAGGGCAACCATCCAATTACGAAACATAGAAGCAAAAGGTTCTACCACACCAAAATTTTTAGGGTAAATTTCACCTAGACCCCCTGAGGTTGGCGCATATTTCACCTAGATGGAGATTTGGTTTTTAGCGACCACTTAGACCCCAATTTGATTTTTGGCCTCAAACAAATGCAAATGGACATTTTTACCCTCAAAATTTTAATACTACAAAATATCTTTAATTTTAAATGACATAAATGCCCCTCTTTCATCTCTTTCGTCTGCGTCTGCGGTCCTCCCACCCACCCCCTTCAGCCACTAACACACCACCTCAAAAAATGCATAAAACACCCACAAACCACCACCTCTGTAATCAATCAAACAAACCAAATCTTACACCCAATCACAATCCCACAATCAACGCCCCAATTCACAAAATCGGAGCATGTAATTAACAATCCACAAGAAGAAAAAATAAATAAATAAATAAATAAAAATTCAACAATCCACCGCCTGCAAATCAAACCCAAACTCGGCAACGATGGCTGCCATCGAGACCTGCAAGACTCAACAAACCCAGCTGGAGATGAATCCGAACCAAAATCGGACTCAAACCATGGCAAAGACAAGCTCAACACCCCGTCGCTGGAATTGCGCCACAGGCGCTAATCGACATCTTCTTGAGGAGAGAAGTCACGGCATGTTGGAGGTCCTCTTTACCGCGATCGACGGCGATTGGTGACTGTCGATGCAGATCTTGACCGTTGGCTAGAGGTCTTCCGGCGATATGCTCTCGATTATCTCCGTCGAGAAGTTCTCGCGTTGCAGAAAACCCAAGCTCAGGGACCATCTGGATGATAGCAAGCTTGTGACTTCGGATGATGGCGGCGGCGAGCTTGAGATTCAGTCATCCCGTCCATCGCCGAGCTCCCTCATCCTAGCCGCTTCGATCTCATAGCTGACCGCCGAGAGTCCATCCCATTCACCGGCTGCCGATTCAGTCATCCCGTCCATCGCCAAGCTCCCTCATCCTTGCCGGTCAGACTTAAACGTGCACAGCTGCAGTTCATCCACAGCCATCGCCCGAGCACGCCGTCGCTGTCATCTAAGCCGCCGCTAGTCATCCACGGCCAAACCAATCTCCCAACCTTCTCAACCGCCGACCTATATTCGACTCCCCTGTTCTATTTATCAGGCTCCTCTCTCTATATATATGTGAATCACTCTCTCTCTCTCTATGTCAATCACTCTCTCTCTCTCTTCACAAATATCAGAGAGGTCTCACTTTGCCAATCTACACTCTAGCCTCACTTCCCCAACAGAAGATGGTGTGGGTTAATTGGGATGATTGTCTGAGAGGAGGATGAAGAGGAAATGTGTGTTGGGGGCAGTTTAGTCACAAAAAATAGTCAACACGAGGTCAAAGGGTAACATAGTCATTTAACACCAAAAATTGACATTTGAGGTGTAAGTGAAATTTTAAGCCACTAATTGGGGTCTAAGTGGTCGCTAAAAACCAAATCTCCATCTAAGTGAAATATGCGCCAACCTCAGGGGGTCTAGGTGAAATTAACCCAAATTTTTATCTCACATTAACCAAACAGTTTATATTTATTCAAGGTTGCTCCATTGTGACCTAAAGGTCATGGGTTCGAAACAAGGAAACATCCACTCCGATAAGGAATGCTGCATCCTTTTGACCCTCCCCAGACCTCGCAATGACGGAAGCCTCGTGCACTAGGTTTACCTTTTTAGTAGGAGAAAAATGGCATTTGCGTACCAATGCAATGACTAGCAATTTAAATATATATAATGTAATTAATTTCTACAACTTTGCAAAACATTAAAGACAACCAACTTTATAAAAGTTAAGTTTTCTTCCAAAAACAAAAAAGGAGAAATAGATTAACTTTTAGGCATTTTTAAACCTAAAATTTTTGTAATAAAATGGTTCGAAGATAAGAAAGCAACTACTCGTCCTAACAAATTAAAACCTTCGTTCTATGGAAAAGATAGCCTATGTAAAGAACTTAGGTTTCTATATAGGTGACCAGTAAGTGATGCAAACTTTAACTTCTTCAAGCCACTTTCCTCCCACTTCTTTTCCCATCATCAAGGGCTCATATTAGCTCATTGAGAAAGCACCAAAAACAGAGAAATTAATCGCATACGGAAGAAGGGGCCATCAAATGCCATACATATGCCAATGGTAATGTTACAATATTTCCAAAGTAGCTGAATTCAATAAATATTCTGAATTAACTAAGTGATTGTCCAATTAAATGATTTTCATAGTCCAATTTGGCTTTCAATTATAAGAACAAATTCCGTTAAGATGGAGTTAAATTGTAAGTGACAAATTCCACTTATCACTTAATGATGAACACTTAAAATTCATATAAGTATTAAAAAGATACCAATTTACAATTAGCACTTATAGCTTTTTTAGAAATTTCAATACTTGATACTCAGATTTATCAAACACCGTCTATATCTTACTAATTCAGTTCTAAGAAACTCCAAAACTTGATTCTCATTCTTATCAAACACCACCTATATCTTATTAACGTGAGTACATGACAGACCATTAAGGCCTGAGGTCATTGCTTGGTACATTGGTTTGAATCTTACAGGGATTGAATCCTTTGTGTAATTAAAGGCTGTGTTTGGAAAAAAACCAATGCAGTCTTCTATTCACAGGAAACCATCTGATGAATGTGTTTGACACTTTAACAACGATTGGATTCATAGTTAGAAATAATAGTACTACATGTGTTGACAGAATAATGACCAGGTCAAATTCATAACATCATTAACATGTCAAATCAACTATACTACATGGTAGTTACAATTAAACTAAATCGGGGAAAAAAATTAAAGAAAAAAAATTAAATGACTGAATTACTAAAATCTCAAGTTCAGTCGTGCTCCGTGTTCGTGGTAGAACCGACATCAAAATAAGCTTTCCATATTGGATGTTGATTCAACATTAGAAGAATTAGGGTTGGTATTGCTGAGAGAAGAAAAGGCGCAAAAAAGGATATAGAATTAGAGAAAATAGATTGGTAGAGAGAGAGAGAGAGTTCAAATCCCCTCGGAGCACTCTCAAAGAATTTTCTATTACTTGTCTGGTTCATGTAAACAGAAGGACTGCATTTGCCCGCAGTAGGCTATGCGGTGCTCCACGAAACACGATGCCAGCAGCATCGAAAAAAATAATCCATATTATCACTACTAAAAATTAGTTTATTTCTTAATATATTGTGTGTATTAAAGACCATCTCATAGCAAGAGACTCATTTTAGAGGAAAATTTAAAACTTTTCAATTAAGGTAGAAAAACCTAATGGCATGTTAAAAAGGTGCAAATGGCTGTCCTTTGTTACATTCTCCCCCACCCAAACTCGCAACGCCCTCGTTGCGGTTGGGTCACCCTGCCTACCCGGGTGGACTCACCCGGACGCCTTCCGGACCGGGCGCTTGGCGTGGCACCGATGACTGGGTTTGGCTCTGATACCAACTGTAACGGGTGGGCGCTTACCCATTTACCCAAAAGCTCGAACGGTTAGGTAAAGCTGCATACCCACCCATTTATACCCAATCTCTTTCCCATCCGATTCCGATGTGGGACAAAATAACCCTTGTTACACCTATCTATTCAATAAAAACAAATAAGAAAATCAAGATCTTTAGCCAACAAAATATGATAATTTTCCCAAAATCATGAAAACAATTTATAAAATTCAATTACGGAGTAATAAAACGTAATATCTCATAAATAAATAAAAAAGTAGAATATTGTCACGAACAACATACTAATAATTTTCCGAGCCTATCATTCCAAAGAGCTTTTCCCTTGCAGGAGGTAAACCTATATTAAGCACAGCCAGATTCAAACACCTTTAGAACTTCGGAAATATATGGAAATTTTACTTTGATAACAATCAGAAGTTTTTTCATTCATGAAAACAGAATAATGATAAGAACAGGAAGTAGAATAAACTTGAATCGAGTTCAAAATGGTTAAAGAAAGCATGTAAAACCTGAATTGAATAACATATTCAATCAGAATATATTTACCGAAAAAAATAAAATAAATAATAATATAGCCTCCGGGGACGGCTACCTGGTGATTGAGGAGCCATGTCTCTTAGAGGTCGCCAAAACCCTAACCTAATCGTGAGATAGTGAGGTAATAATGGGTTCTCTCTTTGGCTTTTCCTCTCAGATAGATTCTATGCCTCTCTTTCCGGTGCATTACTTCGGTGAGAGAAGCGGCAAAACGTAATCATTACTACTCTAAAGTCTAAACATGATCAAATAAGATGAAATATATATATATATATATATATATAATACGTATGTAATTGACAAATTAGATAATTTCATTTGCAGAGTATTGTTACATGTAACCTCTTTGTTGCTTCTGTATTTTGAAATTGTATGAGATTTTTAGTATCGCTAATTTTGTGTCTCAACAATTTCAAATTAAATAAAAGCTAACAATTAAATTTATTTAAATAAAAAAATTGCATCTAACAAATAAAAAATTGCTCAGTGTTAATAATAGATACGGATTTCTAATTAAGTTAATAAATACGTTTTTTGTTTGAGCATTGTTCTTTTTATAGAAATATCATGAATGTAATTTTACTTTTTCTTAAATGTATTGTAGTTTTCTTATGTAACAATAATTTAAAGAAAAAAATACAATATGTTGATACACTTTTTATACAAACTTACCTTTAATTGCTAAAATTAATTGATTTTAAAAATATAGAGGACAAAAAAGAAAAAAAATTATTTCATTAATTATACAGAAATTGATGGTGGAGCCATGAAATCCCGAATCTAAATTACAAATTTTATTAGGGTTATATATGGAAATACTGAATCTATAATTCATTTTATATTTTTATAAAATTAGGATAACACAAGGGTTCAATACTAAGTTTTTTTTTTTTTAAAAAAAAAAAAATCACAAGAATCTAATTACTTAATGATTACTTAGTATCTTCCGAATTTTAAAAAAAAATCAGGTAAAAATATGTAACGAAGAATTTTGAAAAATTGAGTGGGATATTTTTAAATTTTAATAAAATACATAATTAATAATACAAGTAAAAAATTTTAATCATCTGTGCTAGGTCGTGGCTGGTTAATAGATTATAATGTATTGATAACAAATCAAGATTAATGCATTACTCGATGTAATTATTTCCAATATTTAAAATCAATTATACAACAAGATGCGGAGAATGATGACATGCAAATTGTAAATTTTGAATAGGGTGCACAAAATGGATGAATCCTGTTTGAGTTCTATACCATAGACAAATATCAAATAAGTTAACAAGAAAAAAATATACAATGCAACAAGAAGAAAAAGAAATAAATAGTATACTTAAGTGGTATGCACAGATATTTAAGAAAAATTTGTAAACTCATGAGTGAAAAAAAGTAGGGCATGATAGAGAGTTCATTGGGCACATGTGATTAATTTTATGTGAGTAAAAAAATTATGTTATTGTGACATTAGTAATATTAACTACATTATGACATTGTTAACCTTCACTCACACGTTTCACAAAATTGATAAACTTTTGGTGATAAGTAAATTTAGGTGTCCTATTATTATTAATTTACTATGGTAAATTAACATCTAAAAATAAAAGTTGTTGGATATAATTAGGGTGCGTTTAGTAACGTTTTCATTTTCTGTTTTTGTAGTCTTAAGAAAGTAGAAATATGATTTTGCTTTCTTGAGTGAAAACAGAAAATGATGTTTATTAACATTTGTTGTTGTCACAAATTTGAAAATATAAAACAATAACTGTGTTTAGTTATACAACATATTTGTTACAAAAATGTATATAATATTCTTTAATTTTTTATTTTTTTCATGGCAAGAATTTTTAGGAGTTAGTGATTAGAGAATTTAGAGGGAAGGGTGAGGCGGGAGGATAGATAACTTAACACGAACTCTTGGACACATGGAACAACCCGATCACTTAGGCACGACACTTGCTTCCATTAATATAAAAAAATAATAAATATAGAAAATCTAATTTAAAATTATAAATCTTGAAAATACCTAATACATCATAAGTGCAAAATTAGATATACTAAGATAAAAACATTCCCACCAATTATGTATATAATAATACATGTATATGTATGATGTATACATTTATTATGCGATATATAATATATTTAGTATATGATAATTTATTATGAATTAAAAATATTAAATATTATATCTTATATGTAATAAAATATATATTATACTATAATATTGTAAATTAATTATAATTTAATATTTACATATAAAATAATATTGATATGATATATAATAATATAAAATATCTACTACTTAATAATTTAATAACATTATATTCTATATCAAAAATTATTTTGTCACAAAAAATAATTTACATTATAATTTAATATATTATATATTAAAATATATTTTTATCAAATAAAAATAATATACCATATTTAATTTATTTTATATTTAAAATATATATTTTTATTAACATTTAATATGTAACTTAGTATATAACACAAATAATATGAATTTTATTTGAAATGAATAGTGCCTGTGTAGTAACATTAGTAAAAACGTTTATGCGTTACAATGCCGAAAACATAAGAAACATCATTTTGATGTTTTCTCTTTTTCTTCACAAAAATTGAAAACGTTCTTTATTATAAAAAAATAAAAACATTTTATTGAACGTAATTTTTGTTTTCGTTTTGCCTTTTTAAAAGTTGACAACAGAAAATAAGAAACGTTTCTCGTTATTAAACACAATCTTAGTATTTCAAAAAAAAAAAATAAATAACATTAAAGCTCTGTTTGTTTGGATATAAAATATTTTTCAGAAGATGTTTTTTTATTTTCGGCTGTTTGGTTGTTATAAAATATTTACCAAGGAAAAATATATTAAAATTTTACAAAAATAATTTATCCATCAATTTTTAACAAGTTATTTTATACGTCCGGTTAAAAGGACTCGATTTCAATCTCGATCTAGACATTTGTCAAATACCAAAAAATACAAATAAAAAAATTATTTTATCTAAAAATTTTTAAAAAAAAATTTTCCTCCAAACAAACAGAAACTAAAGGCCTTAGTGAGGAAAAACAATCATAATTAAATTTTTGTCGAAAATATTTAATAAAAAAAAGAAGGAGAGTAAGACAATGATTCTTATAAAAAAAAAAATTGAACCTATTGTCTTTAAGCTTATATAGTAAAACTAACTACGTAATTTTTTCTAATTATAAATCAATTTTCTCAATTTTACACTCATTTTTTTAACATAATTTATCATTTTATTAGTAAAACTTTATATTCCTTTCTCCTATCTTCCAAACAAGAAAAGCATCACCCAAAGCCAAAGGTAAGCACACTGGTGTACCCCCATTTAGAACTCATACCTCTCACACACACAAACACAAACACACACAATGGCGTCTGCCATGCCACCGCCTTCTCGCTCAGAAATTCTTTATCTCTTCCGCTCTCTTCTCCGCACAGCCCGTCAATTCCCAGACTACAACATCAGAGAGTACACAAAGCGTCGGACCATCGACGCCTTTCGCCACAACAAAGACCTCTCCGACCCTTCTTCGATCTCCGCCGCCTTCTCCGATGGAAAGTCTCAACTCGAGATTGCCAGAAGACAGTCCATCGTATACTCACTCTACGCTCCCAAAGTGAAGAGCATCATGGAGATCAAGCAATAATAACGAAGACGGTGAGCCAATTTTAAATAATTTTTTATTGGCTAGCCATTATAGCTGCTGTTAATTTTACGGCTTTTGGTTGATTTAATTGACTGGGTTTTGTAGGAGATTTTATACATTTGAGGTTTTGTTACATGGAAATTTGTGTATTTATACCTTTCGGATATTGATATATTTGAAGAAATTAGGGTTTTTTAATTTGTTTGCAATTGGAGTGATGGATGTTTATGGGATACACATCAGGTGCACACATTGCACATACATGTATATTGCACCGTGTATATTCACAAATATATGCATGTTTATATGTGTCAGGAATCAGGATACATTGTTTTAAATATATGTAGCCTTTTGAATTTACAGTTTTTTTGGCTTTCACCCATTTTGATACTTTTGTTTATATTGGTTAAAAAAGGGTATACTGATTAGATGGTGATAGATGACTTATTGATTTGGAGGTGGAGTTCTCTTTTCGTCCATTTGTTTATGGGGGTAAGGTTTGAATTTTAGTATTAAAATGAATGGTACGAAAACCCGGGAAGGAGTAGTACATTTCATGATTTATTCGTTTAGTTGGAGATGATTGTTTTGAAGGTGGAGGATAAGGGTTTGAGTTTGACAAGATAGTGTTGTCTAAGTTCGTGACCATGTGCTAAAAATGGAAATTTTAATTCTTAAACTTGATGGATTTGTGGATTTTCTTAGCAAAAACAATATTTTATTCTACTTTATGCCCGTTGTTTCAGAGATGGGCGTGAAACCAAAATATAACTGTGTTATTTATTTGCAGAAGCTACAATAGTAGTTTTAATGTTATCTGTTATCAATAGTTTGGAATTGTTACTAATGGATTAAATTAAATAGGATATGAAGAACATATTGTTTCATTGAGTATTCTCATGAGGTTACAGCCTTTATGATAGTTGATTAGTGATTACTTCATTCCCAGGGGAGTGGAATTTATTTGGCAAGATTATATGATTTTTATGGGAGTAAGACTGATTGAATGAGCTCATGTATCTGATACACATTGGAAGATGATTTGGCTTGACTTCGCTTACTTTTGTTCCTATACTAAGATGGAATTGCTCTAGTGTACAAGCACATGGATAGTTGGTATACTAGTTGGGTTTGTGACTTTTCAAAATAAGATAACAATTGTGTTGGGAATATGAAACTGTTACCACTAATATTTTTTGAAGGTAAATATATTTATTATGAGCTAAAGCATTAAAGAGGCACATAGTACTGTATTTCTCTTTCAGAATTATTACACCAGTCGCTTTTTAGTTGAAAATCTATATGAAACATTCACATCTATGTAAGGTTGTAAAGTTGTTTCTAATTGTAGAAAAGTATGGGCTTCTGTGAGGGTATCATTGGGAAAGTTCTGGTTTCTATGTGAACATTTAGGCTAGAGATATCAAATCAGTATTGGATTTATTCACTTGATTCCCTTGGTAGACATTTTGGTGAGTTTTATTTTAATGCAATATTCCACCAAAGCTGGCTTATCCTAAGATCACTAATGGCACAAACGAAGTAAAGCTGGCGTGTTCAGCCTATTTCTTGGAGGATGACTTTTCAAAATTTAAACATGAAGCTATATTACCATTTTGAAGTAAAGAAGGATTTTTTATTTTTTGGGTTAAAAATTTGTGAATATTTTTAAGAGTTGTCTTTTAATTTTAATTTTTAATGGAGAACATTCCTTGTTAAAGGACAAAGTTTCAATTATGTTGGTGAGATGATCATATCTTTTATTTTTATTTTTATTTTTCCTGTGAGATGATCTTACCTTGAGAAATAAAATATTCATGGATGAGTATATCAGTTGGCAGCCAACTCATAATCCTGGATCATGTTGCATAACAAAACTTCTTGACAAGGACCAGATAGTTTCTTGGAAAGGCTGGCGTCTCAGTATTTTCCTTATAAACTGCTTGAATTAGTGCTCCGAGTCATGGGTATGCAGGTCATATACAAATATATGATAGGTGTTGTTATATTGAAAAAGTAGTTGTCCTTATTAATTCAAAGGAAAAAAAAAAAAAAAAAAAAAGGAAAAATTGGTATGAGTCATGAGAGAACAACGTTTCTAAGATCTGGCAACTAGTACCCTTTTGCATGGGCAATTTTAAAATGTTCAGCGGAAGAGGAAATAATTTTTCAATTTTTCCTGTCCTTAGAATGTCAATCCCAGATAGCTAGAAGGTGAATGATTTAAACACACAATTAGTGCACGACATTGATTTGTATAAATAAAGGCCTTTCATAGTACGATGCAGATTGGAGACTAGGCAACTTGTTATTCCTTTTGACTTATGATTCATGTTATAATGTTGGGTATGAGTTGTATGATTTTTTGCATTGATATATCAATTGATTTGACTTTCCTTTTGCAACTGATTGGGTTGTGAGTAGCATAACATACTGATATTAATATCCTACTCTATACTAGGTTGTCAGTAGCATAGCATAAAAAGCTATTACTCAATACCAGTCCCACCTAATCAGGATAGGAATAGTGGAGAAGACAGAAATGGTTTAGCATATTTAGTTAAAATGGTTTCATGAAGGTAGAGGACAGATCTGGACAATAGATACAGTAGATGATAGATATGTTTAGGATGAAACAACGAGGGATCAGAGTTCCTTATTATTTTCTTTTAGTTTCTTCTTCTTCTTATTCTTCTTCTTATATGCATATATTATATATATTATGGCCAACTCAGTTTATATCACAATTAAATATACTCTGGATGATTCTTCTTTTCCATTGGGTGGTTGGCATTTGATATATTGTTGTGTCAAACAACTAGATATCTTGGATCTATTTTCTCGTCTTGTATTTAAAGTGAAGAAATAGGATGAGTTTGAGGCTTGAGCATATTGAAGCTTTGCACTTGTATTTAGAAGTGAAGCATATTTAAGTGCACTTCCTAGTTGTACTTAAAATATTTTTAGCAGACATGTATAACAGATTTGGATCATGTCCTAGTTAAATACATATGAAGCAAGTTTCCGTCACAATAAATACTAATGTACCATCCCAAGTGGATAGAAAAATGAGAGGAATGAGGAGATGACAATTTTTAAAGCACCTTAGGGTCCAAAACAGCTAGACATTTATGAGAAGTTTCTATCCTTGGCAAGTTGGTGCATAAAACTTCTATATGCTATGTGATCTGTTAAGAGAACTGTATTTAGAACCCAGAATTCACTTGATACAAACCATCAATCAGAGATAAATCTTCTTGTGGGAGTGCTTGTGTTCCAATGTCGGACACTTCCGTCACCTTGCTTTCTTTTTTCTTTTAGCTGTCATCATCCATAGCTCTTGAGACTTTTTACATTACTAGGCCAAAAAAGGTTGGAAAATGGTGGTAGCAACTCGGGAAAAAGAAACAATTATTTTTCTTGGATTTTCTGCTATCAAGGAATTGAGTCACCGATTTTTTTTGTTTCTTTACGTGTTCTTGTTTATTGTTTGTTTGACTAGTAGAGCTGATTGAGGCGCTGTTATTGGAGGCAGAGGCAGAGGCAGGGTGGGTAGTTGGAGGAGAAAATTGATTAGATGATGATGATGGTAGTGATGGTGCTGATGATGGGTTGCTTGTGAATTTTTCCTAGATAATTGAGTTTTTGATGTTGCAATGAGGAAGTGGAAGATGGCAGGTGCTCTCCGATGACCGGAAAATGGCCGCAGAAGATGGAGAGCTATTCCCTTTGTTTAGTGCGGTAACAAAGAGGAATTGTTGTGCAGTATAAGACAGAAGGTTGTGGTGGTGGTGGTGGTTGTTTTAAGGCTGAATGCATGAACAAAGGGGTCCTGAAAGAGTCTGCTGCATTGGTGCTTTTACAGGAGAAAAAGTTTTCGTTTGGTTCCAAGAAATAAAAAGGGTCTCGTGTTAAGGTGTCCGCCCATATGTTGGACTGAAGAACAAATAGGAAATTTATAGGCTCTGTTTGGTAGGGATGATGTAAAGAAAGGAGAGAAGAAAATGAATAGGGAGTTTTTATTGATGCCACTTCAAGGCATTTAATTTAATCGTTAAAAGTCAAAACCCCAAATAAGCAAGACACTAGCATCTTGATAATACTGATATTTAAGATTGAATTTTTGGAATTTAAGATTTAAATAAAAATTTGTAGAGTTAGAAGCTTTAAAATCACTTCTTATCAAACATGATAAAATACAGTGAAAAAATGTGTATTTTTCCTTCAAAATTCATCACCTTTTTACAAAAAATCAAATCATGGCAACTTGGGATGTGATTTAGGTTGCCTAACACCTCAGTCCAATCCAACTCTAATTTAATCCGAGTTAAAAATTTCTAATCCAAGCTATGAGCTCTAAAACTTGCTACGCAAACCCATGAAAATTAGATTGGCTTTGTATGATAAAATTTTCTATTTTAAATAAAAACTTTAAAGGCAAATTCTCAGTTAGAGCATTTATATTATGGTGTTACCGTGAAAATTTTTAAATGACACTGAAATTGCGGTATTACCAAACTCTTCTGTGCAATGATGACAACCTAAATGATAAAGTGAAGTTCCATTCACTTGGTATTTTGGGTCTTGTTAAATGGAATTTAGTTTTTCAATGACACTGAAATTACAACGCTTACATATCAGGTTTTAGAAGTGGTCTGCGGTTTATCAAACAAAAGCCCAAGCTATACTCCTCTTAATAGCAAGGAATCATCAACAATCAACAGTGTTATTTCTCAACATAAGATTGAACCTGGGTGTATTTGTTGCTGACAAATCGAGGTGTAAAAAAGAAAAAAAAAATGTGAACCCATAGGTTAAACATTCAAGAATGCATATAAAAGAAATGGGAAAGGAAAGGGAGGCAGCAAGCCAATATCAGAGGGTAAGAACAACTCAGTGATCTTCTATTTCCCAAGCAGACGGCGTGTGCGTTGATTGGCACCCTTCACACGGTGATTCAGCTCATCCACGTCATCCCCAAGAGGATCCAGAGCTTTGTTTTGCCTGCAATAGTCACAACATTTACAAATTATTTCACAGTTTTAAAGCATGGCTGTGTGTGTGTGTGAGAGAGAGAGAGAGAAAGACAGACAGACAGACAGACAGAGAGTTCTCATATATATATATATATATATATATATAAAACCAACAAAGGATATTATATTTCATGTGATTTATGTGATTCAAGTCCAATGAACTAACCTTTCAATTTCAGACCCCATGTCAACAGCCATGTTCTTCAGCTCCCCCAAAATATTACTCAAGTCTGAAAGTGAATCATCTTGCTTTGCCCTTTCTACCTGTTGTCATTGTAAATCAATAATGACAATGAGATTAACTTATCAGATTACAAGCAAACTTAACCTGAGCACCTTGAAGTGATCTAGTGTGACTATTAAGAAAAATATAAAATGAAGTAATCTAATTCCATATGCCAAGCAAGATACATTAAATAGTTTCATTGGCTATTGTGTCCAAATTCCAAACCACCAAAAGTATTGCTGTACCAATGATCATAAATACAAACCTCAACTTTCTGCAGTGCATTGGGGGCTTCAGGAGGTAGTGTTTGTGACTTTGACCGTCCCTTGGGTGCAGGAGTTAACCCTAATTTCTCCCGCTGCTCCAAGTGGGCACCCCTTCTTTGAGCTGGATCATCTGCAAAACTCAGCCAGGTAAATCAACCAAAAACTAAAAATTGGTGGAACATGGTCATTGACTCACTGCATCTAAAAAAAATAATAATTCTCTTTGGGTTTTGAATAATATAACTAGCTTTTGAGCATAGGAAGAAAATGAAAAGTTGAGATGAGCGTCTAAAGAATAAAACCTCCACTAAAAACAGGTCCCTTTATTGCGCGACCCTTGCTTGGCTTCCAAGTCTTGGAAAAGATACCCCCAAGACTTCCCAATAGCTTCTCACCCTGAAATCAAACACCAAACAACATAAGTCTCCTCTCGAAATTAAAAAGACAGTCGAGGTAATTCATCAGAAACAGCAGCAAAGACAAACATGACAGCCATTGTGACTTCACTTAAATGTGGAAAGAAGTAATATTCATGGACAAAAGTACAGTGCTAACACAATATAGTCGTATACAGATAATGGAGTCACTGTTTAGTCTAAGTTATTATGTATGTCAAGAGTACTTGTCACCAAACTGTACCCACTTATATTACAATGTGCACAGGCAAAGATGATGAACCGGAAAACTAAAGAACTCGTAAGGTATTCTAATAAATAAAAGTGGCTTAAATGTGACAGGTTTAGTGAATGTTAGACAACAAATCTTGAGTACGATCTTCTGATTATTGCGGTATATATGCAGACATCAAAAAGTTATTTATATAGAGAAGATCTCCTCTGCCAACTATCACAAGACACACAGAAGAGGGTTCAATAAAACTGCATGCATCTTTTGGTAAAAGAAATTAAGTATATCCATGAAGCCCAATTGCACTAACTCCTAGCTAGTCACCTCCTTGTGAGCCACATGTCCTGACATTTTCTATTGCCAATAACTATTTTCACAGAAATTAAAATAGTAGATTAGCTCTTTTAGAAAGCCATCGGGAATCGCTTGAATAAAAGGTGCATGACAATGAAACGGCTGTAATCTTATTAAAAAAGCCTATACATAACAAAAAAAAGGTATAACAAATATGAGGACATGAGGTATGTCCTAACAAATAAGACAAACTAAAAATAGACTTGCCAATAATCAAGTAGACCATTTCAATTATCAATTGTTCGATCAATTGAATTATCTCTCAAATGGCACTAAGAAAATAAAAGAAAATAAAAACTCGTGAATTTATCTTATCTGAGGAGATCAAACAGTCTACACAGTCCTACTTTGTGAACCAATGCCAAAGATATATCCGAGGAGATCAAATAATTAGGCTGGTTTAGCTGATTCTTCTGTGGGTGTCTGTGTTTGGAAGATTACAATTGGTAACACAAATAGAGACCCAAGATAGAGAAACTTGTTCAGGAGTACAACATTATGTGTATGGTGAAAAGATACATGAAAGCAATGCTGAAATTATCTAATCTCATTCTTATAAAATATGAAAAACCAACTCCAACTACTCTTTCTTAATGAGCAAATTTATTTAAACAGCTCAATCACCACAACCCAACACTAATGGAAGAAACTTCTTTTGTTTATCACGGGGAATTTAAATATTTCTGATCACTTGTTAGCCTTGCAACCCCCTTTTTCCACATAAAGGGTGCCTGCGGTAACAATTGAAGCCCTAAAACCCTCCCTCATAGATTCCATGCACGCAGCACTGTGCTACTCAGAATTTCAAACAGCCCCCTTTAGTGTGGATTTTTAATTTTTCGATGGAAAGCTTAATAAGGCATAAATTAGGTTTAGTAACAAAGAAAGAGGGTGGTGCTCTTATTTCAAAGTTTTCCCGAGTGATGTTGGTTGTCATCAATTATACATATACATGCACATATATTAAACGAAGAACATTGTTGTCGAGGTTAATCACAGTTGACAAAGTATGTGTCAACACAGATACACTTTTAACCAGGTGCTATAAGCAATGGAATACAGAATGTAAGAAACTTCATAGCATCCAAAACAAACAGGCGAATAATAAAAATTTCAACTCCACATGATCAACTAGGAAAATCAAAATGTCATCCCAAACCATGTAGACTTCCAAACTAAAGAAAGAAGACATGTAGATGATGACTTTCATACTTTTATGATTCTAAGAAACCTATATACTTCTGTAAATATAGAGTACAAAATAATCTAGTAAAAAAGGAAATGAGACATACCCTACTGAGATCATGTTCAATGTCAGCAGCAACCATGTGGGTCCTGGTAATTTGCTCACCCTGCTGATGCAAGGTGACCAAAGTCTTGGTAGCATCCTCTCTTATGTCCTCTGCTATCTTCAGGCAGCCGTTGACTGTCTTTGTAGTCTCCTCAGCCTTGTATACAGCATAATTCTCCAACTCTTCGACAGTTTGGTTTTCTAATCCTCCTGACTCATGGAAATCATTCTTATATCTGCTTCTTGCCGATGAAAATAGAGAGTGCGAAGATGAAGTGGTCCCTTTCCCCGCATCGTCATCAAAAGGGTTGGTACTAAATTTAGGGGCAACCAATGTGGGTTCAGAAGAAGTTCTCCTCGACGGTTTAAGGGTTTTCTTGCTATCTAACTCATCGTCAGAATCAAAAGGATTGGGGCTAGAATGTTTAGCATTTTTGTTTAATGGAGATCTCTTATGACTAAACATTTTTAGTAGGCAAAAGTGTAGGATTTTTTTCCAGCTACTGCTTAGTTGAAGAACCTGAATAGAAATTACACAAAGTTACAGGGAAATTCGTACAGAGACTTCAAAATGTGCCTGGAAAAAGAAAGAATATCAAGCTGTTAGATTGTGTTAGTGGCAGAAAATAGCAATAATCTAGAACAAGAAGGCCAAAATAAGAACTCATTCCATCTAAAGGGTTAAGCGGTATTGAAAATCATAAATTGAAAAGTTCAAAGACAACCAATAGGAGAATGAAAAACATAAAGTGGTAGAAATAAAAGTGATAAAAAACAGAACCCTAAAGCAGAAAAGGGAGGATAGGGAAAAAGATGGAAGTTGACAAGAATATAAAAAATTCCTCAAGTGATGGGATATAAATACCAAGATGTGAATTTAGTGAAACTAAGCTCCTTTGCTTTTGACCTTTATAGAAAGGAACAGGATCTTGGAGATAATTTGGAAAAAAGAAAAACTTAAAATAAATCAAAAGGCCAAAGAAGAAATTATAAAGCCATACTGTCAATCAAATCCAATAAGAGTAAATATGAATTCGTATTGCTAGATGATCTGATAGGCTCCTTTAAATTGTAGGGATAAAGAAATTAACCTTCAGATTATTAATCATTTGGAACAAGAAAATCAAAAACCCTTTAGCAACCATAAGGAAAACATAAAGTTAGTATTTGAAATGAGTTTTTCAAATCAAACAAGTAGCAACCGCAAAGTCAATAATTCCCTTTTATTTACTTTTGCTGAGTTTTCTCAGCAACCAAACACACAAATCAAGAAATCAAATTCTCAATTGACAGTCCAAGAACAAGTCCGCCAAAGATCTAACCTATATTTGTGTTCATGTAATCTAACGAAGTGAAAATAGAAAAAAAATAAAATAAAATAAAATTTTAATTGAACACAAATTGACCGAACGCTGATTACAAGAAGACTAAAGGAGAAAAAATTGGAAGCGATCCACATAGTGTGTGTATATATACATATGAAGGTGTTTGTGTGTACACACTAGATGAAAGGGGTTTAAGTTTAAAGTTTGAAACCCAGAAACAGAATCAACAATTCTTATCTGCAAATAGAAGATACAAATCTTTAGAGGAGTACCTGAGATTCCACCAAAACTGGAGACGATCTTGTAATTGTAAAGGAAAGAATCAAGAGTAACGCGGACCCAGAGGCAATCTAGAGAGAGAAAGTAGACAATTTGTAATGTAGAAGAGAAAAGGGGGCACGTATAAATGGAAGGAAGCCTCCAAGCCGATGGAAACTGGTAGGAAACTGAAGAAACTTCGATGGGTATGTTTTTATTTGTTCTCTCTCTCTCTGCATTCAAAATTGTGTTATACTAATCTCTTCTGAATGTTGGTATAATAAATTAAGTTTTTCTGAATTTTAAACACATCAACGTGATGGGAAAGAGAAGCGCGTGAGTGGACTTTGAACTTTCTAATCTCTGCCCCTCCTCGCTTTGAGAAAATCAGGCCGTTTCCTCTCTCTCACCATATAGAAAAAAGAAAGTGGTAAAAACAAAAAATAAAAAAAGTGGTGACGTGAGTCCGAATTGTGTCTGTAGGATTAGTCCGAATTCCGAACAAGTCTCATTTTCCCGGTACATTATTAGATGGCATAGACCATTGACTTTTGATAGATCAGTTCAATTTAGGTTATTCTACTGAGAAAAAAAAGTCCACAAAAGTATATTAGACTAATTTTTGTTAGATTAGTCCATCAAATATCAAATGATTCGGAATCATTTAGGGCTTGTTTGGTTTGTAATAATTTTCAAAATTTCAGAAAATAAAAAATAATTTTCAAAAAATAATAAAACACAATCATTAAAAATAAGTCTTTTTTCAGAAAATTGAACCAAACAGTTTTTTGTATACAGTTTTTTTTTTTATGAAAATAGAAAACTGTTTTTTTACGTACCATTGACTTTTGGTAGATTAGTTCAATTTAAGTTATTCAATTAAAAAAATAATGCATAAAAGCATATTAGATTAGTTCACCAAATATCAAATGACTAGGTACTATTTAATAATTTTTTCATTTTCTTTTTGTCAATCAAAACTACAACATAACATTGAGAGTTAGGATACAAAGTTTGACTTGCTATGCGTCATTTTTTCTTAAATTGAAACTGGATGAATGACAGGTAGTTACAAAATGGTAAGTTTCTTGAGAAAGTTGTTAACAATATGATTTATGAGGTGGTGTCAAAATTCAAATATGATTAACCTAGCATTGAATCAAATTTGATTGGAAGACAAACATGATTGATATTCAAATCCATCGCCCATGTGTGTCCATTTGAAAATTTTCCTTTTGTATCAAACAATGGTAATTTTTTTCATAGAGCATGTGTGGAATATAAAAGTGACGATTTAAATAAAACTTCTTCCTAAGAGTATTTTCAGCGGTCCTTTCATGTCATTAATGTGTAAATTTGTTGTATATTTTTTACAACTTTTTTATACAGCCCCATCAAAATATTTTATTTCTCCTACAATATATATATATATATATACACACACACACACAATCACCGGAGATACTCTAACAATAACATTTTCAAAATGAATCAAAATAGCAAACATGATCCAACAACCTAAATTTCCTATTAGATTTGTGAACTTGACTATACTATAGGGAGTAACATTCAAAAAGTTTTAATAAGTTAGAAGATGATCAAAATGATAAAGTCCTTCTACAATATTTAATTTAAATTTATGACCCAAGAGTTATAACAAGTGGATATGTGTTGATATATATAGCCGACTAAACTATATTAAATTTTGGAGTCAAATTTTTTTAAATGGACAACTAATAAGAAAGGGAGATAATAATAATAAAAAATAAAAATTTAAGAAGGTAAAAAGATAAATCAAAATTATGATAAATTTACATCCAAAAATGTTATTAGTACTACTTTTCCCCTTTTTTGGGCATAAATTACCAGCAAACTTTTGATGGTGATTGCTTTTTTGACCCCACGATGACTTTTTGTACTAAAGTATGTATGTAATCCAAATAAGGGCTCTTGATGAATCGTGGCCTGAATTTAAACTGCTACACAATAGGATCAACTAAACCAACAATAAATAATAATAATAATAAATTTATGAGATCAAGATTAAGTTATAAACCATGTGCTATTAGTGGAGTTTTTAAGAGCTGAGTAAATGCACTATATATCAGAAAAGCTTACAGATCGATCAAACTGCAACACAACAAGATTTAATATTTTTATTTTTATTTTTAATTTGATCAAGAAAATAACGCATGCCAGAATTCATGAATTTATGAATACACATTTATTCAGGGAAAAAAAGTAATACACATTTTAATATCTCCACTTGCCATGCCCACAACCACAAGCAAAAGAAAATTTTAAGTGGACTAATTGGTAAATTAATATATTAATGCTTTGTTTGTTTCGATATAACATATTTTTTTGAAAAGTATATATTTTTTTTAGGTAAAATATATATATATATTTTTATTTTCGATATTTGACAAATGCCTAGGTCGAGGTTGAGGTGATGTCCATCGAGTGGGGCATATAAAATAGTTTGCTGAAAATTAATGAATAAGTTAATTTTGTTAAGTTTTAATATTTTTTTCTTTGTAAATATTTTACGATAACCAAACACTAAAAAACACAAAATACATAAAATCTTTTGAGAAAAATCTTTTGTGTAAAACTGATTTTGTGAAGTAAAAAGGAAATTAGAAGTTTAAAGAAAGCAATGGGCTTGGGAAAATTAGGCTGCCTGTTATATTTATTTATTTTAGACCAAAGGTAGCAGAGTTTTGATAGTACAGTGAATTTGCAAAAGGGTAACCAGAGAAATTTTAGAGCCGAACATAATTGTTGATTAAGGAAGTCGGTCAGCTGAGAAGGTACCAAAGAAATTACAGAAAAGAAAAGAAAAGAAAAAAAAGAAGATACTCCACAAATACATGCGAATACGTGTAAATGTATATTGTCTTAAAATATATTTTTTAATTTCTAACACGTATCTGATACTTTTTAGATACTTCTTACGTATTTTGACTGCGTATTCGACACTTTTTTAATACTTCATAACATATTTTTAACAAGTTTGAACATTCAAATACATCTTTTTAAACAATAATAGCATAGTATAATTGCTAAAAAAGTTGAAATTTTATTAAGTGATGGCTATGAATGCTTGTTTTATGTGTTGTGAAACGAATTTCTATATTATATTAAGGATGTAATTAAATTCATAATATATAAATTTATTAATTTTTATTATCATATTATGCCATACACATTATATATATTTTTAAATTTATTGTATCATCGTACTCGTATCATATCTTTCTTTCATGGACAACATCAAACATCAATTTACAATAAACATGTAAATAGACCTAGAAAAATATGTGATTATGCAGCCACTTAGGTCCATCAAATTCTGGACTAAAATGAGTGGCCAATCTTGCACAGTTGAAAAGTCTGCCATTTTATTGGAAAAAATAACGTATCAATTTACAATATTGTTATGATTACAGGAGTTGAGGCCTAGTGGCCTTTTTTTCTAGGGCAAAGATTGGATAGCACCAAGTCAAAGACCTCCATGGGTAAATAGTAACGTTTGAGAATGGTCTTTTGCTGAAAAAGAAGAGTTGGTGTCACAATTGAAATTAAAGTCTGCCATTTGGAATTGGTCTTAGGCCTCTAGGCTTTCTTCAAGTATTAAAATTGCAAGTTGAGGTGTCAACACCTCTCTCTCTCTCTCTCTCTCACACACACACACACACACACACACACAGAGCTTAACCACATTTTAAGTTCTCTAAACTTAAAATTCGCCATTTGGAGTAGTTTTTAGCTTCTCATCATATTAAAATTGCAAGCGTGGGAAATTTTATCACGTTAATGTGGTCTTTGCATAATGATGTATAATTGTTTGCTAAATTCTTTCATGAAGATGATTTTATATAATTAATTGAATGTGGTCCAATTATGAGTTTAAGCGCACCAATTGTTTGGTAAAAAAGAAGAAGAAGAAAGTGTAACGACATCAAGCTAAAAAGTTGCTACACTAAAAAAATTAAAATCTTTAATTTTGAACAAACTATCATTTTTTATTTTATTTTTTTGAAGGTGATCCAATTATGAGTTGAAGCCCACCAATTGCTTGGGAAATAAAAAAGTGTAACGATACCAAGCTAAAAGGCTGCTATACTTAAAAACAAACAAAAATCTTTAGTTTAAAACAAACAATCAAATATATATATATATTTTTGTTTTTTTTCAGTAAGTAAATGAATTTTTTTATAAATTCAAACTTACATTTTAAAAAATAAATCTTTTAGTTTTTTTTTTTTTTTTTTTGGGACAAAGTAAGAATAAAAAAAATAAAAAAAAGGGGTTGATTCCAAATGTTAATTTGTGCAAGTTCTGAGTTCAAGTTCAAGTTCCAAATGTTAATTTGTTCAAGGTCGACCCATATAATATCCTACAGGCCCAAGTTTCTGAGTTCTTGAATGTGTAGCAAACTTGCACCCAACCAAGACAGCTCAATTTAGTTGCTGAGCTTAGCCCGTTGAATTTGGGCCACCATGAATTCAACAACTCTGCATACACGTTTCTGTATATAAATGTATGCATACATATATTGTTCTTTTCGGGGCCACAAATATGTGATAGCTTAGATAAATTAACATAAAACAATGAAATTTATGTAGTTGATTCCAAATAATTTTAAAAAATATTTTGTTGATTTGAGTTATGTCATGAACTAATTGACACGTTTCATCCTAATTTTCTGTTTCCGTTTCTTTGTTTTGCTTAAACAGAAAATCAAAACAAAAAAAGAATTTATCAAAAACCTAGAGGGACCACCAAAGTTTTTTTAAGTAAATGGGCCGGATTGAATTTATTTACTTTAATATATAATTCTTTTTGGTTTAATAATTAATTTCACATTGTTCACCATAGTAGTAGAGAGTTACAAGTTGATCTAAAACATGACAAGTGTCATTATTTAATCACCAGTTGACTTTGTTTTTAAGCTGACTAAATGAAATGTGCTTGCCTTGATCTGGAAAAAGCCCCAAAATTTGAGATCATTCTTATACCTGTCAGAATTTCATTTGGCCCTAGAAGATATTCCAAACAAAAAAAGGAATAGGCTTTTGAAATTGCAGTTTTACCCTAATTTCTTTGTTTTTGACATATGTACCCTTGAAGTTGGCAACAGCCTGACCAAAAATAATTTAAAACAGAAGAAGAAAAGGAAACTAAGTCCTCAGCTCTTTCTTCTCTAGGAGTGATCAGGGTGGAAAATTGGGCATCATTCATTCTTTATTTTATTCATATAAACAAATTTGGAGGAAATTATCTTAATATGAAAATTAAATTAATTTGTGATCAGATTGATTTTTTTTTAAAATTTTGGTTATGATCACTTTTGATTTATAATTGCAATAAAGTTTATGATCCAGCAGATCTTAAACACTGACAAAATTAAAAGCTTTGCTCCTTTAAAAATATTATAAATGAATCAAATGATATTTTCAAACATATACAGCTTGTATCCCTTATATCTTGCAGATAAACCCATATGAACTGATATTAGAAGTGGTCAAATCTCTCTCTCTCTCTCATTATAATCTTTGTATTATAGATAGAAATACACTAACACCAGTAATACAGTTGAGCTCAAGAAGAAAAAAAGGTGAGTGAGATGGGTTGTCATGTTTTATGGTAGATGACTTAACAACCACCCTAACCTCACATGCCACATCTTTGTGTGTCCATTATAAAATTGCTTTTATTTCCTAATGACTTCACATAACATTCTCAATTTCAACACCTCATTCATTTCTCTCTTCAATGTCAAGAAAAGCTATTCCTAGTTTCTCACAGAATGTATAATTGTAACAGTTGGTAACTGCAAGAAGAAACACAAAATTCAATTACAGTTTTGGAGTTTCAAGTCAAAAACATATTAATGAGCTTGAAATCTGCAGCAATAGAAACTTATTCTCTCAAGGAACACATAAGAATGAGGTAAGAAAAGAAAAGAAAAATTTGAGCAAAAACTTGACTCTATGAATAGGATTGAGTCTGCAAGTTGAATAGATGACACTCAAAGACTAAAAGCAACAAATTAAATTGTTACCTCAACGAATCGCTTCAAATTTGTAAAGAATTAATGAATCTGTACACTCTTGAATCATTTTGATTGAAACCAATTGTGTCGTCCCACTGGGAGAAAGATTGTTGGCACTTATAAGTGTATAAATGTGAATGTCTTATGACCGTGTAAACGTCTTTCGAAAACTGTGAGCACTGAGAGTGTGCAAGGCTAGGACTTGAATCAGTTAGTGAGCAGACTAACGAGCGAATCGTGCTTGTGGTTGCTTTGAATCCACCATGGGTTGAACCCAACATGGCCATTGCTATCTTGTTCAACAGGAGCAGGCAAATTGAGATCAAGAAGGTCTCGGATTTCTTGAATTGGCTTCTGGGTGACAATGCTGTGGTTGCTTCTGGCCTCAGAGCCACCAACAACTACATGTGATCTCTTGTGACCACCCAGAGCTTGGCCCGATGAGAACACTTTGAAGCAAATTGGGCACTCATGTCCCTTACTCTTCTTTGGCCCATAAACTGTCTCTGCCTTCTCAGCATTGTCACCAACCATTTCATGATCAATGAAGCTCTCATTGTTGATTGATTTGATGAGCTTAGTGTTATCAATCTTTGAAACAGAGCACTCTTTGTTCTTTTTGTGGCTAGCTCTGTGACCTCCAAGAGCTTGGTAAGAATGGAAGCTCTTGTTACAAGTAGTACACTCAAATCTGCTCTTCTTTGAGGTGTGTCCATCCATTTCAGGATCAACCAAATCGCGACGCTTTCTCTTGCTTGAATTACACTTCTTAGAACCCAATTCAGCTTGGTCAACTCTAGTTTCATTGATCAAATTCTTCCCCAATTCAACTTCAAGATTTTCAATTGGCAAAAACCCATTAACTAAAACTTCTGATTTGTTCATCTTAGCACCAAACTCTGATTGTTTCACATCAAATTGTGAATGATCAGAATCCAAAACAGTGGACTCTAACTTCCCATTTCTTAGCTTCTTGAACTTCACAACCTCATCAATATTAGTGACATCTAAGAATTCAGAAGTGTTATCAGAAGATTCAGCAACAGAATTGAAACCAGTCCAATGACTCACATCTCTAGACAACATCATCAAACACATAGCAACCTCTTCTTGTTCTTGCTCAATCTCAGTAACAGACGAGGAAGCATTATTAGCAATAGAGAAAGAGGAAGAAGTTGTGGTGGCTGTGTACCTTGTGGTCACTCTTCTTGACGATCTCTTCTTCCGATTCAGCGCCGCGGCTTCGGTGTCCGATTGGCTGTCCATGACCAGCTTCTGATTACCGCTGCTCCATGAATCTTCCTCCACAGTAGTACTGTTTGAAACTCTCTGAGAGTGACACTTCATGTGGCCAAACAAGGCCTTCCAAGATTGGAAACCTTTACCACATTCTTTGCAGAACTTGTCCTGAAGCAAAGTATCTTCACTTGAATCTGCAAATCTACATGTCTTCTTGGGGTTCTCTCTCAGGCCATAGCCAGTATTAGTACCTCCTTCGAAACCCGAATCGCCGTTCGCATAATTTCCATCATCTTTGACAGATGAGAGCTTCTTTTTGTTGAGCTTTCCATCATCAGTTTCAGCTGAATTGATGACATGAGACCTCATGTGACCTCCCAAGGATCTGCCACAGGGGAAGCTCTTGTTGCAGAACTTGCACACATGCTTCAGTTCTTGATCTTTCTCCATTGATCAGAATTACAATTTAACAAACAAAAATCAGATCAGAGACGCCAAGTGAAGTTCAAATCTGATCACAGAATTGGAGAAAATGGTACAATTTCGATCACATTACACTCATGCTAACACAAAAAGCTATTGAAACAGAGGAAGACAGATCAGAAAAACCAGATCAAAAGCTCAAATTTAATAAAGAGGGGTGACAATATTCTTGATATTCTCAGTGATTTGAGGAATACCCATATCAGATTTCAATGAATTCTAGGGAAAGAACAAGATCCGATGTCAAAGAGAAGCAAAGAAAGAGACTCTCCCTAGTGGGTATGTAGTTAGACTCTCTCTCTCTGTGTCTTGCACTAGTAGCTAGGTATTGGGTAGTTGAAATTTGAAGAGAAAATCAAATTTGAACAGATGGGTGTGTTACCTTTGTTGTTAATGATGGCGATGAACAAAGCCAAAGAAGAAAAATTAAAAGTGAGAACGGTTTTTTCTCTCTCCTCTTACTCTCTCTCTAGATGTCCACACTATATTTGGAGGAGAAATCCATGCATGGAAGCAAAGATAAAAAGAGGTAAAGGAAAGATAGCAGCACGTGTACTCAACCGAGAATCCTACGCCAACCTCATCTAACGGCTCACATTTGTCCAATTGAGCATCGTATGGGTCAAGAACTTCCTACTAAAACTAACTGCTTTGCTCCCTTTAACTATTCTTTCCTTTGTCTTGCTATTAAGAAACCCCACACCACCAAATGCAAAGGTTCCACTCTTGGCCGTTAGTCTCTCCATCTCTTTAGACACACAAAAACGTATATATATATATATATATATATTGTATTAATGCATAAATTATTAAAAGCCCAGAAAGCTCCACCTCAAGTAACCTTCTATGCAAATTACTCCAGCTTACAACCAAAGTATGCCGTCTCACTCCACTTCACTTCATAGTTCTCACTTTCTTATAGTCTCCTATGCAATTGTGTAAAAGGGTAATTTGGTCATTTGGATTAATGTTGCAAATAATGATTGACAGCATATGAGTTGAAGAAATGGTAACCATCATATATTTGGTGTTTCAATGTGTGATTATTCACTACAATAATTAGGAAAGAAATATTGGGTATAAACAAAAATTCGCATAAGAGGTAAATCATTTGTGCTTGGTGCCTCAGCCTAAAGTTTGATATCCCTTGAATGCAAATAATTCTTCGGGGATACGCATGCATTTGAAAGTTCAAACTAAACTCAACTTGTGTATAAAGGGGTACTTTGTACGGTGTTTTGAAAATTTAGTTGAAGAAAAGTTCCAAATATCCCAATTACTTACAAGTAAAATATTTAGTTTTTTTTTTTTATTTTAGTAATCACTAATCCCAAGCTCTATTTTAATTAATACTTAATTAGTACAAGTTGTGTGTGTTTTGGGGTGGTTAATTAGAAATGGGATTTGGATGTTAGTACATGTTCACCATAACCCAGTCATAGATAGGGCAGCATCCACTAACCGAGTAACAAAGCCGGCCTATGTTGATGATGGAGCTGGCTTACATTGCACTAACCGTAACGCTAATGTCTTATTAGCAACAATTATTAAATCATTCACTACTTTGGCTTCATTTATTTCTTTTATATATATATATATAATGCTGTGCCCTTTTTTGCCGGCACTTCAATTAGTACAATGTATAGCTGTGAGTTGTTGATATAGATTTTTCCTTTTGTTGTTTATCAAGTGGAAGAGAAAGTAGTGGCACATATATACAAAGTGATTAGGAGGAAACTAAAGAATATATTTTACTTTATAACATACTAGCTACTAATATTCTTCCGTATTAACACGACATGTGCATACACATTATGTGAGTATATACTATATATACATATATATGTAGCCGGTAAGGGTGCTTTTACTATATTGCATGAGCCGTTATCTAGTAGTGAATCAAAAAATTACTTGGACCGGGTAAGTGTGCTTGTACTATTTTATACGGTAGATGCAACATTCAGGCAACATAATCTAATCAAGTTACAAGACCATTAAATCGAGAATTAATAATTTTAGATAATTGTTGCATTGTCGATTTAAAATCGTTGTGTTGTTGATTTAAACGTGTGACTCATAATTTATATTTTGAAAAAAAAGAAGATTTTGATTCACAAAAGAAAACTGATAATTAAAATACAAAAGGCGGTAACATAATGATATTTCCTTTACCTCCCAAAGAAATGATAAAGGATTTGAGGATAAAAAATGTGTGAGTTTCTTACCAATAATAATAATAATAATAATAATAAAAAGACTAGTAGTTGTAGAAATCCTCTATTGTTGAGAATATATAAAAAATTGTTACATAAATATACAAAGACAAAGTTAAATGCTTATATATATGTACAAATTAGTACATATAATGTGGCATATCCAATCCAAATCCACTGCCAACAGAAACTTCACTTGTGAGTGAAGTGTATAGACTTTCGAAAAGGGATATGTGCCCAAATTGACAAGTAGACATCTTCCAAGTAAAGATTTGGCCACTCCTCTTCATGATCTCCAGATCCTGCAAAATTAACATTATTAAGACTAGCTAAAGATAAGATGCCTTACTTTGGCTTTATGCTTGCTCAAGCTTCATCACTATCCATCACCTAACCAATGCACACAGACAGAACCACCAAGAGTGGCTACTCTACTCTCTTATTGGGCATAGACAGATGAGCCCTTCCACTAGCTCTATCCACCACCCATTTATACTAATCATCTCAACTTTTATTTTATACCCCTCCATTCCCTTTTCACTCATCACCAAAGAGTGTTTTTGGTTGACTCAGTCTAATAACCTTTTAAATGATGTAATTTGTATTAAGGACAAATTACATAAAACCCCCTTCACTTTTAATTTTTGGCACAATACTCCCTAAAAAAAAAATTAAATAAATAAAAAGATTTGACCTACAAATATTTGTATTCAAGTTGGGGGCCTGTTGCAATCATTGGATAGCTCAGAGAGTTTTAGGTCAAATTTTTTAGAGGGTATTCAGGGGCTCAAGGCTAGGGCGTTGTGCCCCCTCTGGGCCTTAATTAGCTCCGCCCTAAGGGTATTGCATCGAAAATTGAAAGTGGAGAGACACTTAACTCAATTTGTCCATGTAATTTGTATTAAGGACAAATTACATAAAACCCCCTTCACTTTTAATTTTTGGCACAATACCCCCTACAAAAAAAAATAAAAAATTTTGACCTACAAATATTTGTATTCAGTTTGGGGGCCTGTTGCAATTATTGGATCATTCAGGGAGTTTTAGGTCAAATTTTTTAGAGGGTATTCAGGGGCGCAAAGTCAGGGCGTCGTGCTCCCTCTGGGCCTTAATTGGCTCCGCCCCTGAGGGTATTGTATCAAAAATTAAAAGTAGAGAGAGATTTTACTCAATTTGCCCTTGTATTTTTATATGTATATGTGTGTACATGTATATATGCTTCAAAAAGTTACTATTGTGTTGGACATTTATTTAAGAGTTAGGAGTATTTGTCTATTGGATCCCCCTACAGATTGATTGAATTGTTTTCATCATTTCATAAATGAGAGAGAGAGAATCCACTCAACTATAATCAATTGATAATTTGATATTGTAAAAGTCCTTATGCTTTAAAGTTGCTCTTATAAACACTCTTTTACCCCAAGTCAAAGCAAGATCTATAAGTGCACTACATTAATGGATTTAATTTAAATGTGTGTGTATATATATATATATATATATATATTAGCTCGTGGCTTCCTTCTCTTAAAACGCTCACTAATCTGTCAAAAGTTTGCGTGTCGCTATTCAATTGGTGTTGGGGTCTAATAGACACCAATCAGTGATTAAATATTTTGAATTTTATAAAGTTGCATTTATTATAAGCATATATATATATATATATATGAAGCTTTAATCAGATCATGAACATATGTCTTGGTGGTTTTAATGTAATAATGTTCCCGCTCAACTGCATCTGACAGCAAGATAAGTCAGATGGTTAGTTACTTCACAACATAAAGATTAAAGACACACAAGAAAAAAAGAGTAAAATGCCACAAGAGTTTCATTCACATGCCTTTGTAGTAAGCTCAGTTCATTCACATTTATTATGTATTTTACTCAACTGAGCTTACTACAAAGGCATGTGAATGAAACTCTGGTGGCATTTTACTCTTTTTTTCTTGTGTGTCTTTAATCTTTATGTTGTGAAGTAACTAACCATCTGACTTATCTTGCTGTCATATATATATATATATATATGCACAACATACATATATGAGTACTGAGTACATTATAGATGTCTACACATACAAGGCATGTGTAGAGCTTCCATAGATTTGAATTGTCCCATTCACAATTTACATATCATTTCAATGTAAAAATTCACCATCAATTGAAAAAAAAAAAAAAAAAAAAAAAAAAAAAAAAAGGGCTTCATATTTCTACTTGCACGGTCGTTTAAAGATTTTCCTTGGAAAGAAAAAAGTAATGATTTTAAGTGCTATTTTTTAGGGATTGCTACTAATTGCTCAAGTATTCTATTCAAGATGGATTAATATTTGTATTAAAATGTAATGCAAAAGGTGAAGGGAATTATCCAATTCAAGAGTACATCCAAACAGTCCCTTAGATGATGAAGCAATTACAGATGGTCCACTTTGTTGTATATATAGCCTAATTATAAAAGAGCATGTGTTCCTTTATATGCATAATAATGGTGTATGTGATGGTGAGCAAATTCTCACCAGCAATACTTTGGGAATACTCGAAAGAAAAAAAAGAAGCCAATGAGATCCAGAAAAGAAAATTGTAATGGACAATGAAAAAAACTGTTATGTGGGACCCATTTCTTACCTTCTCTTTTGGATGGGTGGGGTGGGGTGTGGGGTTGTTTTTTTGAGAGCACACACACCCTCTAAAATTATTTGGAATTAGTTGCGTTTTAGTTGGCCAAGCAAGAGAGGCCAATTGCTTAGTTTGAAGCCATGTGGGTTGTGTGTAAGAATCAAATAAGACATATATCAATGGCTTTTATTCCAGTAACAGACTAAAAAACACCAAGGTCCGTTCGTTAATGACATTGGAGAAAACACAAATTAAATATATATTATTAAAATATATATTTTATATATTATATTCGATTTCTTTCTTTCTCACTTGATTTATTCATTTTTTACATATATATTATATTCGACTTCTTTTCTTTCTTTTTTGATTTACTTCTTGATTCATTCTTTTTATTTCCCTTCTTTTCTCCTTGATTTATTTCTTTTGTCAATTTTATTTTCTATATATTATGTATCAATACAATATAAACACATTAAGAAATACAAGCAATAAGAGAAATATAGTTTAAGTAGCTCTTGATCCATAGATGTAGGCCATAGTGCCGAACCATATATGTATATACTATATTCTTAATTTTTCTTTACATATGTATATTTCCACATCATAAAGTCAACATATATGTATATTTCTTATTGTATTTAAGCTCATTAGGGACCCAATTTCTTAAGATTCTTCAATCGGGATTGCTAGTCTTAAACCACCCCCTACACTGAAAACCCCTAACTTGATTCTCTCATTCTATAGTGATGTGACAAGTTTCGTCCATGGGAAGTGTGGTGAATAATATTGGAAACAAACCTAATAATTGATTTTATTTTACACAAAATTTATAGTCAAAAACATGATTGTTGACTACAATTTTTACAACGCCACCCAAAAATAAATAAATAAATAAAATCCCTTCTTAAACCTCTATGTCCTTGTGTTTATTAGCACTAAGCTTTAGAGTCAGATGTTCCTGGATTATCTTATAATTGACTTTGAGAGCAGCAAATTATATTGGTTGGAGGGAGTGGCTAAACGGACTGCAATTTATTTTCACCTGAAAAGTATACAGGTTGTATAAACAGGTATATGAATCATTTTAATAACAAAAGCATATCTTTAATGGAGACCATGAACATGAAGTGCTAGCCTTCAGTGGGTTCTTGCATTCTAAATGAAAATGATAGAAAGCATATAAATATATATATATTCAAGAACATATTCCGTAGTGGACTACTGTTTCTGCAGATTAAAAGGTATAAAACCTCTTTAGTGGAGATTATACTTTTTGACTGCCCAAATCAGAGCCATTTTCTAATAACATCTATGATTTCACACTTTGTCATGACTCATGACTGGTGCAGTGACATTCCACATAAGTATTTTCATTGAGTTTGCGCCCTCGTCATAGACTTTTATTTATTCTAGATTTAAGAGATCATTGCGTGTGTACCAAATTATCTCGATTACTTGTCTATTTTTTTAATAAGTCTGAACAAATTTTAATACGTTGATTTGGTGCTGGTGCCTTTAAACGCAATATAAGAGAATAAAAATAAAATGACAAATAAGCAAAAATGTACTTAGTAACGTCAAATTTTGATAACAATATAGGGCTTTGCTTGACACACAGGTTTATTTTTCTGACACTGCAATTTTGGCATCTTAACAAAGTCACATTTATTGGTGATCTAAACATAAGTGGGCTGAAAGTAAAATACATTCTTTGAAAAGAAAAGCCCAATTTGATGACCGATTCAGATAACAACAGTTCTACCCTTCTTGTGCAGACGGAACTGTTAGTAGATAGTAAAGAACTCAATTGCACTAAAAGAGTTTTTATGCCCATTTCTCATCTGGAATCATATGTTTGACAATATTATAGGCCGCCCAACCTACAAGATCAAGGTATATATAATCAAACAAACATCCATGAGTGCATATTAAATGCTCTAAATTTGCTGCGCAATAGTTTTTTTTTATCTCCACACTACTGCATTATAAGTGCAACTGAAGCACCTCCCTCTGTTTTGCCAGGTACAAACACATACACATGTTCTGCCAATCCTTAACCGGATGTGTCACTAGTACAATGTTCTGAATATAGGACAGACTTTATACATTGGTTAAACAAAAGAATTAGAAGATTTCTATAATGAAGATCCACAATAGGGGATAAAAAAAAAGAGAGTTCAAATTGCATAATACAATGCCTAGACCTTCGAATCAGCAATTCTATATATTTATAAATAATCTCCTCCCTGCAGATAAGATCCCCAATAAAGAGAGACTATTGTGGCGGTTACCATAAGGGAGGAAAGAGTTGCACAATCAGAAGACATCGTCATGGGACAACTCAAGACCTGTAAACCATCATCATCAGAACTATCTTACAGTAAAAGGAAAAACTTCCAACTAACTTTTTCGAATGTACAAAGTAAAGGGACTTCCCTACTACTCTCTAACGTGAGCAAAATCCATGGTTGGTTCCACCTGGGCAGCAAAAGCCATTTTTCCCTGGCACTGCTTCCTGGACCGCATTGGATGCTAATATAAAATGACTAGCTCAGACTCTTGCCATCTCTAGCCTTGCAATTCCAAGCTCCAACTCCAAATACCTCCTCAATCATGCTGCCAGTGGATAAAAAATCAACTTCATTTCTTCGGTGGGTCAAATATCCAACATCCCATACTCTAGAATCGTAATGCTCCAAAACACACTCATGGACGCCCCCACCACTCATACCACTAAAAATGCCAGGCCATGGTTTATTATTGTTAACCTTTACTTTGGTCACTTGCGGTGCAACCCCTACATCAGAATTGCATAAATCATCTCGGACATCACGATTTCCCATTTCATCCCAGAGGATTTTACCATGGAGCTGATGTGTAAAATCAGAAGCACAAAACTTCTTATGGCATGTTTCTGACATTTCAGAGATGCCCTTATCAGTACCAATATCCACATGTTCATAATTACCACAAGTAGCATGCACAAAGCCCTCGTGAGAATCACCTTCTTCAATCTCATTGTGACCAGGATCATCATGATATACTGGGGATTCAATCCCAGAATCGTCATCTTCCTCAAACGTCCCGTCTTCATCATCACCAGAATCATCACTACCCTGCCACTCATCATTATCACTGTCAATGTTCATTGGATCACATCTGTTCTGCTCAGCCCGCTTTCGTAGCATGAAGACATTAAAGTAATAGCTAACTATGTCCTTTTTGGTCCGGAAAGGGAAGGCCATTGACAGATGGCTCCAGAAGTTCTTACCCAATGATGTGGGATTTGAAAATACAACGTCATGAAATAAATGTTCTTCCTCTACACTCCATCTCCCAGCCACTACCTCTCCCATGTCAGCAAATCCCAGCTCCTCAAACCTCTGCTGCCCAAGGGTTCTCCTGAGTTTTTCCCTTGCTTCCATGATGTGTTGTCTGACACATCTGACAGACCCCATATCTTGACAGCAGCATTCAGCCCTACTACTATCTTCAACTTTATCTCCATCATATGCATATGGGTCCAGTTTAGGGATTGGAATGACACAAATACCAGTAAACTTATTCTCATCTTCGTTACTATCAATGAGGTCTGATTCTGAAACTTGAGGAAAAATAGTTGATGGTTCAGATGTACCTGAACAATTGGAAGCGTTCTTGATACCCTGTGGTCTCCATTCTGGAACACCAGCTTGGAAATCTGGTCCAATAGGAACTAATTTTCTAGGAGGATAATCTAAAAGAGAAGAATATATCTCCTCAGCATGAACAAATTTCCTTATTGGACGGTCAGGATCACAATATTCTGGGAAGAACAATAACTGAGATGGTGCCTCTGACCTAGCATCTTCTTCACTAGTACCGCTGGTGGCCCAGGAAGAGTGGGAAATGCAACCAGGAGCACTACTTTCAATCTCCTTCTCGGTGCATAAAGGGAGTTCAGTAATGATGCCACTTGTAAGCTTCTCATCACCTCTGGTTTTACATTTTGTGAAATTGCCCAGACCATCACCTATCAGGCATCTCGAAGCAGTCAGCTAATAAGTTAATTTAAAAATATAATCCAAAATATTCTGCTAGCTGTTGTCTCCATGAAATTGTGTGAAACAAAAGCCGTGCAGTTTAAGTAAAAAGATTTTTCATGATCGAGGTATTCATTCAAATACTCAGTCAGTTTTTCAGCCTTCAAAAGTCGGAAAATATGAAGAATAACTCAAAGGAACTACATAAATTCACAGACACTGAACTTCTATTAAGTAAAGGCAATCTCAAACAGACACCATTTCGGTTGCTCAATCCTTGAAAAAACCTTAAACTATGACTTAGTAATTTAATAGGTTTACTCCTAAAAATTAATTATCCACAATCTTTCAGAAGGGTGCAACTATTGTAATTCACAAGTCAGCTCACTACAAATTAGAGGTCAGATAATTAACATCATTTCAATCAGGTAAAATCTTGGACAAGAATACCCAAACTGTAGCACAAATTCACTGGTGGGAGCATCCACTGTGACTATGCTCCAAATTTATAACATATCCAACAAGGGCAGCTTAGAAAAGCTTAAAACCATAACCATATCCAAAGTATTCATCAGAAGATGATACTTACATCTAAGCTCATTCCCATCTGAAGTGTAAGGTTTCTGGACTGCATCTTCAGAAGGAAGAAATTCAAGAGACGAAACTAACTGGTTACTGCATTCGAGTTTTCTTGGTTGCTTAGATGAAACCTCGTATAACTCCTCGTCAACAAAAGGTCGTTTCTGCACCATGCTTAACTACACGAAAAAGAAGAAAATGATTTAGAGAAGAACTCAAACATGCAAAAAATTTAGGGTATTAACTGGCAGTAAGTAGTACCAAAAAAAAAAAAAAAAGTGCAAGCAGGCATCTGAATAATACACACACAAAGAGGTAAACAGAAGAACCAAAAACAAACACTTAATGCCTTCTCGCATGTAAAGGAAACTAGACAGAACAGATTATGATAAATGCAGCAAGTTCGCTTGCATTTGATATATCTGAAATTCTGTATAGCAACACACTAATCCATGTCAGCAGATTACACTAATCTTTTCTGCTAGAGACTACTATATTAAGGCAAACGTGTTACCTATCCCCAAACTCAGAATATCCTGTCATCTAAGTAAATGTCGCCACCTTAAAATTTAAAACGTATAATAATAACCTCATTCTTTGTTTGACTTATTTTACAGGTATGAAAATCCATATATAAGCTAAATTAGAGCATGATATTGCAAATCAATTGTTGAACTGACAGACATGTTATAGAGGGGGCATGTGATGGCCATCACCCAAACATCAGTCAAAACCATACTTTACACCAATGTATTATACTACCATTCCCCTGCACCATTAAAAAAAATCAACAATCAATGACAGAGAACTTTAATATAATTTTCAGTCTCAATGGAGAAGACTCTGAAGCAATTAGGCCATCATATTATTATTGCTTCATATGGTAATCAACCACATTATAGAACACCAGAACAAATCATAAAATCTATCCTTTGGGTAACAAAACAGAGTAAACCATATTGCAGGTATACTTTAAAAAGAAAAAAAAAAATCATGGAAAAGACAAAAACAAAATTGTAGCACAAAATCATTCTTCACTAATCTTGGTTGTCATGTGACTCATGCATGAAAATGATTACGCTATATGATACAGGTGCACAACTTCACAGCCAACAAGTCGTTGAGACCCAGATTTACGTTCTCACAGACACAGTAAAGAAGGTGCTCACATACAACAATAAATTACAAAGTCTATTCATATGCATGACATTCACGTACCTTTTAAAAAATTTATATGTTATGGTCATTTATTAAAATTAATTTAAAGACAAATAAATATGACATGTATATATATACCTTTTAGAAAACTCAAATACTATTGTCATAGTACATTGGGCATCCCTATTTTATAGGAATGGAGCACTTCTTATATTTATTAGGGAAGAGCACACACTTCCTTTAGTACATAAAAAGCGCTCCATTTGTTTATTATAAAAGGGTGTGCCCAAATCAGCTTGCCCCAAAAATAAGCTGAATAATTGAAAATAAATTGCTCCATTAATATCCAATCAGGAAATTAGCATTTGTATTACGAAAAAAAAAAATCTATTAAAAAAATAATAAAATAAAAAGTTCACTGTTTTCCAAAATTATCTGATAGGGCAGTTTTATACCTCAAAATAAAGCTTTCGCCGAATGAAACAGCAGATCCCGATGAAATTTGATGTTTACCCAACTCAATTGAAGAAAACGAAAAACCCCCAATTTTTATCGTGGTTCTAACCCTAGATCCCTAATTAATCAACCAAACTCCCAAATTAACAGGATACCCAGTAATAAAAACAGCTATTTCCGATAAAACGACCAAAAAATTAACAGATCTAAAGAACAAAGGAAAACTAACGAACCCAAAATTCACAAATCCTATATTTACAATTGTTTAGTTTTGTTTTGTAAAATAAGAAAAAAATTGAGATAAAAACAAAATCTAAATCCAAAAAATAAATTGATATACAAAAAGAGATAACAGATCGACGAGATCTGATGAGGATCGATGAATCTGGAAACCCTAACCCTAGAATTCGAGACACAGAACGGCTACGGACAAAAGAGGGATCAATCGAAAGAGGAGGGAGAGAAACAAAAAAATCTGATGTCGATTTGATGATTGAGAGAATAAATCGAGATCGAATCGAGCTAGAGAAGAGAGAGATTGAAAAAAAAGGGGGCAAATATGACGAAAAGGGTAAAGCTAGGGTTCGCGAATTTTTGTAACCGGCGGTCCGAAGATAGTAATCCGGTCCCCGAAAAGGGGTTCGTAGTTGCCTATAATTACAAAAGTTGCCCGTTCGGATGTACTGAGGTGTTTCGTTAAATTGGGCCGGAAATGTATGGCTATAATCTGTGGGCTATATACGGTATGTAGTTGGTTACTGATTCGATCACCTTGTGAGCACGAGTAAAAGATGGTAGGTGCCACGTGGCATAATATTACTCCCTCTGTTGTTGTTGGTTTTTTTTTTTTTCCTCACATGAATCTTTGTCGATAGAAACAGAAGAAAAGAAAGAAAATAATTTTTTAAAAAAATATTTTAAGAGTCTGCTTAGCAGAAAAAAAAAAAAGAAAATTTTGAGAAAAATTATTTTTCGTAACTACCTATTTTTTCCACAATATTTTCTTTTCAAAAAATACTAGAAAATTTTGATTTCTTGAGAAAGTTTTGTGAACTTATAATATTGTTCTTTCTTTTATGATAAGTTATATGCTTTTCAAACCATAAAATAGTAATTTTATATAATTTTCTTGCAAAATTTTAATACTAACCAAATTAATGTTGGAAACATAATTTTTTTTCACTTTAATTCACTTTATTTTACTTTCACATTCCACCAATAGTTTTACTTTATTTTAATTTTCTGCTTGTTATATTTGCTAATGTAATACATTACATTATATTTCATAAGTGAGGTAATATAATTATTAAATAAGCAATGAAATAACATAAAATGTGATGCATGATGAAAATAACATAGGCAAGGAAAAGAAAATTTTGCTTGAAAATGGAAAGGCAACCCAATTTACATTTGCTACACAAACGTGAGTTTCCATCCAATAATAACATTGTCCTTTTCTTTTTTATTATTACTATTTTTTGGTGAGAGAAGTGCTATTAAATCCGATTTTTTTTCTTTGATTTTAAAGGGTTCCAATTTATTTATCTAATTTTTTAAAAATGAAAATATTATGTATTAAGAAATCAGGGTATAAACCTCAAACGGTGCCGCCTCCTACTCCTAAATAAAAGTTTAATGGTTTGAGTGCCTAAAAAGACCATAATGAGTAAGTATTTTACTACTAATAAAAAAATTGGACTGGCTGGACTGGCCTTTTCTCATTTATTGGGCCTCTATTCATTGGACTAATCCAAAGGGAAAGTGCCCAATCTATTGTTAACAAAATGGCAGACTTTTGCTGGTCCTTTCTGTTTTTGATCTTTGGGTTTTCCCAAAAGAAAATAAGTGTGTTTGGTACACAAATATATTGTGTCTGTTCATGAACTTCAATATTCATTAGCAGTGAAAATTATTATTGGTGTTTGTTCACGAACTTCTATATTCATTAGCAGTGAAAAATGTGAGGAACAAAGAAATAATATAATTATGTGATCGAGAGAGTGCTATTAGCTACATCAACAGGTACCTAATACACAAGAGAAATATAAACATGTTCCAACACAAAGCTTTATTTGGACCATACATTACAACAACGGTGATAAAAATGATCTAAAAAAGCTAAAACTAAGAAGACATTTTTGCAAGTACAAAATGAAAAAATAAATGACATTTTTGCTTTCCACTTCAGCTTCGATATCTGCTTTCTGAAGGAGACTACAAAAAAATAAAAAGCAAAATTGTTATTAAACAAAACACACCCTTAAGCTTGCAAGTCAGGACTAATTAACTAACTATGCTATGCTTAGTCGCTATGTTTAATTGTTTGGTTGCTAATAAAAAATAAAATAAAAGGTGTGTCTCAGATAAAAATCAAAAGAGAAAAGTTTTAAGAATAATATCAAAGCAAGAAACAGTGTTGTTTAATTTAAGTAAAAATTATGCAACTGTTGTTGACATGTTTAGTTGAAAAAACTTGTTTATTGTTGAATTCGTGTAAGAAAAAGAAGAAGCGAAACTATGTAATTTAATTTGATTAGGAAACCACTATTTATTAAGTATATTATTTTATATAAATATTAAAGTTAAAAAAAAATGTCAATAGAAATTATTATTAATGTATTTGGAAATATATATATAAAGTATCTAGTAATATACTAGTAACAGTAGATATTATATCTATCATTATTGTTAACATTATAATTGTAACTATTTTCATCAACGGGAAAAGGGGGAACAATAAGAAGCAATTGACCATAGAGAGATTTTTACGTACCTGTGAGATAAGGCAACGTCTTCGATCTTCCTCAAAATTAAAACTACGGTTCTTTGAAAAGTGGAGAGAAAACAGATTGAGTTTCTTCATTCTCCCATTCTAACTTATTCCACCACTCTCTATTACATTCAATTGATCGTAGAGTTCCTTTGCCGCTATTGGAGTCAAATGGAAGTTTTTTAAGCTTCGGACAATCAGCCACAATAACTTCAATCAGAGAGGGGAAGGGCAGTGGATGATTATAGACGCTCTTTAACTCTGGTAAGCACCACAGAGTCAATCTTTGTAGCCTTGAAAATACACTCAAACTTCCTTCCCTACCTGCAATATCATCACTACTACTGCAATTCTCCGCATCTTTTATTACTTTTTCCATTGCATCACAACGATAAATGGATAATTGTTGAAGGTTTGGCGCGCTGATTAGCCATGTTAGATCCTTCAAAACTTTGCATCGCCTGATAGTGACTTCCCGAAGGTTTTGGAAGCTCCTGCTTCCTGCTGCATCTATTATTCTATGATCCCACGGATTATTATTATTGTATCTGTGAGGAGGTACTGCGCCTCTCTCTCCTTCCTCCCACCTCATTGACAACTCCAACTCTAAATCATCACATTCTACAATTTGAAGCTTTTCTAGTCTCTTTAAGTTCTTCTGTAGAGAAGACAATTGCAATGCACTTGAGTCTCTGTATTCTCTGATGCATAAATCAAACGTGCAACTTCGTAACTTTTCACTACTCAGAAGTTTTTGGAGTGCCAATTTACTTTTCACCGTCAAACTTAAATATTGTAGGTCCTTCAAGCATTCCACTTCATCCGATAACAATTCATTACCACCAAAAAGGATACTTCCTTCACAAATTTCCTTTGATGAAACACCACTATCTCGTATCTCCAACCTCTGCAGAATCGAAAGACTTGATATGACTTGCGGCGCGATTGTAACAAGTTCACTCATACGATTCAGATATAAATACTTCAATTTTTTCAATGATTTAAACTCAGTTGGCAACTGAGTTATGCCCGTCCCCGAGAGGTCAAGATGTTGCAAAGAAAGCAACCCAAAAAAGCTTGCTGGTAACTTCTTTAGATTTACATTCCATGACAGGTCTAAAACTTTGAGAGCTGGCATAAACTGGAAGAAGCTAGCAGGAATGGTCGTCATACTATTATCACTAAGATTTAAAGTCAAGAGATTGGGACATCTAGGAGTACTTCCGCTTAATTCCTTAATTGAATTGCTCGACAAAAATATTCGTTCGGCCTTCTCCCATTTAGAAATAGGAGGTGCTGTGGTCGGCTCACGATTTCCTCCTTGCACCAAATATTTCTCATTCTTCTTCCCATTCTCCGAAATTATCCACAGTGCCATGTCCCGAATCACATCATGCATGTTGACACATTTGTAGGATTCTCTGCTATCCAACAACAAACATGCAAGCTTCAACCTACCAATAACATCATATGCCAGCTTAAAAGCCTCATCAATGTTATCACATTCATCATCAAGAAACCCCTCACCTATCCAGAAGTTTATGAGATCTTCAACATCAATATCCCAATCTTCTGGATATAGAGCACAATATAGGAAACAAATCTGAATGGTTTCATCAGATAAGCTATCATAACTGAATTTTAAACGACGAAGCACGTCATCTTCCATACCTCGAATTTTGAATGTAGATGATTTCTTCAAGACACTTATTGCATGATTCCATTCTTGGGGAGTTTTCTTGCTTGCCATGGCTCGTCCAATCGTAATCAGCGCCAGTGGCAATCCGGCGCATTCTTTGCAAACGACTCTTGCGAGCTTCTCTATTTCAGGGTCAGAATTGAGGATCTGTTCCCCCACCTTATCTTTAAACAAATCCCAGCCTTCCTGCCATGCCAAGCATTCTACTTTAATGCTCTTCTTAGCCTCCATAAGACTGCACACTTCCTCAGATCGGGTGGTGAATGCTATCTTCGCCTTATTTTGATTGCTTGGAGGTGGAACTCCGACTTCAAGTAGATCAATCCGCCCCCATACGTCATCCAAAAGAAGCACAAATTTCTTCATTTTCAAGAACTCAAAGATATCGGCTTGTTTCTCATCTTGGCTTTTATTTTGCCATTTGTCCTCCGGAAAGCCTAGCTTCTTCCCAATTTTATCTTGCACGCTCTCCACGCTACTAAGATCTTTGGACACCACCACCCATATCACCTCATCCAACTTTCGGCCGCTCAACTGATCACTTGCAAGCTCGTTGTTGAGTTTCTTCAAAAGCGTTGTCTTTCCGATTCCCCCCATCCCGTATATACCGATGATTCCCATTCCATCATCATCATCATCTCTAAGGAGTGCCAAGACCTTGTGAAAAGTTGAATCCAAGCCGAGAGTCCTGTCCACAGGAATTTGTTGGGCATGTGCCGGGGCCAATGGTACAGCCACTTGGGCATGTGCCGGGGACGATGGTAAAGCCACAGTGGTGAAATTTCCTTCACCCTTGAGATCAGCCACAGCTTGTAGCTTTTTACACACTTTCTTCCCGAGTTTATGGCTAGATCTGCAATTCCTGGGACAGAATTTGAGACATCTTCTGTTGATCTCTTCATCACCTTGTCGGAGAATCTGGTCCACTTCCCCCTCCAGCTCTCCTACTCTACGAAGCCAGCTATCTACTCGTTCCTTGCGTTGCATGTGTTGCGTCTCACAACTTTCAACTTCTCTCTGAACATCGTTTCTGTGCTCTATCAATTTTTGCTTTTCAGATCTCAAAGAGTTGAGATTATCTTGGAGATGACGAATATAGTTGGTTGTGTTTCCGATGCAACTACATAATCGGTCTGTAATATCGACGATTGGGCTCACAAAGTCCATTGCTATGCTAGCTCTGAAGCACGATTACAAAACTTCAGGAAAGAAATAGAATTGAAGGAGAAAGACTTGGCAAGAAATGAAAAGAGAAGAAAAATAGAGATATTTTGCATATATGTGTGTGGAACTGGTGGTGGATGGTAATACCAACTAATAAGGGTTGCTCTTTCTGGAATCGGTGAGCCAACTCGCCCGCGTGATACTGATTTGAATGCACACTGGATCTATCATCTCATCCCATCATGTTGCTTAAGAAATTATGTTGGAAAAATTGTTAGTGGAAAATTTTACTAAAATTTTGGTGATTTTTTTAACTTTAATCAGAAGCATGTGTTTGGTCTGTTTTGAGAAAATAGTTCTAATTAAATTGTTTTCAGATATATATATATATATATATATATATATATATATATAAATAAATTTTTTGAAAAAATTGCAACCAAATAAATTTGTGTAAATTTTTTATTTTCCGTCTTCTGAAAATGTGAAATTATTCCTAAGAAACTGAATTAAAAACGCCTTAACTTTTAAAAAAACTGAAGAAAGATTGCCACCCGCTAAACCCATTTTCACTATTTAACCCCCTTTATTTTTGTAGTAAGAATATGTAATGTAAGATGTATTTTAATTTAACCCTATGAAATCCTACAGAGTTTGATAAGTGATTTTTTTCCTCTTAATATTTTCTTTTTCCTTGACAAAAAAAAAAAAACCTGTTTAACTTCTGCAGTGTACAATTTATAAAATATATGTGAGTATTTTCACTAAATCAAAAAATATGTTTTTTCTGCGTGTATTGAATTATTGGACGACTATAAATACAAATATGTCTAACTCCATTATTTTCGATTGAAGTCAAAAAGAAAAAGACGAATTTCACCTAGCAAAATTCAATTATTGAATCCAATAAGGGACTGTGGGGACACGAAATGCAATGGATCTAGATTGAAATTATTGGTGTGTGTGAATGGGTTGAATCAAAAGTTTTTGGTGAACAGCAATGCCCTTTGCCGAACAGGACATGTCATTATGCATGCATTAATCTCGCTTTTGCAAGTGGAAACATAATTGGGACCCATCCACCTGAATGACAATAACCAAAGTATTTTTTTCTCTTTTATCTCGTAAAGTATAAATTTTGTGAATTAATAATATTTTTTTTATTTTTTAAAGCAGATGGTGAAATTCGAATTCTTAAAAGACAAAATGAGTGTATGTTTATTGTCAATTTTTTTAAACAAAACTTACTTATCTATTTTAAGTGACTCCAAACATTTCCCGATTGATTTTTTAATTTGTTTAAAAGTTGGTTTAAGCCACCATCCTATAAACTATTAAGTGGGTCAGATTGCCCAGTTGATGATGTATGCTCTAAAATTTGACAATATTTGGGAAGAATTTGATCCTTTGACCAATGAACAGTGAATAATTATTAGGTTTTTGTCTGAGAGATATAAGTAAGTAATAACATGTCTGATTCAACGTAGGGTTTAAGAATTGTATTATTTGCAATGCAATCATATAATTAAATATAGAATGCACTGTTTATAATTTAATCTCTTGAGATTTAAGATTGCTCTCATAAATTTTATTACTCTAATAATGTTTAGCCGCATGAAATTGAAGTTTTAAAATTAGAATTGGTAAAATTGAAAATAAAAAAAAATTATTTTAATTTTTTGTAATTTTGATTTACATTTTTTCTCTAACCTCACCAATTTCAAATTTGGAAATAACGCTTTGGATTTTGAAATTTTTCCAAATTCAAAGTGTGAATTGCTCTTATTATGTGCTCCATACACAATATAACAATTATCAGAAGAGAAAGACATGGGATGGAAAAGGGTAAAAGGCAATAAATAATATATAAAAAACAGTTTTTGAAAAAAATTGCAACCAAATAAGTTTGTGTAAAGTTTTTGATGGGTGACACAGACCTGGGTGACACAGACCACCACTAACCACATTTTCACTTGATGGCAACCGGGAAAGAGAGCATCAATGCATTAATTTTGCTTTTAGCAAGTCGTCGAATGAAATAGGAAAGATGCTATGTTGAGTTGGGCCATCCCGGCGAATGAAAAAAAAAAAAATAGAAACCCTACCAAATTTATTAGGGTAATTTGCACACACTTTTTAAAGTTTAGATCAACGTCACTCAGCAAACGAACGCATAAATTTACATTGACACATTTTGAAATTTTAAAAGTCATATTTACCCTCAGGTCTGTAAATTGATAAAAATAACCCTCATCATATTATTCTGTAAACCCCTCTCCGCTGCACACTACCACCACCGCAACTACCGCCACACCCACATACCACCACCATAACCACAACCACCACCACACCAAAGACGCCTCCAAGCGAAGAGAAGAATGACGATGCGATGTCCGACGTCAAAACTATTGCCATCGCCGCTGCAAACGCCGATCATGTCGTCGGTGAGCACAACCCACCACAACTAGCCATCGATATCCTCCCACCCCTATCTCTCTCATCACAGACCGGCACCGATCCCTCTATTAGGTAGGAGTTTTTGCCCTATAACTGAGAATTAATTGAAAATAAAATCGAAATTAAAGCCCAATTTGAAAAAAGAGGTTTTTTGCTGGTTGTTTGTGTGTGTATATTCGAGAGAATGAAGAGGGTATGGTGGTAAGATGTGGCGGCTATTGTTGGGGTGGCGGTGGTAGGAGGTTGAGAGGACAGAGAGAACGGAGAGGAGGGAAGAAGATATGGAAGGAGGATGGTGGTGACTGTGAGGATAGAGGGAGAATGAAAAATAAGGTTATTTTCGTCCTTCAAAATTTAGTTTATAGAGTTACATTAGTAATTTATACTTTTTAAAAGGTTAAATGGTCATTTCTTCAGGTGTCATAGTTCTAGAGGGTGTGTGTGTGCAAACTTTTGAAACTTCAAGGGGTGTCAATGTAAACTTGTGAGTTGACCATCCGTTGAGTGGTGTTGATTGAAAGTTCGGGGTATGTGAGCTAAATTACATAATCTTTCTCAACAGTTGTCACTCTTACACTTCGGGTGCGCTCCCGCTCTCACACTCCGCACGTACTCTCACTCAAATTCTCACTGCTTATAACTTAATTTTGCCTTAATTTTGCTGCTTTTATACTCTTGCTCTAAAATTCGCTCTCGCTCTTATATTATGTGACTTAGGGTGTGAGTGCAATTTATCTTATTTATTATTAACACATATTTAATACCACGTATATTCAGTTTTTTAAAAGAACTTTTTATACAATTGTTCAGCTACAATAACAAACAAACTAACAAAAGAAAAAAAAAAAAAACAAGTGCAAAGAAGATTTGAATGCAAAGATGCTACTCTCAAGTATTTTGTTTGTGATCTTTCGAAAAAAAAAAAAAAAAGTATTTTGTTTGTGATCTTTCGAAAAAAAAAAGTATTTTGTTTGTGCTATATCCTTCACTCAATTATTTATCAGACTTTAGCAAGGGGAGGTATAATAGAGAAATACCACCAAACCCCATTAATTTCATGATGGTGAAATGACTAACCCATGTCATGTGATATGAATGCCAGGCAAAACACTCAACTATGGGTCAAAAAGAATATCTTTTTTGAGATTTTTTTTTTATCAAATTTGAAAAGTTACTGACTTCCGATTTTGATCAAATTTGAAATTTTAATTTCTAAAGATATATATAAAAAAATGTTAAATATATTATTTGAAAAAAAAAAACAAAAAAAAAAAACAATTATTTTGGAACCAAAAAAATAAATAAATAAACATTATTTTTGGAATGGAGTATTGTATTACATACCCCCTAAACCTTAACAACATGTCACTTCAATTCAACAAAACTTTTCATTATTTTGCGACAAGGGTAGACATGTTTTGGGAGCTAAGCGCTCTATCAACTAGGCTATTAAGTAATTAAAAATCAGCTGTCAACCTGCTACTAGGTAATAAATGCATTCAAACAAGGGTATGGACAACTAATAAGTAATAACACTTGCGGGGAACCCCAAAAAAAAAAAAAAAAAAAAAAAAAAGAAGGTAAAGAACAACAAGAGATTATACACTAAATTGATTTTATTACTGTAGACAATTAGCCTGAGTAAGAAGTTACAATTTCTCACAAACGACAGGATTCCAAGAGTAGACACCTATAAATAGGTTTTCAAGCAGTGGTTTCATATATAATCCTGCAAGTAACAGGGGTATAGTAGTCATTTCATATTATAATCCTGCATTGCAACAGCCATAATATATAGTCATCATTTACATATGATCGGACTAATAAGCTTGGATACAATATTATTTGTAAGCCAAAAATAACTCCATCCCACACCGTGAGGGCTTGAAAGAATTCATGGCAGGCAGAAACGACACCCTTGCATTCATGGGGCCTCAATCACCATACTCCTGCCGCTTCTCAAGTTTTCAAAATTAAGTAATTAGAAAATAATAATAATAATGAAGCGAGTTGATAGATATAATATATAATAAAGAAAAAAATGCAAAGGGATAGAAATAATTAATTCACGACAGACAGTGATCGAACCCACAGCCCATTGGTCCTTTTTTTTTTTTTTTTGGTCAATGAAAAGTAAATGCAACCACCACTTAGTATTACCATAATATCTTTCAGAAATTAAGTTGGCCAAGATGGCTAAAAGGCTAAAAATCCAGAAAGTTATGGATGGATGCAAAGGGATGCACGTCAGTGTGTGGTGTATGTGGTTTCAGCTACTGCCCTCATTCAATCATGTGACACTGACAATTATCGATGGAATATTAAAGGAAATACAGCTTTTGAATCTAACATCTGTTATATATCTTGAATTCATGCAAAATTTGCAAGTTCTTGATGCAGATTATTTTCCAAGGGAATGAATAAGCCAGTTGACAACCTTGGTAAAAAAGAGCTATCAAAAGATAGAATCAAAGGTTGAAAACAATTCAGAACACATTAAATGTTATTTAAACAGTTAAGAGTAAAAGAGAAACTTCCACCAGAGATAAAAAGAACTTACATATCTAACTTACATATCTAATAAGTTCCAAGAGGTATTTTAGTTCCCTTACAGATTTTTTTGTAAACTAGATTAGAAGAGGATTAAATACTGTATGACAAACTATTGAACTAAAACAAGGAAAACAAATAAACTGGTTGCGCATAAAAAATAGGCTATAGATCTTAAGCATTCAAAAAGAAATTTCACTAAGGGGAGGTGAGAAGGTCGAGCCTCATAGTGGGCAATTTGTTAAATGTGTGTGTGAGTTAGGGCTGCAAGTTGGACTGGCTCACCAGTCCTAACCCAACCTCAACCCGAATCGGGTTGGGTTGGGGTAGGCCGAATTGTACCCAACATGAGTTATGGTCAAAACCCAACCCGAATATTTTCGGGCCAGTCGGGTCGGTTGACGGGTTGAGTTTTTCTTTTTTATTTATTTATTTTTTTTTTTTTGGGAAATTTATATATATTTGATTATATTACTATTAAAAAACAAAATATTTTTAGGGCAAATCATTTCAGCCTCCCCAATCGCCTCCATCCCTTGGTCTCATTCTCAACTCTCTCCCTCTCTCTCTCTCTACAATTGCAAACTACAAAATCTACAAGAATCAGAAATTCAAAACCCATATATTTCAGTTTATCTATCTGTCTGCAAGAATCAAAAGTTCAAAACCTATTACCTATATCAAAACCCATATCGGCATATCATTTCAAATTGTTCAAAAAATCAAAACCCATATCTCTTAGTTTCCATCGCCCGCTGTTCTAGTTCGGGTTCGCCGCTCGCAAGCTTCAGCCGCTATCTCTCAACTCTCAAGCTTGCCCCCCTCTCTCTCTCTGCAACTGCTAACTTATATGTATGGGTTTTGTTTTGATTTTTGGAAGTGACGGCGGCGGCGGAAGCGGCAAAGGCGGAGGGACGGCAGCGGCAGAGGGAAAGGGACAACGGCGGCAAAGGCGGAGGGACGGCGGTGGCAGTAGAGGGGACAGCGGTAGAGAGATAGAGAGAGAAGAGAGAGGAAGAGAAAGAGGAGAGGAGAGAGAGGAGAAAAAAAAAAAAAAAAAAACATTTTTTTATATTTTATTATGGGTTTCGGGTTGGGTTCGGGTTGAGCCCGAGCCCAACCCAAACATGTCTGGGTTTTGACAAAACCCAATCCGAACATGAGCCCGATTTGTGAATTTTAAGCCCAAATTTCAAAATTTCTGGGTTGGGGTTGGGTTGGGCTGGGTTAGCCAGCCCAAGTTGCAGCCCTAGTGTGAGTACCTTACCTAACCAAAAAAATAATAATAATAAAAATTGTGGAGTGGAATATACCCTCAAGGACTTCCAATGCAGAATATCACAGATCAACACCCTCATCAAGGCCTTTGGAACTGATCATCACATTTGAATCAATTTGCTTGTCAAACTTCTTTTTCCTCCGTGCTTCAAAATCCTGGAATCCTTCCAGCTGAAAGCAGATTTTGGTAAATTCCAATTCGGTAAAGTACCAGACTTCAATAATTGCGCCAAAATTAAAAGATGCATCAAGCCATGTATAAAGGAACTGTGTCTCACCTGCTGAAATTGATCCATAGAAATGGGATTGCCATGCAAGGAAATGTTCTGCAGAGCTTTGCAGTCTTTCAACAAATTTGGAGGTATCTGGACAGCAAGAGATGCCAAAATATCAATGCAGCTGATATATGTGTTGTTGCCCAAGTATACTTGCAAAATCCAAAATATAGATAAACTAATAACAAGTAACTTCAAATCTGCAACATTACTTCAAAAGGAAGATGCATGGAGATTTTAGATATGAAAGTGTACCGTCTATAAAATGATTCCGGGAAACAAGTTAATTAAGGGGACGAAAAAGATTTGAACGGTACACTTAAATCTGAATACCTGTTTCACATTATTATTGTCTAAGCAGAGTGACTTTAGGTGAACAAGATTGCAAACTGAAGAGGGAAGTTCCTCAATAGAATTTTCTGCCAAAAAAAAATTCACAATAATTAAAATGAGTGAGAAAAGGGGTAAAAAGATAAACAAGCACTGCATCTCAGGAAAAACAAATAAAGGAGAGGAATATCATAAATTGATCACCAAGGTTGATAGCAAACAATCTAATCTCTAAAATTTCATGGCCAATACGAACCTCTGAAGTTTCAGAAGGCATGGGTCATGTTTTACCAATGAAAGTTGAAATAGTTTTCCTATCAAGCAATTTATCCATAATTCTTGCAATAAAACTAAAAAGAATGTATGTCAAATGGAAGAATGAAGGCATAAACAACTCCGGCAATAACACTGGAATTTGTAACCATCAAGAGAGAAACTCATATGAGACTTGCTGTCTCGATGCTAAATCTCAAAATTGCAATCAAGATTAATGGGATATACATGCAGTTAAAGAGGTTCTACTTGAAACAGAGACTTCTCTAAAATTATTCAGGTCATCCACAATCCAATAAGAATGATTCAGGACAGCCACATTAATCAGTTATCGCTACTGATTTGTCACAAAGGAAAAATGGACTCTATTCTGCTTTGTAACAAAGTTAAAAAGAGGCTTAGGCACAAGGACCTCTCGTTAGACTATTGCCAATCGCTCTCCTCTTTCATGATATAAAAAATCTAATCTAGTTTCTGATTAATCATATAGGTGCAAGTCTTGATGGTTTCATTCAGGCTACAGCAAAAACCTCCCAGGAAATTAGATAATTTCTTAGCTGACATAAGACTTTCTTTTTCCGGTAGGTAAGGTTAATTTTAATAAGAGTAGTGCTATTGCGAGCGCACGCTCACAATAGCACTCACAAGCACCCCGTTTTTAGCCATAGGATGTGTTTTCTTGAGATTCGGGAACACTAAAGAAACTCCGTTTCTCTCTCTTCTCACGCCGTTTAACCCAACTTTCTCAGCACAGTTCCTCTTCTCTCTCCTCTGTCGGCAAAACATATTCTCTCTTTCCAAAAAAAAAACATATTCTCTCTCCTCCATATGTCTTTCAACAAACCCACTGTTCTCTCTTCGTCTCTGCAGATGACTCCCTCTTTATTTCTCCTCCTCTCTTCTCTTCTCTTCTCTTCTGGGTCTCTCTCAAAAAAGAAAAAGAAAAAAAACCTCTCTAAAACGGTAAAGTTAATTGGCTCCTGCTGTCTCAACTCTCTAAAGACCTCTTGAACTCCTCTTCTGATGACCGGCGGCCCTCTGCTCTCTTCCTCCTTCAAGCTCTTTGCAATACTCACACTGCCCTGCCAGCACCGACTGGAGTAACCCAAATCCACGTGCACCATCTCACCAAATTTCTCCCTTCATCATTGAAATTTATGTGATGGGAGAGAATAAATTAAAGGGGCTGTACAATTCTACCTTGGATGTTTGTGTTCACATGGGCATGGGTTTTTTTTTTTTTTTCATCTTCTTCTTGTAGTGCGTCTTCAACTTTGGAATGAGTTTGAATCTAGAATGGATGTTTTGAAGGAGAGACCAAAAAAGAAAAAAAAAAAAATTCAATTGGTGCGGTGGTTCGCCTGACAGATATGGTTATCTCTCTGGCCTCTTCTCTCTCTGACCCGGTTCCGGTGCTCTCTCTGGTTCTTCAAAGTCAGTATTGTTCGCCGTTTTCAAGCCACTTAACAGTGCTCTTCTCTCTCAAGCTACAGACCGCCATTCTGAAAGTTAATTGGCTTAGGGCCTGTTTACTAACAGGAAGTAATTTCTATTTTCTACTGCCAACTCTAAAAAAGCAGAAATAAAAGTAAAATTATGTTCAATAAAATTGATTCTGATTTCTAAAAAGAGAAAGTGAAATCAGTTTTAATGAAGAAAGTGAAAAGTGACTTTTTGATGCTTTCTATACTTTCTGCACTGTAGCGGGAAATTGATTCCTACACTGTTACCACACGGGCCACTGTTCATCCCAAATAAGTTGTGCGTGAGTTGCTGTCTTGTTTATAACATCTCTCTCTTCTCTCTTCTCTCGCCACTCTTATCTTCAGAGAAAGATCAAGACATAAAGTCGCCAGAGTTCCCGGCTGAGATGTCGTCGGAGAGGACAACGGATCTGATGTCTGTGAATCCTTTTTCAGTCGACCCACAAACCCAGTAGCTTTTAACCAAGATCCAAATTTCAGCTCACCTTTGGCCAAAGGTTGATCCTCAAGACCTCTCCAAACACACTGTTGGAATTCATGATCGACGCGACCACAAGAATAACAAATCATAGGAAGACGCTCATAGCGAAGATTAACCCAGATCTTACAACCGTCATGATTCAATTTCACTCCGCGACGAAAGGACCTCGTTACATCTATTCCAACTCTAAGCCTTGTATACCTGCCTTCTTCGCAACCAAGATCTCGAATTTCAACTTGCTCACAGAGTTTAAAAGCAGCAGCTATTTGACGAGCCACAAACTCCGAAGCCAGATTCAGCGGGGGTTCAATTGCTTTGACCTAAAAGGAAACAAGGTGAAACAGAGATTCATCAATTATTATTCCAGAAAACCACTTTTGGAGAGCCACCAAATAGTCATCAAAACACCATGGACCACTGTTGAGAACTCGATCTCTATCATCTTCAGTAAGAAAAATGAACTGTATAAAAGCTGGCTTAATTTTGTAGACTTGGAGAGTTTTGCACTCCCAAGCGTCACTCAAAACGTTTCCTAAAATTCTCAATTTCAGGGGTTTTTCGGAGAACCATTTACCAACCAAACTGAATTTACAGAATCGCGCCCCCTCTCTCGCCTTTGTTGCGTCAATAAATCTCTCTTCATCTTCTTCTGCCGTGAGAGTAAACGACTGTAAATGCACTGTCAGATCATCCTCCATTGATACTATCAGCAGATCAAGGAGTAAACAAAGAAAGACAATCACCAAGGTAGTGATGCTTTAAACTCCTCACTGTTGCACGAGCAATGTAGGAGAGCCCTTCAGCAAAGCTAAGGGAGATCTATATGACTTTGTTATCCATCTCTTACACACAAGATTAGGAAAGCAAAATTAAAATTAAAATTATTAAACTTACTTTCTATTTTTTGCTTTCAAAATATTGAAAGTAAAAATAATTATTAAACATTATTTTACTTTCTATTTTAGTTCAAGAAATCAAAAGCATAATTTTACTTTTAGAGAAAATAAAAATAAGAAAGTGAAAGCGTTAGTAAACGGGCCCTTACCGATTCAATTCCCCGCCGGTAAAGTTAATTGGTTCCTTGCTCTTCTCTCTCAAGCTGCGGGTTCAAATCCTTGCTCGCCGGTGCAAAGTTCCAACCACGCCATCGTGGACCTCTCTGCAATTCCTCGCCGGTAAGCTTCTTACGGTTCGGGGTTGCCCGGCACTCAAGTTTCAGATTTTGCACTCCAGTTCTCAGTTTGTGCCGACACCTTTGTCGTTCCCCGTTCCGTCCCTTTTCACAAGGATCTTCTCTTACTGATGAAAATTGGGTCTGCTATGAAAGGTGTGACTGGAGAATCTGGAGAGAGAAAAAGGATGAGGGAGAGAAAAAAATGTTTTTGGGTCTGCAAATAGAACGAAGGGGAAGAATAGGAAATTTGGATGTATTGGGGTTCTCTTCCACTAGTTTGCCCTCACTACTTGGACCAGATGAAGGAGAAGATGAGCTAGCCGAGTATGGTGAGGAGAGGGCCGGCAGATTGTACGACAGTTTCGCGGACGTAGAGAGAGAGAGCGCGAGGAGAGAGAAGAAGACCCAGCCCATAAAAAAATAAAAAAAAAATTAACTAAAGTGACGTAGGAGAAAGTTGCGTTAAACGGCGTGAGAAGAGAGAGAAACGAAGTTTCTTTAGTGTTTCCGAATCTCAAGAAAACACATCCTATGGCTAAAAACAGGGTGCTCGTGAGTGCTATTGCGAGCACGCGCTCGCAATAGCACTACTCTTTTAATAAAGATATACAAAGAAGCTCCACAGACACATTCAACCTAGAAAAAACTCTGACAGCCCAAGAGGATACCCACCTAGCAAACAATCATGAAACTTAATATTTGTGATGAACAATAATGTCATAACCCTATTACTGCCCTAGATGCAACATCATGAAACTGTTACAAAGGGGACATTGAAATAGAGCAGTCATCCGCTCGCAATAGCACTACTCTTTTAATAAAGATATACAAAGAAGCTCCACAGACAGATTCAATCTAGAAAAAACTCTGACAGCCCAAGAGGATACCCACCTAGCAAACAATCATGAAACTTAATATTTGTGATGAACAATAATGTCATAACCCTATTACTGCCCTAGATGCAACATCATGAAACTGTTACAAAGGGGACATTGAAATAGAGCAGTCATCAATTTGAAAAAATAAGCAACATAAAATTGTGAAATACCCGAGCATACATGGGAGGTTAAAGTGAGGAAGTCTGTAACCACCAAATCAAAAGACTTCGGAGTTGAACATTCATTTACAGAACTGTGTTGCCCAACCCTTGTGTAAGATATAATGGGTAAAATGCTACAGACACTTGACAAGTGCAATGAAAAAACAATTTTGCATACAAAATCTTAAAGGAAATAACGTCAGGCCCTGCCAGCATCTATAGAAGTCTTGCCACACAAACACCACACAAGCGCTTAAAAGGAGGACTGCATGGTTATAATGGCATGTTTTATGTGTCTAACAATGTTTAGATGTGGTATATGTTCAACGCACAAAATATTGAATTTCTTATGCAATATAACTTCAATTCACATGTCTACATAAATTTAGCCCAATTTATGGCCCATCAAGTTCTTCTCTCCTTACACACAAAGAGCTACATTGCTTGCAGTAACCCGATAGCAAACTACAATCAATCCAACTCCACGATTGCAACAACAAAAAGATCGAAGGTTCTCTCTCTTTGGTTCTTGTATTACCTCACATACCAGCACTAATGATTGATTCACGAGCGCCATTGCATTACGGCAAGATTGTGGAGACTGGTGGCGATTTTATCCATCTTCAAAGTCTTTTAGGTATGTTTATAGGCACATTAATCTAACAGTTGTATATGTGTGTGTATATAACTACACAAATTGATGGGCAAACAAGGTTGATTGGGCCAAACCAATGAGCCAAGCTCAAAGACTTATTTCACTATATTGAACTGAGCTCAAACACACCAAAGCTCAGCTTGGCTCAGTTCAGTTATCAATCAAATACGCAAGTGTGTGAGCATGCAAGTCCAAGACTGAATAATTGACAAAGTGAACTACAAAACTTGAGGGGCACACAAGTGTTGGAAAGAGCCACATGGGTTTGTCTAGAGCACCAATGCCACATAAAATGTAAAATAACAATCTTTATTAAAGGAGGTTAGATGTTAGATATTTTCCTAATTCCCAAACTATGTAAATTGCAATAGTTTTCTTTAAACATGAATATTCAGAATGATTAAAAGCTAGATGCAAATTTACCATTTGCTTGTAGTTCTTCCAGAGAGAAGCAACTTCCAATTGATTCTGGAAGAAACTTTAGCTTGTTGTTTGAGGCATTTAAGAGCACCAACTGCATTGTCAAACAATTCATGTTAATTTATAAAACTAAAGTATTCAAGATAAACGTTTATATTCTAAACCAGAATTCTGAATAATGAAATCATAATGTTCAAAAAACAGTTTTAAACTAGTCCTACGTCAACCCTAACATTGTTCAACTGAAAACCCTGCTCCACAATCGACAACAATAGAAGAACAGAAATATTGTGTACTTAAGCATGCATTATCCTAAAGAATCACACAAATCATGGGAAACACAAAGCCAGACTAGTATCAGACAAGTGCAATGAGATGATAAAAGAGTTCTAAGATTGTTAATAGAAATAATGATGACAAGAAGTTTACATACACGCACACAAACTTAAACATAAGGTAAGGAAAGAGTATTCTTAAATAAACTTGAGAGCTTTTAGAATTATGTACCAGCCTCCCACCCCCTAAACAATAATTAAAAAAAAAAAAAAAGGATTAAATAGAAGAACAAGAAGAAACAAAGCCTTTTTCCAAACTACTTGAGGTCGGACACATGAATCCTATTTTTCCGTTTTACTGTATCTAAAGCTGGGCCTCAGTTAAGCTCTTATATTCTTAAAATTCATGTTCATATTGCTCCTGACAAAATATTATTTGGCTGTAAGTTAATTAATAACAAATTAAGCAATGCAATTTGAACAAAACTTTTTTATAAAGTCAACCATAGTACCGGATCACCTCATTAGTGACACTGAATTATGGAATACATGCATGTTACTTGTTAAACTACAATGACTAGAGCCACACATGATTAGGGTCTATGGTTACTAGATGCAATTACTCACATTGCGCAAGCTCCCTATAGTCTCAGGCAGACCCGTTAATAAATTTCCAGAGATGGACAACCGCTCAAGTCTTACCAACTGGCCCACTGAACACAGTAAAAATATATCTGGTTAAAACAAGTAAAGCACCTTCCTTTGCAAGAAACAACGTTTTAAAGTTTAACGATAAAACAAAAATAAATAATAAAGTTAACTCGATTACAAGTGAAATTCCTTACTTAGAGGAGAAGAAGAAAATTACATTCATCAGGCAAGGTAGTGATTCGATTCGTGTCCAGCATCATAACTTTTAAAGACTGAAGTTTCCCAAGGTCTATTGGAAGGCGCTCAATAAGGTTATCTGATAATACCTGAAAGGGAGTCATTCGATCAGGTATTCAAGTCACCTCAGAACATCATTCAATCACCACATCGACACTATTACCAAGTACATAGATGCATAAATGCACATTCTGATAACATGAAAACACAATAAGTATAATATAGAGATATATATCTTAACGATCACAAACCACAATTGGTTGCATGCCCAGGTGTGATATCCCAAGAAGCTCAGTCAAACAAATGCAGAGAACTCCTCAGTTAAAAGGAAGTAGAAAAAAGAGATTGAGAAAGTAGTGATAATATTCTTATATGATTATTCTTCTCAAATCTACAGAAAAATTAACACGTCAACTTTCCAAAGCAAATAAACCAAAAAAATCTCTGATAACACAGTTACAGTTCAGGTATTCAGGAATGACTTGATACACAACATACTTCCAAGTTCCAAACTAGGAATCTGGTTCAGAAACTCCAGAATAAGTTGACGGGAACCCAAAATTGTAGTGTGTGTGAAAAAAAATTGATTGCTGAGAGCTAAAAAATTATATTTTTAGAAGATTTATTTTTATATGATTATTTCCTACAAGAACTAGTTGGAGGGAACCATCAAATTATCAATTATTAGGGGCTTATTTCTGCTTCAAATGGTAGTGATTCAGGAACAAAGAATCATACAAGATAAATTCAGGTTTCTTTCATTTGATTCAAGCAAGGTTTTTGGCATTGGGATTCTACGTAGGATCAGTGGAGGGTCCATAGGATCTGGATCGTAGGATCGTAAGATTCTATAAAACTCGTATAAAAATTAAAAATAAATAGAGAATAAGGATAAACACAACATCATCAACATTCTAGCAAAATTCAATTCACAATGAATGATAACAAGAGAGTAAGACACATAAGAAGCACTTGAAGCCAATTCTTGATTTCCTCTATGCAAGAATGCCAACAGAACAGTCAAGCAGAATTTCATAGAAGCAATTAAGGCAAAGCCTAAACAAAGAGAAAAGAGGAACAGAGAAATAAAGAGAGAGAATATTTTAGTTGCCTAATTATGTGAGCAATTTTGTTGGAAAGACTTTTTGGTTAAGGGGGAGAACAAAACAGGGGAAAAAACAAAGTCTCTTTTTTGTTCAGAATGGGCAAATAACAGGCAGGGAAATTGAGCTCTCTTTGTTTTGTTTTGAAGAAGGAAGGAAAAAAAAAAAAAAAAATCAAGAATAATTGAGAAAATTAGAGAAAATTGGGGAAGTTTTGACTCGTACCTTTGAAATTCGAAACTGATCTTGTCTGCCTTTGAAATTAGGTCTACGCTTTTTATTCTTTTGTTGATCTTTTTAAATACAATTAGGCTAAAGTGTTGGACTTCATATTTAAAAACCTAGAAATTTCTTCACCAAGTGTAGGCCCAAAAAGATCCCGAAAAAAAAAAAAAAAGAACAAACCAACACGATTTAGTAGGACCGGTAGGATTGTATGATCCCACATGATTCTACAATCCTAATTCCAATTCTACTTCCAAGCGATTCTTCATGTGATTCAAATTGACTTAGCAATTACGGATTGGGATTTTAACAACCATGGATTCAAGAAAATTCTGAATATATATATATATATATAGATATATATAAACTATATTAACATCTAATTAGCAGTCAAGAAAAATTATTTTAAAAGTATCTTCTCGGAAGGCACAATAATAAAGGTAAACAAATGCAAACTTGTAACTCTTACCAGTCGCTGCATGTTAATTAGTTTGTTGATCTCCATAGGAACGTCAACTACAGAAGAAGAGCAGAACGAAATGCTAAATCAGCTTTAACAAAAGAACAATTTTTAAAAAAGAAATATAGAGCAAGGTTCAATAAAAAGGAGTAAAAAATTCTCATTCCCATGTACAAATGGAAAAGATCATATGGCCTCCAGCATCTCAAGCATGCAAGTTACTGCCATTAATAACAACTAAAACTAGACTAATTCTAAAAGTCTACAATAAAAAATAAGGTAATGTGTAAAATAGAAAAGCACAGCTATGAGTGTAGCCACACATTATTCTACTGTGACCATTTGATAATATTATCATCTCCATATGCAATTAAGAATGACAGGGAATAGGTACAATGAGGTAGTTTATGAAACTAAAGAGAATTACCTAATTTATTGTGTGTTAAATCAAGAGTTCGTACAGATCTGTCCAGGTCAAGAACTTCATCAGGAAATGTCTGTTACATTAAAAAACAACTAGTCAGTACATCATAAGTTTCATAGATAATACACTTAAACAAAACAAAACGCAAGAAAACAATGTCTCCCAATCTATTCAGTCATCTATTTTACATTCACTTCTAAATCATAATCAGATTGCCGAAATATTTCCAAGGGGAACTTGGAGAAGGATTGCCAGCAAACCGAAAAATCTAACCCTATTACTCATGAAATTATATAGATCATTCATTTTTTATCAAATCATTTTATTTGTCGTCCATAAGGGAGGTTACCAAGTTGCACTTTAATCAAATTTAACATTATTAACCCAACCGAAATTCCAGAGCAAACAGTTAGAAAGCAAAATCACAACTCCAATTACGTCTATAGAGAGATTCTATTTTGGCTCATCAACACTTAAATTGAATTATGTGTACCATCAAACTGACTAACCAAGATTCAGTTGACGATTTCAAAATCTTAAGCCAAAATTATGTGTAAGAAAAGGTATCATATAACAAAGTCCATTGGTTTAAAAGGGGAAGCAATCCCTATCTCAAATGGCCAGTCATGACCCAAGACACCTTCCCATCTATTTGCATGCACATTCACGCACACAAACAAATACACATACATATTTATATGTCTTTTGTGTGTGTGTGTAGAAAGAGAGAAAGAATGGAACTAAACAAACAGCCTAGAGGTTGTGATGAAAATGAGAACTGAAAAGGCCAAGAACTTCCTATGACATGATATAGTCCAAAAGTGAAAGAATTCTATAAAGACAATCAATAGAAGTCGCTTTTGAGGGCATATCACCACTTGCCAAGTCATCAGATCCATGATGATGCACGAGCACATTTTAAGTAAACAAACACAAGTTAAAGTAACTTCCCATTTTGAAAGTAGCTTGTGCTTTGGAAATGGAGCTTGACTTGGAGTAGAAAATAATAATAATAGTAACACAATTACCACTTCCAAATCTATTCAAGGGGCAACCAAAAAATTCCCAATAATCATAATCTGTGAGCAGCAAAAAAAAAAAATCCCAATAATTATAATCTGTAAGATTAATGCTTATAAATTATAAAAAGATACAACCAGTTTTGCAGGTTACACAAATTTGCCGCATAAGTGACAATGTGACACCTATAAAAGACAATAGATTCTCACCTGGGAAAGTATTAAGATCATCGAAACCAACTAAACTTTAAATTCCTTCCTCAAACAAGAACAACATGCATATACAATTTTGGTGTGACATTCATCCGAGATAATCATAAAAAATAAAACAAACAAAAGATTGGATCAGAAAGCTAATTGCAGCTGACATGAAAAAATAGTAATGATAATCACAATAAACAAGTCAATGAACAAAAACCATGATACAGCCAAAGCCAGTCATCGTATGCAACTAAGAAATATACAACCGTACTCAGTAATGCAAATTAAACAATTGTATTGATCATACGATTTTTTTCCACCTCTACCAAATACTCATTTTCCAATAAACCCCAAACCCAATTTCCTAGCATTTTGTGCATATAATTCCAGAAGCCCCAAAGCCAAAAAACAAATAAATAAACACAAAGAAAACACGCATATATATATATAGGCACTCAAATAATCATCTGAAATTACACACAAAAACACATAACATATGCATATCCATACATATATATATTTGTAGAGAGAGAAAGAGTACGAAGTTGGGTGGTACCTTCAATTTGGAGTCACGCAGAGCTACAATACCTGTTGATCGCCAGCGAGCAATCCGAGTGGCTTTGGAATCGGCGTTCTTGCTGCTACAACACCCCATCTTCGTCCGATTCCGAGTCGAAAATATTAACCCAGTGATCTCATCAATTTCTCTCAGAAACTCGACCCTCACACGAAGAAGAAAAATGGTGTTGTAGAAACGTAGAATTGTCGAATAGAACAAGCAATTGAGCAACAAAGCGCGTTGTCTTTTTTGGTTAGTTTTTCTACGTTGTTTGTGAAAGACAAATAAAAATAAAAATAAAAATAAATAGTAAATAGAAAAAATTACAAATAAATCCTACTTTTAAAAAATAGGGTATAGTGCAAGGAAAAAAAAAAAAAAAAACACTCCAAAATGTGCAAGAAACACCCAAATCATTTGTTATATGTATATAAATTCCAATATTTTCAAAATTTTGAGCATCAGTTTTGACCAAACTTTTTATAAAAATCCCAAAATACTCTGAACTTTAAGTATTTCTTTTTTACAGAGTAATAAATAAATAAATAAAAATAATAATATATAAAACATAAAAATACATAAATTTATTTGGGGGTTTCATAAAAAATTTAAAACATACCCTTATTTATTTATATAGTTTTTTGTTTTTGTTTTTATTTATTTTTATTTATTTATTTAAAATTTTATTTTGTCTAAAGGGTATTTTAGATATTTCAGTCTTCAAATTGAAGAATTGTACTTATTTGCCCAATTTGAAAAATGTAGTAAATTTTTTTTTAGCACAAGGGGATTTTTGCACATTATGTATATAGCAAGGGAGTTTTTTTTTTTTTTTTTTTAATACAATTTACCCTTAAAAATATAAGATCATCAAAAACAACTTCTCTCTTTTTCTTTTTCTTTTTCTTTTTCTTTTTTAAGAAAAGAACTCCAACGCTTTTTTTTTTTTTTTTTTTTTTGACACCTACATTTATCTCTCTTTACTCCTGTTCTCTTGATTGAAAATTTTGGTGTAAATCTAAAGGTTGTGAAGGCACATGATAATATCAATCTCAACTTTATTTCTGTATTTGTTAAAAAAAAACTATATCCTTGCATTATTTAACCAGTGCAAATTTAACAAAGTTACATGGATCTTCTCAAGCTCTTAATATTGTTAGAACAAAGATTGATGTGAAGTCTTAATGGTCACAACTCAGTTTTTAGTCCCATGACAGCAATATGAATGTAAGATCGCCCTCCACGTGTGTGATGGGACGAGTTGAGATAATGGTCGCAACTCTGTATTAGATTACCATATATGTGTGTGTGTGTATGGTGAACATATGCGTGTGTGCGCGCGCGCAAAATACGTCAATATACGCACTCAACTTCATTTGTGCCCCAGAATCCTTCGAAAAGGTAGTACACTATGCAAGCACACCCAAGTTCAAACGAACAGACAGATGTTGAATAGAATCCCCTTGGAAATAATTACATACTGTATAATGGTAAGGCCGCCTCAAAAACTCCCTCTATGTATTAAATTTAATCAAGTTTCATTTACAAGCATGCTTCAGGTAGCAGCATTGAGTTTGGTTTGAATTAATATTACATATGAAACAAAGATGCCCTGGATGTATATAAATCACTTTTCAAGTACACTCCAAAACACTGGCAGCAACAAAATCCCAACTGATTAACGTGGATAGGGGAGACGGCTAGATTCGGTGCCATTTCTTGAAAAGAGCTCACTTCTGTGATGTGTTGACTTCATCATGTGATCTGTTTCAGCATTCTCAAACACATCGGCAATAGCAGCTGCATAACACATACGCGCTCTCTTCACATGAATGCCTGCACAACCAGTGTGAGATGAAAAACATACAAATTGTTATGCGTATAGGATTGTTAAGTCATGATCTGCACTAAGACAATTATTAATTATTTGATGCCCAAAAACAGTTCTGATTCTAAATACCAACCGCAAAACCACTCGAGTCAAACTATTAACAAGAACTGTATATACAGATTTTACAAGAAAAGATTTTGTGGTTAAGCCAAGATCATTCGAATAGCATCATTAAATTAGATTTTCCATAGTACAAAGCAGAGATGCCATTGATAATAGATGCATAATAACTTCTTCAGTTAAACTCTCAAAAGAATAGCTTCAGTGAAAACAAGAAATAGACAGACAGGAAAGACCTCTAGGACAGCCTCAGTGCCATTTCTTGAAGAAGAGATCGCTTCTGCGAGGCATTAATCACGTGATTGGTTTCAGCATTATCAAGTACATCAGCAATTATTGCAGCTGCATGACCAAGAGGTTCCTCTGCTGCTCTCCTCAACATGAAAGCCTGTTCGACCAGTACAAAAAGCAATACACGCAGATTGTTACAAATCTAGGATTCTTAAGTTGTTGCAGCATCAAGACAATCAATAATTATTTGATGCCCAAAAGAGCTCTGATTCTGCCAATCTGAATGACAAGTTCAAAACACCCCACAGACCCTCCACCTGCACTTTGGAAAGTGAGGACTGTGATGATTTTTTGCAATAGCTAACTACCCAAGGGTCTATAAAAAAATAAAAAAGAGTTGCAATTTATGTCCTTTCATTACCGAAGATGAGAGACACTCTCTTGCCTAATACATCACAGTTTGATAAACCACTGCCTCACACTCAACCGAGTACTACTTTCAATTTCGGTAACGTTAAGCTTTTGACAATATAGAAGTTTACCCAAACTTGTAACTCAAGTCATTTTAGATGCTACCATGAACCAACAGAACGTTCCGAGGAGGGAAGTGGGTTGAACATGAGGAAGGAGGAGGCTGAACTGTTATTTTAGTCTACAATCCTTATAAATACACAGTGGAAGATGACAGTACATTTTGTGGAGATTGGTAACGTTCCTTTAGAGCACTAGTCCAATCTACATATATTCAATGTTAATGAAAACAAGCACAATATCTGAATTAAAATCCCTCATAGATTTACCGGGGACATGTGCTACAATCTACATTGACTACTACTTCATGTGATTCCCCTTAATAATTTGAAAGAGCCACCAGGAAATGTCAAGAATCAAATAAAAGAATTGCCCAGTGCCGGCCCCGCCTATGCCAGATAATGGAAGGAAACATTGGAGGCGGACATACATAAGGTATTATTTTGCACTAAGTGGCTACTCTCTGGCTCGAACTCACAACATCAAAAGTCAAGATATACATGTCTCTTACCTGCCTCTATTTGATGACCAAACTTTAGATAAGGGAAAACGAGGGGGTTCAAATTGCAGTACTGGTCACGTGTAGATTGGAGATACCAATGTTTTCCACGCCATTTTGCAGCATATAATTCTTTTAAATTTTGTAGTGAATTTGATATCGCAAAACATGCTTTACCAAGAATTTGAACATATGCTACAAGTAGTGCATTACTGATGAGCATGCAGGTATCTCACACACACAGACGCGCTCGCGCGCACACAGAGAGAGAGAGAGAGAGACCTGGCCATGATGTGATATGGCCAATGTACATGGTTGCTGAAGCCAAGGCTCTCCATCTATTTGAACAGGCAATGCGGCCAAAAGCTGGATCTTAATTGACTGTCCTTGCGCAAGCCTACGAGCCCGAGAAAGCCCCACCTGTTTCCATATAAAAAATTTAAAAATATTATAAAAATAAAAAAATAAAAAATAAAAAAAGGGTTCAGATATGTTCACATAAACTTTAATGACAAGGATCACGAAGACGCGGTGTCGAATTAAAAGGCCACAGAAAAGACAAGGCTACAGGTTTAAAGCACCCTGGAACGGGTCCTAAGCCAGGTAACAAAGATGATATGCAAATCACATAACAGTTGAGCAGTATCACAAAAGACCACCTCACCTGAAGCTTGCCAAGATGCCATGTCCCTGATATGCTCACAACCTCCAGTATCTTATCATGCATTGACTGCGGATCAAAATTATCGTAAGTTTCATCCTCATTTTGCCACAAATCTACACCACCCATGTAGCTGCCAATATTAGCAACAAGAACACCTTCTGCATCCTGCAAAGAATAAAAATGAAGTTATAATCTCTGCAGCGGGACTGATGACGGAAAAAACTTATCACCTGCTGCAAACTTGCAGACATAGTGGCATGTAGGGATTATGAAAAATCAAAAAAGTACAGTACCAAAAACACAAGTAAAAATATACAAATAAAAAAAATATGAATCTGATTCAGGTATATTGTGAGAAAAATACTAAGAATGAATTCAAGAAAGGAAAATTATATATATATATATATATATATATTGCAGGCCAGCAAAAACAAAAACTTTTAAAAACGAAAAATCATTTTAGAACTTCAGTATAATTGAAGAATTAATAGTTAATTCTCAAAAAAATCAGTGAGCATATTTCGATACGTATGATGATGATTTCTAAGAGAGTTAGAGATCATAAAACATTTAAAAAGATCTTGCACCCACCTCAGGGACCTCAATCTCAGTACCATCCACTTCCACTCGAACTTGCCAAGGGAAATCTGCAAGTGTCCTATCCATGATACCCTTAGCGCCTTCTCTTGCATAAAGAACTTTATTCATAAACTGCAATCCAATCAGCATTTTCAGCAGTATGGAAATTGATAATAGTTACTGGGCAAACCAAAAAAAAAAAAGGTACTAAGGAACAAACAGAAACTCCAACTACAACCCAGCTCAGTAAGTAGCCAATTTAGGTTAGAAAACCCCAACATACTCCTCTCCTTCACCCACCAAAAATATAATACAATATAATATAATTAAACAGAACATCACTCCGCAAATAATGGGATCAAGCGTCTTTGTTGGCATGACCCTAGTGCATGCTCACCTACATTCGGACTGGGGGATCAACTCTGATACCATCTATTACGACCCGTATCACACTGTGCAGATATTGCCTACTTTGCACCCTCTTGGGTCTTGGCGCTCCCGGTTTTGAAATGTGTCTACACAAGTAGGAGGCATCTCCCCTTATAAGTGCCACAACTTCTCTCCCCAGGCAATAAGGGGCGATGCATCCAAGCTGCACGGATGCATTTTAAAAACCATGAGCGCCAAGAGAATATAAAACAGACAATATCAGGAACAACCTCTCTGCATATAGAGGTAAGGATGTGTACACCAAGCCCTCCCCAGACCATGCAGTGGCGGGAGCCTCATGCACTGGCTAGCCCTTTACGTTATTGTTGTTGTTGTGCATAGTATGAGGAAGGTCCTAACAGATAGCAACAGAGCCAATTCCTAGCCAGAATATGGGGGGGCGTGCACAACCCCATGAAGATCATGCCAACGAAGATGCTGGGTCCCAAAGAGGGTGTGATTGTTATTTGTTATGTCTCACATTGCCTAGGGAGAAAAAGTTGCACTTATAAGGGAGATGCATCCGTCTATGTGGACGCGTTAAACCCAAAAATGCCAAGAGGGTGCAAAGCGGACAACACATTGTGAGGCAGGTCATGACACTTTACATAGAGAAATAGTGCAGTCACTTAATAAAGAAATTTATGTTATTTTATATTTTTAAATGGATGGACTTAAAATGGTTTTCGAATAATAAGGCATTAATATCAGACAACATCTACACAGTGTGAGGCAAGTCTTGACATACATAAAAAGTGAATGGGATGCAGGTCTAAACATACTTAAGGAGTCTAGAGAAAGTTTAAAATAGAAACATCACTTGGTTTCAGCGCCCCATTACCCCACAAATACACATACTTTCAAAAAGAGACTGCTTTGCCAAATTTCTATACATTCTTAGAAGGGTAAATCAGAATTCATTGACCATGACTTTGCAATTACCTGGTTATAGAACTTCTCTGGGTTCTCCTCTCTTAGATTATGGATTTCTAGAGCAACCTTTGCATCACATCCAACCCCTGTGACAGTACATGTAAAAATTTGTCACTGTAATGCATGAGAATATACATTACAACCATAGGGGGGCTATAAGGTGCTAATACGAAAATAAGAAAAAGATAAAGAAAAGATAGAGACAGAGAATAATATTTGGCCAGCCATAAAATTCAAATAGCAACCCACCCAACAGGCAACCAAAATCCTTGCCAATATGTGATAGTCAAAGTAAGAAGCGCCTATTAGGAAGATCCAATTAGCCCATTAGATTAGCATTGAAACATGGGGATGAAACAGGGCAGATAAACAACATAAACATATATAGAGACTCATGTATGCCAAGAAATATCAAATATTTCAGAACCTCTCATGTCAGCCCAACACAGTTAAATATTGTACCTCAACACAAAGCAGCCCAAGTGAGATTTAACTAAGGTTACGATTCAAGCAAGCTAGGTTGATCTCAGCTTGATGCACTAGATATTCAGCTTCGATAAGATTCAACATAAAAATTGGAGAGAGAGAGAGCCAATCACAACCATTATGCATCAAGCATTCGTGCATTATAACATGAACCAAACTTATGATCTAACACAAAGCATCCAACAATATTTATACATCTTTTACAATTTTTTAAGGAGTTTCAAAAGAGTTTATATTGCCATACCAAGATAGTTGTTCATGTATTTTGGTGATTGGAGTTGTTTGCCCTGTTTGTTTACAATTGCTATCTTCCATCTATCCAGAATGGTTACTGCAGCATGTTCTATGTGATGCAACACCGTGCAAAGACCACCTTGTCTCTCCACTGAGCCCAAACCACCTCCCCAGGACAAAACTCGGGCCAAGTCATTTCCCGTCCCTGCAGGAAGAATGGCAACTGGAGGAGGAGAAACAAAATTTTGCTTATCTATGGCATTCAAAACCCAGCCAACAGTACCATCTCCTCCACAGACAAGAATTCTGAAGTGTGGCACTCTTCTAAACAAATAGAGACCCATCTCTGGCCCCTGTGTCGAGCTCAACTCAAAAACCTGCAGCGCCATCAAAAGATCATCAATCCAAAATTGAAGTTAAGATGTAAACCAGCCTTCACAAGCTTCATAAAATTAGGTGAGAAGGTAGATCACCTCCATAGAATTCGAGGAAAACTAGTCCAATGTGGTTCAAGTTAAGAGATTGTCAATGGCGAGCAACTTAGCTACAAGCATGTATGCTGCATCACAGCAGCAACCAAGCAAAACGAGTTTTGAAACTTGAATCCTCAGGGAAATTTGAGTTTCAAATGGCTACCAAACAAAACGTGGTCATTTAATCCATCTTAGTTTGCAATATCTTTAAAGCATGTCCATTTTCCTTTAATTTGAAACAATTTCTTTAATAAATACATCTTAGTTTGCAATATCTTTAAAGCATGTACATTTTCCTTTAATTTGAAACAATTTCTTTAATAAATACATGGGAGGAAGTTGTTTCCACAAACTTTGTACACAGTTAAAATAGACAATCAGCAAGCTAATCAAAACCTTTTACTACGTATATTTCATGGCAAAAGTGTCAACATTATCAGGCATTGCATTGTCAGTTGTCACTACAACTACATTATTCACAAGAGACTACAGAGTGAACTATTATCCGTTCACCAAGAGAGAGAGAGAGAAGAAAACTAATTTTAGTTAATAAATAACCCACAAAATAGTAAGTAGCTTGAAATTTTGAGGAGAGAGACCAAACCTGGACAGGATTCAGAAGGATGTTCAAACGCTGTCTGAGTGAATCTCCGCGCTGAGCCCCACTCTTCTTGTTAATGAAAACTAACAGGGGCCTTGCATCCGGAGGCAAATCAATCAACTCATATCGCTGTTTCATCCCTAATATCTGAGACTCTTCCTTCTGGTTCAGTGATAAACTTCTTCTAAAACTGGGCTTCGAATCCATCTTTTTAACATCGTTGTCATGGTTATGATCCAAATCCCCATTGATTGCGCTATCAGCAAAGCTCTCCTCCATTTTATGAGAACCATTAACTGGTTGATGGGTATCTGCCGTGCTGTCTGTGGACGTGCTGCCAATACTACTGCCGGTACCTGTATCTGTGGTTGCCTCGTTTCCCTGTTTGTATTTCTTGCTTTGACTTATAATACTAGCGCGAACAGAAGATGCAATCTCATTGGCTCCATGTGTAATAGAACTCAAAAAGCCACCGGGGGACATGCGGCTAAGTTCCTTAACAAAAAGCGGTGACAAGATTAGCCTTCTAAAAGGGCCTATATCACAAATATCACCTGTTTCATTAGACATGCTACCGTGGCAGTCAACATGTACAAGCCGTTGACACCATAAGCAACACCAAATTGGAGATCCCCCAAGGAAAGACCCACTGCACGGTTCATCACAATGGCTACAGAAAGAAGTTTCATCAGGTTGATCTGCGACCTCTGTCCACCGAACAGCCCATTGGTGCATCACATGCTCATATCCAACCATAGATACACACTTACAATCCTGGTGTGCATTTGAGGAGCAGCTCAGATGAGCTGCAGCACCACATATGCTACAACGGTGGATAAAACTGTCTGAAGCCACCATTGGTCCAAGAGCCTGGGAAGGAGACATAGATTTTAAGCATACACAACAGTTTAAACTTTTCCCACGAGACACAGATTCCAAGTCCCAAGTATGTGGAGCTACAGGAACCTTGTTCCTTGCCTTCGGGTTTTTCTTTGATCTGGCTATGGCTTTCATCCAACCGAGATTGATGTTTCTTCTCCATTGGAAGGCAGTGTACGCTATAGTCAGGATCCCAACTAGGCCAGCAATAAAGCAAGAGATAATGAAGAGACGAGATTCTGCCAGTTCAGATGGGTTCTTGCTAATCCAACTGGAAAGCAGAATCTCAGATTCTCTGAAGTCATCCATGTTTCAAAATCAATTTTTTTGCATCCTAAATGTACATATATAAACATTAAACTCCTTATTCCGGGCAAAAGAAATATCTATCTCAAATCACTACAGCAGCTGACGTAAAATTTCCCCACCACACAACAATCATCCAAGCATGACCAGAAACAAAATCAGCACTGAAGTTTGCAAATATCACTTATCATTCTGCTGGATTCAAGGATAGTCCCTTCAAAAACTTTTGAACTTTCACCCTGCATAACCATTCTATCCAGTTTGGAAGAACATAATGTCTTAAGATTCAAGAATCCTTTGCTTCCCCAAAACCCTAGAGATCACTCTTCAAGTAGGAAACAGAACAGCTCCTAAACCTGGAACAGAATTCAGAGGGAAAATGAATCAGAAAATCAAAAAACCTATGTAAGATGGAGAATGATATTATCCAATTTGACACCCTCTTTTGAATATGATCCATTGCCACTCCATGAGATTCAAGATGTGAATAGAATAGATAGATTTTTTTCCCGGTAGATGAACAATAAGAAGGTAAATGTAGTGAAAAGGTTGAAACTTCACTTGTTTGAATAGTAAATTTATACCACTATTTATCTACAGAGTTAGAAGCCAAATTCACCAAAAGAATTCAGTTTAAGGCTCCCATCATGCACTTGATACTATTAGGAGCAGTGGAGCACTAACTAAAAATTAGGAAACAGAAAGTTAAGGTTTATATAACACTTACAATAATAACTTCAGCTAATACAGTGCAAAGTCAGTTCTGTGTCCAATCCTCTCGGTTAGGTCACAGCACCCAGGATTAGTGGAATTAATATTCTATAGCAGTTAACTCCAAAATGTACATACCTTCTTTTCAAAATTACCCTTGGACTTAAACATTACCAATTACAAAAAAATTTAAACCATCTTAAGCGCCCTGGTAAGTTATTCCACTTCCTGATCTCTAAAACTTAAAACCCTTCACCAAACTTTTATAGCACAATAAAAGGCAACACGTAATACTGAGAGTGGACCTTGGCACAAAAGTAAGGCTTCTCCATTTTGACTTGGATGTCACGGATTCAAAACAAGAAACAGCCTCTCTGAGGTAAGATTGTATATATTTGACAAGGTCTTGAAAAAGTCGCTAACGAAATACCGCATTAAGAATCCCATTTACTTTGCAATTTAGACAAAAATGGAATTGTGATGCTTGGATCTTGGGTAGAGACAGGGTGATATTTTAGTAGGTAAATTAATGCCTCAGATGGTGAAAGAATCATCGTATGCCACTGAAGATGGATTATTACAAGCCATACTTGGCATTCAGGAATCTATTTCAAAGGAAACTCGTCCACGGGATAGCCCTTTGCAACAAAAAGTAATACCAATAGGATAACACCTAAAACTAATAGTTTCAATCACAACGATTACCCCACGGTCACTGCTATTGTTGCTATTATTATTCACAATATTAATGACAACTAACACTTGCATTTAAACTTCCCATCCTCATTATTTGTTAATTGTAAAGAAACACATAATTTTACATAACCTTGAGAATGCCAGAAACACTGTGACTTTACCAAAACAAGAAAAAATAAAATAAATAAATAAAAACTAGAGAGGAATGAAACAACTCAACCATGACACAACTAAACCCCAATTAAAACTTGATTTAGAACACAATCACACCCAACTAATTCGTGGATATCCTATCAAATATCTACAACTATCCAAACGCAGGAACACTAATTTTTTAAACATATTATGATTTAAAAAACATGAGAGAGAAGAGATTAAAGCACACTTACAGTAGCGTCTTGTGTGATCACCGAATAGGTAATGATCGTGCCGACCGTAAGAAACCCTAGAGAGGGAGAGAGAGAGCGAGAGAGTGTCCGAAATCGAGAACCAACGCAAAGCAAAAGAAAACAACAATGTTTAGATCTTTTTAGCTACAGTTTTGAAATCGAAGAGCGTTCGCTTTTTTGTTTTTAAATAAAATTTCTAGTTTTTCTTTTTTAGATTCTCTCCCACTGTGTGTGTGATTCAGATTCTCTAATTTGTGCAGAGTGTTAGTGGGAAGAGGGCTCGGAGGGGGTGTGTCTAGACTACGCGAGGGTGCGTAGAGTCCGATGAGACACGTGGCCGAATTTTGGAGCAGTGAGTAGGAGAGAGAGAGGGGTTAGGACCCACTGTTAGGTTGCAAGGTGTGATGGGGTAACGCGTTTTGGGACATGGCCACGTGTGAGAGAGAATGGGTCGCATTTTGCACTTTGCGTGCTCTAGAGAAAGAAGGTAAATCCATCGTTCATAAATAAATCAAATTTATCGTTCAAAGCTTCCACAAAGCTTTAAGGAAGTGCTCAATTAATTTTGAGTTTATTCAAATCGGGGAAATAGTAAATAGATCAGCAATTTGATTGACTACCCAACAAACAATGAAAATTTTCATTTTTACTTTAAATTAACAAAAAATTGGTGGCATCCATGTTAATAATAAGGTTGACTTGTCAAATGCAAATTTAAATCGAATGTATAGAATCGCGCACTAGACCATAAAGTGAATTAAGTTGTAGTACTTAAATATAATTCAACTTAACCTGAGTTTTATAGACTCAACTCATGCCCATAATGAACTTGTAAACTTAAGATTAAGTTTTATTCAAATTATTCACAAGAAGACTATAATGTTGGGTTTAGTGTGTAAGAATAGAATACCTATTCCAATCACTTCTTTATTTTGTATGCAATTTAAAGTAAGAATGGTCATTCATTTCATTCCCAAGTAAAAATTTTCAAACCAATGGCAGATTTATGTGTATGCTTGCGCCCACGCCAAATTTTATTTTTATTTTATTTTTTTGTTTTCTATAGGTAATTTTAGCTCAGCCAAAAAAATAAAAATAAATTAATTAATTAAAAATATAAATTATTACTAATATTAGCCCACCCAAAAAATATTAGCCCACCCCATTAACAACTCATGGATCCGCCCTTGACCGCTACCACTTCCACATTTCATCACCGTCACCTCCATTGCCTTCTACAACCATCACTGTCATTACCACCTTCAACTACTTCACTATTGTCACCTCCACTACCTTCTCCCACTACCACCTCCACCATCACCACCACCACCACGAACTTCTACTAATGTCACTGCCTTCCACCATTAACACATTCAACAACCACCACCTTTGTCACCATTGCCGCCTTCATCATCACCACCACCGCCACCTTCCACCACCACCACCTACACTATTGCCACATTCCACCACCATCACTGCCACAACTGTGATACCCCTGGATTTCAGGATGCGGGTTGGCCAGGCTCACGCCCAATTACCCGAGGATATCAAAACAATTAGTAATAAATGAATACAGAATACAGTTAAGATAAACAAGAATAAATAAAACTGCTGAAACGAAACTAGAATGATAATCCAAAACTGAAAACCTCAGAATAAAATTTTATAAATAAAAAATTAATCTGATACATCTAACTTCTCCAATTCTAATATATCTCGGGAATCCATCTCTAATGGACCCCTTATAATAATCCAAACTGAAATGAAAGCTACTTAAAGAACATCCAGAATAAACCATGGAGAAAAGTCCTACGTCATCGGAAGAGTGAGTAGTAGTCTCTGCTCAGCACGATCAAGTCTAAGTCTGGAACTGACGAGTACCTGAAAAATAGAGGTGGGTCAGGCCCACGAACAAGTTCTAACCTACTACAATCCAAGTAGAGACTCGATACGCATATACATTCTAACCAACTCAACAATAGCTAATAGTCCGTACGTATGTATATTCACACTACAGGACTCTCACTGGACTATGGAGAGGGTCTCAACCTGAATAGAAGGCAACATGCGAAAACGCACCCATAGGTGGGCATGAGTACCTAGACCTAACAGGGTACACCTCAATCTCTCATATCCAGCTACGCATCCTACTGCATATACGCTTCCTAACCGACGACTCTGAGACTCAAGCTCATATCGTGGTACCATAAAAATATATTTAAACTCCGTTCCTAACTATCCACAAGAAATCCAGTAGGTCGTTCTGCGTATTCAACCGTACCGACTCATATATATATATATAAGGAGGATTCTATTTAATAACCCGTACCCTTATTCCAAAATAGGTAGGACTGAGTATTTTGAATCAGTCTGTCCCTAGTATGCCACCGTCCCATACCGGTTCATACAATCCACAAAATCCATATAATTGATAGAACAGGTAAAGTTGTTCACCAATTAAAATCCATAAGGTAGGAATTAACGTTTTGAGCTAAACCATACCCAGTATGTCACCGTCCCATACCGGTACATACAATCCAATCCATCCAACAGTTGATAGCATACATAATCAATGCACATAACAACTGAAACATAATAAGCATAAATAGAAATATAGATTAACATGCTTACTCCAGTAACTGATAGATCAAAATAATAAGATGTATCAATTAACTCCATGATGAACATAAATTAAACAGATAAGCATCATGTTCATCCCATATCTTCGTTACAAATTATCATATTCTAAGTATGCAGATAATTTATTCTTCCTGTCCATAAAACCATGACAAGTCTAATAAAACTATATTAATTATCATGCTTGTCCACCATTAATAATAATCGTATTAATAAAATTTCCACTCACAAAGAATAAATAAATTAAGGTTCAGTAATTTAGAATTCCTCTGCACTGGAACAAAACACTTTCCGTCGAGACTTACCCGTGTTCAAGCTATAAACTCCTATTGGTTTATTAAGCATTAATCCACTCTCTCAAGTGTTAAATAGACTTAGAAAATCTCAAACACCCAAGAATAGCTTCCTACAGAATCTGAAAATTCCAAAATCCGAGTTCCACAGTCCAAACAATCGCCCAAAAACCCAAAAATCCGAAGAATTTAAGTTGGAGCCGCCTCCAACCTAGATGGAGCCGGCTCTAAACCATTTTGAGCCGCCTCCATCTCATTTTGAGCCGGCTCAAAGTCACTTTGAGCCGCCTCCTTCCTCCTATCTTCCTATCTGCTCGTTTCCTTCAACTGTGTCCTCTCCGGCGACGTCCAGCGCATATGTCTTAAGTTGCTAAGGCCTCTACTGGTTAAAGTTATGTTCCAGTGTGATCTAGAAATAGTCTATTACCTTATTCATTCACCGTCAACAATCGGATCAAGAATTATGCAACAGGAAGTTAGGACGAGCAGTTTTCCCTTCAAGAACACACACTGTTCTGACTAACTCACCCATGTGAACCAGTGTAATATAAATGTTTCTCTGAGGTTTAAGAACTAATTTAACTCTTAATATACTAGTTTACATGCATCAAACATCTAGTTATGTAAATTAATTTACAAGTTTCATACAAAAGATCACAAACAAGCAGTGTAAACCATTGTTACGTTCACTTTAACAAAACAACAGAGACATGCAAACCAATTTACTTTTAATCTTTATAGATTCCTGGAGTTGTATTAGAGATGCAAAGAACACGAGCCTAAGGAATAGAGCTAGGATTAGAACTTGCCTTACACCGACGTCCTCCTCAATTCTCTGATGAAACCACTGTTTGCTCCCTCTGGTTTCTCTCTACCTCCATACCCGTGAACAGGGTTCTAAAACCCTAAGCAGACCATTACTCGTATATTTATAGTCCAACTAATCTTAAGTTCAACTAAATCCTAACTGACCTACCCGGCCCATAAACCAACCTACGATATATATATATATAAATATCGGCTACATCAGTGAGATGTAAAAATAGCTAAAACCCTAACCTAATTTAATAACCTATCTTACTACAGTGAAAATTAAATAGAATAATACAATTAACAATTTAAATAGCACACACTAATTAAACAATTTAAATAAGACAAATAAGTCACACAAAACAAGTACATCAATTAAATTCAAAAATCAAATAAGAAATGCAAATCAAGAATTAATTAATTTAAATCAACACATAGCCACGTAAGCACCCAGAAATAATAAAAGAAATAATGAAAAAAAAAATAAAACAATTAGTAAAATTCCAAAAACAATTAGTAAAATTCCAATTATATCCCTTTTTAAAACTAGGGGTATTACAACAACCGCCATAGTCACTGCCTTCCACCACACCGTCGTCGCCTCCACAACTTTCCACCGCCACCTCCACCACTATCGCTTCCAACTTCCACTTCTACCCCTACCATCACCATCGACTTCCATCATCGCTTTTTGCTACCGCCACTACTTTCCACCACCACCACCTTCATTATCTTCCACCATCTTCTACCACTACCGCCACCACCACTTCCACCACCACCATCCATTACCGCCGTTTCCACCACCACTGCAACCGAATTTCACCACTGCCACCTCTTCCACCACAACCACCTTTCACCGCCACTGCCACCTTCATTACTTTCCACCATCAACATCGTCACCTCCACTACCTTCCACCACCACCACCTTCAACTACCATCACCTACACCACTATCTCCTTCCACCACCATCTCCACTTCCACCACCATTGCCACCGCCATCCACACTGCCACCATTTATTTTTTTAAAAATATAGAAGACCGTTATTTTTTTTTTAATTTAATTTGTTTATCAATAAGAGGGTATTTTAAAGAATTCAATTTAAAATTCATTATATTCTAAATTTTAAATTGGTCAAACTAAACAGTATAATGGTTATTATCATTTCGTTCATAACACATTTCATATTTGCAACCAAACATAGAATACGAATGACCATTCCATTCTCATTTCATTCCATTCATGCACACCAAAAGCAACATAATTAGCTCATAATACATCTTATATTTTTATTTTTAAATATATTTTTTAATATTTATTTACTTTCCTTACCAGTAATAATTAAATAGGGTAAAGTGCAAAAAAAAAACCCTCTAACTATTGCCATTTTGTAAATAACCCCTATGAAATAAAACCTACCCCCCTGGACTATTGATTTTTTATAATTAAGGATAAACTCATTACAAAAGACTATTTTACCTTTTCTCATTAGATTTGTCATCTCTTATTAATTTTTATTTTATTTCT